GATATTGTAGGTGTTTGTCTCTGTCTGAGGGGTTGGAGCAAATGCGGTTGTATCGTAGAGCTTGGCTGTAGACAATGGACCGTGTGGTGTGGTCTGGGTGAAAGCTGGAGGCATGTAGGTAGGAATAGCGGTCAGTAGGTTTCCGATATAGGGTGATGGTTATGTGACCATTGCTTATGGTCATGTGTTATTGGTTATGTGACCGGAATTGGTTATGTGTAGGTAGGAATAGCGGTCAGTAGGTTTCCGGTCACATAACCAATAACACATGACCATAAGCAATGGTCACATAACCATCACCCTATACTGGAAACCTACTGACCGCTATTCCTACCTACATGCCTCCAGCTTTCACCCAGACCACACCACACGGTCCATTGTCTACAGCCAAGCTCTACGATACAACCGCATTTGCTCCAACCCCTCAGACAGAGACAAACACCTACAATATCTCTATCAAGCATTCTTACAACTACAATACCCACCTGCTTGAAGTGAAGAAACAGATTGACAGAGCCAGAAGAATACCCAGAAGTCACCTACTACAGGACAGGCCTAAGGAAGAAAATAACAGAACGCCACTAGCCGTCACCTTCAGCCCCCAACTAAAACCTCTCCAACGCATTATCAAGGATCTACAACCTATCCTGAAGGACTACCCATCACTCTCACAAATCTTGGGAGACAGGCCAGTCCTTGCCTACAGACAGCCCCCCAACCTGAAGCAAATACTCACCAGCAACTACATACCACACAACAGACCCACTAACCCAGAACCTATCCATGCAACAAAGCCCGTTGCCAATTGTGCCCACATATCTCTATTCAGGGGATATCATCACAGGGCGTAATCACATCAGCCACACTATCAGAGGCTCTTTCACCTGCACATCCACCAATGTGATATATGCCATCATGTGCCAGCAATGCCCCTCTGCCATGTACATTGGTCAAACTGGACAGTCTCTACGTAAAAGAATAAATGGACACAAATCAGATGTCAAGAATTATAACATTCATAAACCAGTCGGAGAACACTTCAATCTCTCTGGTCACGCGATTATAGACCTGAAAGTTGCGATATTACAAAAGAAAAACTTCAAAACCAGACTCCAGCGAGAGACTGCTGAATTGGAATTCATTTGCAAATTGGATAAAATTAACTTAGGCTTGAATAGAGACTGGGAGTGGCTAAGTCATTATGCAAGGCAACCTATTTCCCCTTGTTTTTTCCTATTCCCCCCCCCCCCCGTTCCTCAGACATTCTTGTTAAACCCTGGATTTGTGCTGGAAATGGCCCACCTTGATTATCATACACATTGTAAGGAGAGTGATCACTTTAGATAAGCTATTACCAGCAGGAGAGTGGGGTGGAGGGAGAGAAAACCTTTTGAAGTGATAAACACCCATTTTTTCATGGTCTGTGTGTATAAAACATCCTCACTGCATTTTCCACTTTATGCATCCGATGAAGTGAGCGGTCGCTCACAAAAGCTTATGCTCAAATAAATTGGTTAGTCTCTAAGGTGCCACAAGTACTCCTTTTCTTTCTGAGAGAGTAGTTGTTGTTACAAAGTATTGCTTTGAGAACAGACTGTCTTAGGATGTACTAACACAATTAGCAGCCAAAAACTAAGAGACCTCCCTCTTAATTAGTAATACCCTGGAATTTAAACTATGGGGAATCAAACTCATGTGATTTTAATACAGAACTTCTTTAATATGATCCAACATAATCCCCCTTTTGACACTAAGATTTATAATGGTCAGTGTCACTTTCTATGTAGCCTATTCAAAAGAAGGTACTATGAGGCAATTTGAGTTTGTGATTCCAATTCATCCCACATACATGATCCTAGTGATGTATCTTTACTACAAAGTTCTGGGGAAACAGGCAAGGTGAGGCACACCCACTTTTGAGGAGTCCATTCGATACAACCTCTAGTGTCCAATAGCTTCCCTCCCTCCCCAGCCCACTGGCTCGAGGTCCGGGGTAGCCAGAAGGATCCCATGTGTAATATGGGGAGAGGGCTAACCTTCCATACCTTTGCCTCCAGAGACTGTTGGTGTGCAATTTTGACAATTTCCCCAATTAACAGGTCTGGTTTTACAATGCTAGGAACATACTGCATCCATTTGTACTGATAAGTATCCAACAGTGTTTTTTCTTCTTCTTCGTTTTTGTATTAGGCTGTCCTGTAGCTGAGCTTAATTCGGGAGATGGTTGCGGCAATGGAATTTGAAGGGCTCTCATGCCCTCGACCAGCACTTCAAAATGTCTGTCTAGAAGTAGAGGGTTGGGACGTGGTGGATTACCCCGGTGTCTGTCATCGTCTTGGCTGACCTTCCCAAGGTTTACAGCGTGGCACAGGAGTCCTTGAGCGTATGCAAGGCTGCATCCGTGTGTTTACAAAGAGTTTGTCCTCAAAAGGTAAGTCCTCGGTCATGGCCTGGATTTCCTTGGGGAAGCCAGAAAGGTGGAACCAAGAGGCCCTCCGCATGACTACTGATGTGGCGATGGAGTGAGCTGCCGTGTCTGCAGAATCCAATGACACCTGCAAGGCAGTCCTGGCAATCAGGCAACCTTCTGAGATGCTTGTTTTGTATTGTTCTTTTTTGTCTGTTGGGAGATGCTCAATAAATATAGGCATCTGTGCAAAAATGTTGTCAGTGTATTTGGCTAATAGCATGGAGTAGTTAGCAATGCATAACTGAAGAGTCACTGAGGAATAGGCTTTTCTACCAAAACAGGTCAAGGCGTTTCCAGTCTTTGTCGTAAGGGGTGGTATGAGCCAGGTGTTTTTCCCTTTGATAAACTGCTTCCACAACCAGTGAGTTTGGGCTAGGGTGAGTGAAGAGGAACTCAGCCCCTTTTGCTGGCACATAATACTTCTTGTCTGAACGTTTACAAGAAGGTGGGGCCATGGTCAGTGTCTGCCAGACCGTTTTTGCCAGGTCCATAATGCAATCTTGGCCATAGAAGAGGAATGGAGAATGTCAGTGAGCTTATGCTGTGTCTCTGGCAGCTCTTCTACGCAGATGCCTAGGGAATCAGCCATATGCTTGAATAGGTCTTGGAAAGATTTAAAGTTGTCCCTGGTGTGGGGGGAGGCATGATTGTGTCCTCCGGGGATGATGAAGAAATATGGGTAGGAGGAAGGATGTCACCCTCTATTAAGTCCTCATTGCACTCATGCTCCACCCCAGCAACTTCAGGGGAGGCTGGGGCAACCAGTGAGGTAGATTTAGCTGATCTTGGTGTTCTGGACCTGGATTGCATGGAAGGGCTGAATATTATGAGCCCTGTACAGTGCCCATGGGTCCCAGTATGGCCAGTTTGGAGGGAGGGCCATTGGGGGGGCATCCATTGGGGGGGGGGTTGCCACACTGTGGGCTGTAGCCCTGAGGTTCCAGGTTTGGGCGATGAATGACATGGGGTCCCCATCCCTACAGCCACTTCATCCCCCTCATCACTTGAGGGAGGAGGGGCTGAGCCAGCAGGTGTAACAGACTCATGGCTGGTCTACCTGGGGTGCCATCTGTGCTGAAGAGAGGCATGCCCGGGGTGGAGGCAACGAAAAAGGTCTGCCTGGCTAACTAAATGCTGCAGCACCGGAAAGTCAGGTGCAGGCACAGGAGGCACACAGATGTTAGTCAGCATCTGTGCTGCCGGTGCTGCGGGTTTGCTTAATATACAGGAACAGCAGGTGGCACCATAGAACTGCTCCGTGCCGAGGACTTCAGCTCTCTAGGCTCTGAGGGAACAGGCAGCCACGGCAAAACTAAGCCTGTCTTAGAGCTAGACTGCACCAGGTCTTTTGCTCCTCGGGTTGCCTCTGCACTGGACGGACCCAGTGTCACATGGTCCAAGACTCTGCATGCCGATGGTACCACGGCAGATTTAGCGGTCAGAGATTGCTTTTTGCATGGCGATTCTCCCTGTGGGGAGGAGTGAGACCGCTTCTTTGTTTTCATGGGGGCTGGATCCTTTGTGCTCATCTTAGAGGAGGATCCCATGTCCGACATGGCAGTTGGTGAGTGAGCGAGCTGGTGGGGAGGGGTCCCCTGCTCAGGGTCAGAGGCAGGACGCAGGGATTCTCCCTAAGCATCAGTTTGAGCTGGAGTTCCCTAGCCTTTCTGGTCCTTGCCATTAATTTTTTGCAGCGGTGGCACTTCTGCGTAACGTGAATCTCCTCCAGGCAGTGAACACACTGGGAGTGACCATCAGAGACTGGTATTGATAGTCTATAGGCGAGGCAGCATTTAAAGCCTGGGGAGCCAGGCATAACCACTTGAAGAGAGTGATTGGTTTTTTTTTTTTTGTTTTAACCAGGAAAGGGAAGAGACAGTAACCCCGCAGGGAACAGGAAGAGGTAATTTCAGGCAAAAAAGGAAAGGAAAAAGTATTCTGAGGAAGATTATTCTGAGGTGCTGCTGTTGTTCCGACCGAAGCCAACAGCGGCAAAGAAGGAACTGGGGGATGGTTGGCTGCGGGCGATACCCACTCAGAGCAGCGCGTGCATAGCCAAGCAGGGCACTGATACCTTAAATCTCCAACTAGAAGCACAGGGGTGCTCGAATACCTAAAAGTGGAGCACCCACAGGGACATTCCTCGAAGAAGACTATCATCAATTGTCCCTCTAGGCAGCTGTCCATGCCTTCAGATTTTCCTGTACAATCCCCAATCATTTCTACGATATCGTTTTGCTTTGTCAATATAAAAATCTGCAGCAAAATTGAAAGATGGAGGTCAGCGTAAGACAAATTGAATTGATATTGAAGCCACCACAGGGGACTCAATTTTCATATTACATTCACTAGAAGCCTCTATTAGTAAATATACTTGAAACTCCCACATCCAACCTGGAAGTCCTATCAGATGTAGGGATCCTTGCCAGAGTACACAGAGCCTTGTTTATATTCATCTAGATGGAAGCACATCTCTGTACCACACATTTCACAAGGTCAGACAGTTACATCAGCAGAAGCAGGGTTCTATAATGATAAATGCTTTATTTTTCACATCACATAAAAAGAGAGGAACAAAATATCACACAAAAATAGATACAATTAAATGGAGATGTGTATATTTTACATTATCTTGTTTTTAAAGAGAAGACTCAAAGAATATTCATATCCCTGCAAGTTTTAGAAAGGAAAGTTGTTCTGTGGATTTAATTAGCGACACCCTGGATCTGGTAACAGAAAAGATGCCGTTTACACAGGCTTCATGCAAGGAACAGTGCCCAGGGACAGGTTCCCCATGCAGGGAAACTGTCTTGCAACTTGTGTAACATTCTTGATAGTTTGTCTTTGGCAAATACAAACATGGGGATGAACATGATTTACATTTCAAGTCAGAAAATGAAATGTCCTTACTCACAGGAACACATGTGGGCTGAGAATCAGTCTGCATACTTGGCACTCAAACCCTTGGCTCACCCCCCACCCCACCAACTCTTTATGGGGAATTCTGGTTCAGACTCACATCTAGGATGTGAAGAATTGTGCCACAGACAAGGATGACGGGGACCACTCTGTGACCCTCTGGTGAATCAAACCTCAGGAAATCCAACAGTTTTTATTACATTTGGTACAAAGCAGCCAACATTTTCTCTTTCTTCCTTTTCAATTCAAATGCTGTTCAGCCACCTGAGCCTTAGGCAAGGTTAACATGAATTGCAACTAGCATCAAACTGCACAAAAGTCTCCCCACCCCACCCTATTGCCAACTTTCTCCAGACAAAAGACAGTTCTACGATGTTTGGACTGGGCTGCGCCTAAAGAGGAGGCAAGGTTCATACTATATGCATATGAAAATGCAGAAGAGAAGTGTTCTCACTCCAGTCCCAAAACTATCTTCTCCATGGCAAAGACTAATGGCATAGAGTTGGCTTTACCTGATTGATGGAAAAGCCCCACCAAGCTTGTTTTGCCCAGAAGCCTCAAAAAGCGCATAGGAACAGCTGAGTAAGTCCTTTACAGGACATGTCCACAACATTCCTGGGAAAATGCCCATCTAAGTACAAGGTAGCAGCCAAACTGCTACTTAAAGCCCCTTTCATCATGGAGCAAGGGGAGGTGGACTGCAAAGTACAGGGGGAGTCTCAGAAATTCCTTTCCTTTGGGTCATTCTATGAAGTGGTTTGCAAGTCCCAGCACTGTGTTAATGCTGGGTGGGGGTGGGGAAGAGAGAGAGAGTTATAACACTGTGCAGCTGGAGACAGGCCAAGAGTGAGCACTGCATTGAGGCAGGCTGCCAGTTTGCCTGAGAATAGAAAAAACTGACCTTGGGATCAACTGAAGGAATAAGGACAGATACAAATTAGGGTGGGGAGAAAAGACAAAACACCAGTGCTCCAGTTCCTGAATGCACCAACATGAGAGATGCCGTGGCAGTTCCTGTCCCATAAACAATTCAGGCAGGAAAGCAGAGCCTGGGGTTGTGCTGTTGTGGTGGGACAGCAGAGAATTTGTTGGAATTGGTAGTTTGTTAACAGCACATTTTGGAAGCTCCTCTCTGCGGAAGGCTTACAGAGCCTTTTTCAATCCCACTTGTAGAGCTTCACCATCTTCTCAGTGAGAGTGGCCAGGAAGTTATTGCGGTTCACCGTGAAAGGGCAGATGTCCAGCACAGGTAGGTCAGTTTGTAGCTTCTGCCGTAAGGAGCCACTTCCAGCATCCCATACCTGTGAAGTACAAAGGGTCAGGCACCATGATGCTCTCCTCCCACTCAGTCTTGGTTCTAATGCTGTTGGTGGGAAGGAGCCCCTCCTCAAAGAAACATCCCAGCTAGCTCAGCCATTTTCCAACACCTTCTCCAGCCAGGAAAGACTCACTTCTGAGCCACTAAACTTGCCATTAGCCTCCTCTCGGGAAGGTCAGATAATCAGGGACATAGAATCAGAGAATATCAGGGTTGGGAGGGACCTCAGGAGGTCATCTAGTCCAACCCCCTGCTCAAAGCAAGACCAATCCCCAACTAAATCATCCCAGCCAGAGCTTTGACAAGCCTGACCTTAAAAATTTCTAAGGAAGGAGATTCTACCACCTCCCTAGATAACGCATTCCAGTGTTTCACCACTCTCCTAGTGAAAAAGATTTTCCTAATATCCAACCTAAACCTCCCCCACTGCAACTTGAGACCATTACTCCTTGTTCTGTCATCAGCTACCACTGAGAACAGTCTAGAACCATCCTCTCTGGAACCCCTTTCAGGTAGTTAACAGCAGCTATCAAATCCCCCCTCATTCTTCTCTTCCGCAGACTAAACAACTAACTCAGGGAAAATGGAAAGTGGGCAAGGCTGGTCATTTGTGATGAGGCAGTCTGAATTCCGCTTTTAAAAGTTTTTCTTAAAACATGTCCCATGGCTCAGTAACCCTGTACAAAGTTCCTTTAGCTTGCATATATAAATGCAACACTTACTATTGCAAAAGTCATCTTCCAGACATGAACCAAATATGGCCAGTACTGCCTAAGTCCTACCAAAAACCTTGTGCTTCTCTAGAGTATTCCTGTTCTTTGATATAGGATTATGTGTACAGGTAACAGAAGATCTATAAACCCATGTAATTTAGGAATATTACATGCTTCATTAAGAAAAGATCTCTATTTATCAATAGCGTGTGTGTGTTCTGGTTACTCTTATTGGAAAGAATTTTAGTAATACTATTTAATGCATTAAAAAAAAGCTTGTGCACAGATTTTGCAAGGGGAGGGGATTTAAGTTAAAACTGATTTTTCCTAACCCCCACCACTGCTTTAATAATAGGATATGCAGCCTCTTACTTCTGTGACTAGTTTAATTTCAGCCTGGGTTCACTGTGACTATGAGCTACCAACTAGCAGCTCTTCCTTCCAAAGAGGATGGATCTAGACTGTCATCTGGTACCAGTGAGAACAGAACGAGGAGTAATGGTCTCAAGTTGCAGTGGGGGAGGTTTAGGTTGGATATTAGGAAAAACTTTCACTAGGAGGTGGTGAAGCACTGGAAAGCGTTACCTAGGGAGCTGGTGGAATCGCCTTCCTTTGAAGTTTTTAAGGTCAGGCTTGACAAAGCCCTGGCTGCGATGATTTAGTTGGGGATTGGTCGTGCTTTGAGCAGGGGGTTGGACTAGATGACCTCCTGAGGTCTCTTCCAACCCTGATATTCTATGATTCAGCCTGTGGGAGATAATGGATTGAGATGTACCAATTTCCCACCTGGCTGGGATCTACAAAGCCACCTGGCAGCAGTAAGAACCCTTGTTGTTTGTTTCATAGATATTAAGGTCAGAAGGGACCATTATGATCATCTAATCTGACCTCCTGCACAATGCAGGCCACAGAATCTCACCCACCCACTCCTGCAATAAACCTCTCACCTATGTCTGAGCTATTGAAGTCCTCAAATCATGGTTTAAAGACTTTCAGGTGCAGAGAATCCTCCAGCAAGTGACCCGTGCCCCATGCTGCGGAGGAAGGCGAAAAACCCCCAGGGCCTCTTCCAATCTGCCCTGGAGGAAAATTCCTTCCCGACCCCAAATATGGCGATCAGCTGAACCCTGAGCATATGGGCAAGATTCACCAGCCAGATACCCAGGAAAGAATTCTCTGTAGTAACTCAGATCCCACCCCATCTAACATCCCATCACAGGCCATTGGGCCTATTTACCATGAATATTTAAACATCAATTAATTGCCAAAATCATGTTTCAGAGAAGACATGGAGAATGAACCATCTTCACTCCTAGAGATGATCCCTGCAAGTCAGTGTTTAGAAACAGTGGCAGGGCAATGTGGATGAAGCACTATAGCTTCTTGTGCTGTAACTGTTCTGTGGCTCGAGAACAGTCGTCTCCAACAGCTGTTAAGCCAGCTTTCCTCATTATTTTACTGCTCCCAAGGAAGGCTGGATGGACCAATTCTCTATCACACCCTTATGTAACAAGAGGGTTGCTTTGCGGCTGTAGCCATAGCATTTTAACCATAGCTAAATGCCAAGGTACACTCTTACCTTGGAGGCTGAAGTCCTCCTTCAACCTCAGAACAGACACCGCACAGATGGCAGCAGTACAAGTCTTCCTCCACTGTCCCCTGCCAACCTGTCTCAACCCTAACCTGAAGAGACCACCTCTAGGAGGGAAGTTCACTCCCTGGTTTCCATAGACCAGATCATAAGAAGTGATGTTGCGACTCAACAGGCTTGAGCTCTTCCCTGTGAGTTGGTATTGAGCTAGTGTGCCAGCATGCTGCTCCTGTAAGTGGCACTGTACTGGCCAGGTACCATTTGTACAACAGGACATTTTCTTTGGAGGAAAGTGTTAATTCCTAGGCCCTGGACAGAGTCTATCATGGCTAATTACATTCTGCCTACCTACATTCCTCAGGTAGGAAGCAGGCACAAGTTCACTACAGGGGCAACCTGCCTATATTTAAATTACCTTAAGGACACAGTATCTAGTTTTGTGCATTACTGGTTTACAGCCTGAAGCAGTATCTCTAAGTTGCCAGGGAGTTAGCCAGTCCCACAAGCAAAGTATGGAAAGTTAATGTACACACACAAACACCTCCCTGCCCACTCACCTGTTACCTACAATGCAAATTGCATCACACTGGATTTAACAACATGGGACAGATAAGGTTTCTCTCCTAAGCACTGCAATAAAACGCTGCCTGATGAAAATGAAAGGAAAAAAGAAATACCATGGCAGAGTTTGAGGCCTCATCGCCAGCGCACACCAAGATGCTGCCATCCTCTTCTGGACTCTGAAAGATGGCATTTTTGGTCAGCAGTTTGCAGGTGGGCCCAGCACTGAATGTCTGAACTGGGTGACAGGAGCAGACCATATCGACAGATGCATCCGTCAGTTGGCTGCAGGACAGTTCCATCACCACACAATGCAGGCAATTGTTGCTCTTATCTGTGGGATGTAGAGAAAGGGTAACTCCACTGACAAGCTGAGTCACTTGCCAAATACAGGTTTCAGAGTGGTAGCTGTGTTAGTCTGTATCAGCAAAAAGAACGAGGTGTACTTGTGGTATCTTAGAGACTAACAAATTTATTTGACCATAAGCTTTCCTGGCTAAAACCCACTTCATCGGACGCATGCAGTGGAAAATACAGTAGGAAGATGTATATATACACAGAGAACATGAAAAAATGGGTGTTGCCATACACGCTATAATGAGAGTGATCAATTAAGGTGAGCTATTATCAGCAGGAGAAAAAAAAGACAAAAACCTTTTGTAGCGATAATCAGGATGGCCCATTTCCAACAGTTGACAAGAAGGTGAGAGAGTAACAGTGGGGGGCGGAAATAAACATGGGGAAATAGTTATACTTTGTGTAATGACACATCCACTCCCAGTCTTTATTCAAGCCTAATTTAACAGTGTCCAGTTTGCAAATTAATTCCAATTCAGCAGTCTCTCACTGGAGTCTGTTTTGAAGTTTTTTTGTTGTAATATTGCCACTTTTAGGTCTGTAATCGCGTGACCAGAGAGATTGAAGTGTTCTCCGACTGGTTTTTGAATGTTATAATTCTTGACGTCTGATTTGTGTCCATTTATTCTTTTACGTAGAGACTGTCCGGTTTGGCCAATGTACATGGCAGAGGGGCATTGCTGGCACATGATGGCATATATCCCATCGGTAGATGTGCAGGTGAACGAGCCTCTGATAGTGTGGCTGATGTGATTAGGTCCTATGATGGTGTCTCCTGAATAGATATGTGGAAAGAGTTGGCAACGGGCTTTGTTGCGATGATAGGTTCCTGGGTTAGTGTTTTTGTTGTGTGGTGTGGTTGCTGGTGAGTATTTGCTTCAGGTTGGGGGGGCTGTCTGTAAGCAAGGACTGACCTGTCTCCCAAGATCTGTGAGAGTGAGGGATTGTCCTTCAGGATAGGTTGTAGATTCCTGACGATGCGCTGGAGAGGTTTTAGTTGGGGACTGAAGATGATGGCTAGTGGCGTTCTGTTACTTTATTTGTTGGGCCTGTCCTGTAGTAGGTGACTTCAGGGTACTCTTCTGGCTCTGTCAATCTGTTTCTTCACTTCAGCAGGTGGGTATTGTAGTTGTAAGAATGCTTGATAGAGATCTTGTAGGTGTTTGTCTCTGTCTGACGGGTTCTCGTCCCCTAACGCCCCTACTCTACTTGCGCTACATGATGACGACTTCATCATCTGGACCCATGGAAAAAAGCTCTTGAGGAATTCCACCATGATTTCAACAATTTCCACCCCACCTCAGCCTGGACCAGTCCACACAAGAGATCCACTTCCTGGACACTACCATGCAAATAAGCGATGGTCACATAAACACCACCCTATACCAGAAACCTACTGACCACTATACTTACCTACATGGCTCCAGCTTTCAACCAGACCACACCACATGATCCGTTGTCTACAGCCAAGCTTTAAAATACAACCACATTTGCTCCAACCCCTCAGACAGAGACAAACAACTACAAGATCTCTATCAACTTATCCTTACAACAAAGCCCGTTGCCAACTCTGTCCACATATCTATTCAGGAGACACCATAATAGGACCTAATCACATCAGCCACACTATCAGAGGCTCATTCACCTGCACATCTACGGATGGGATATATGCCATGTGCCAGCAATGCCCCTCTGCCATGTACATTGGCCAAACCGGACAGTCTCTACGTAAAAGAATAAATGGACACAAATCAGACGTCAAGAATTATAACATTCAAAAACCAGTCGGAGAACACTTCAATCTCTCTGGTAACTCGATTACAGACCTAAAAGTGGCAATATTACAACAAAAAAAACTTCAAAAACAGACTCCAGTGAGAGACTGCTGAATTGGAATTAATTGGCAAACTGGACACCATTAACTTAGGCTTGAATAAAGACTGGGAGTGGATGTGTCATTACACAAAGTAAAACTATTTCCCCATGCTTATTTCCCCCCCCACATACTATTACTCTCACCTTCTTGTTAACTGTTGGAAATGGGCCATCCTGATTATCACTACAAAAGGTTTTTTTCTCCTGCTGATAATAGCTCACCTTAACCGATCACTCTCGTTATAGTGGGTACAGAAACACGCATTTTTTCATGTTCTCTGTGTGTGTGTATATATATATATATATATATACACACACACATACACACACACACACACACACACACACCTACCTTCCTACTGTATTTTCCACTGCATGCATCCGATGAAGTGGGTTTTAGCCCATGAAAGCTTATGCTCAAATAAATTTGTTAGTCTCTAAGGTGCCACAAGTGGCACCTTAGCAGATGACAGAACGAGGAGTAATGGTCTCAAGTTGCAGTGGGGGAGGTTTAGGTTGGATATTAGGAAAAACTTTTTCACTAGGAGGGTGGTGAAACACTGGAATGCGTTACCTAGGGAGGTGGTAGAATCTCCTTCCTTAGAGGTTTTTAAGGTCAGGCTTGACAAAGCCCTGGCTGGGATGATTTAACTGGGAATTGGTCCTGCTTCGAGCAGGGGGTTGGACTAGATGACCTTCTGGGGTCCCTTCCAACCCTGATATTCTATGATTAAGTACTCCTCGTTCTTTTCGCCAAATACAATTTTTCCCCACTGTACAATAGCCTCTTCAGGAAAGGGCCAGAACTAAGCTGCAAAGAGACTAGAATCCTAATACAAACCCACTCAGGGTCACCACAGGGATGGAAGCCCTAGGCAAGAGGCATTGTGAGGCAAAAGGAATGGTCCATTTGCAGCCAGGCATACCAGGCTTCTCCTCCCAACCCCACTCTCAGCAGCATCTCTTTTGTATATGTGCAGCCACACAAAAAGCTTTACTGTGTCCAAGGGGAAGCATGGTACTAGTGTGTTATCCAGGCCTTCGCCTCTGAAAAGTAAAAGCTTGATTTCTGCTATGCTCTCAATTCCCTGAGGCGCCAGCTTTCCAAAGCTACCACCAAACCCTGGCACCTCGCAGGGGCTTATGTGGCAGGGCAGAATTACGGCAAACTGATAAAAGCACTGCATAAAGGGTGTTGTACTTGCACACAATTACTTACTAGGCCTGTAAGTTGCAAGGCAGTGCCGAGTGCTGATTTCAGTCTGAATATCGATGCAGCCTCCAGACTCTAGAGGCAGATGGTGAGGCCGGTAGGAGTTGGTGGCCTTCTGTTCCCAAAAGCAGCCTCCTTCTAAGGTCCCAGCTATTACCCCACCGTATGGCAGTGTGGTGGAGGCCATTCGGGGCAGGTAGGACAGGGAAACCACAGGACACCTGAAAGGAGAATTTGCAAGAGCGTAACGCCAGCACTTATAACCAATACCAATTTAAATTTATTAAATATTTATGGATGTTCTTCTACATTTTTAATATTGATTTCAATTCCACAGAATACAAAGTGCATAGTGCTCACTTTATATTGCTATTTTTGATTACACATATATATGCACTGTAAAGTGATGAACCAAAAAATAGCATTTTTCATTTCACCTCATACAAGTACTGAAGTGCACTCTTTTTATCGTGAAAGTGTAACTTACAAATGCAGATTTTTTTTTGGTTAAATAACTGCAGTCAAAAACAAAACAGAGTAAAACTTTAGAGCCTGAAAGTCCACTCAGTCCTACTTCTTCTTCTGCCAATCTCTAAGACAAACAAACAAGTTTGTTTACATTGACAGGAGATACTGGTGCTTGCTTATTTACAATGGCACCTGAAAGTGAGAACAGGCGTTCGCATGGCACTTTTGTAGCCAGCGTTGCAAGGTATTTACATGTCAGAAATGCTAAACATTCATATGCCCCTTCATGCTTCAGCCACCATTCCAGAAGACACTTCCACGCTGACGATGCTTGTTAAAAAAATAATGCATTGAATTTGTGACTGTACTCCTTGGGGGGAGAATTGTATGTCTCCTGCTCTGTTTTACCCATATTCTGCATAGATTACATATTACAGCAGTCTCGGATGATGACCCAGCACATGTTCGTTTTAAGAACACTTTCACAGCAGATTTGACAAAACACAAAGAAGGTACCAATGTGAGATTTCTAAAAATAACTACATCACTCAACCCAAGGTTTAAGAATCATAGAATATCAGGGTTGGAAGGGACCTCAGGAGGTCATCTAGTCCAACCCCCTGCTCAAAGCAGGGCCAATCCCCAATTAAATCATCCCAGCCAGGGCTTTGTCAAGCCTGACCTTAAAAACTCCTAAGGAAGGAGATTCCACCACCTCCCTAGGTAACGCATTCCAGTGTTTCACCACCCTCCTAGTGAAAAAGCTTTTCCTAATATGCAACCTAAATCTCCCCCACTGGAACTTGAGACCATTACTCCTTGTTCTGTCATCTGCTACCACTGAGAACAGTCTAGAGCCATCCTCTTTGGAACCCCCTTTCAGGTAGTTGAAAGCAGCTATCAAATCCCCCCTCATTCTTCTCTTCTGTAGACTAAACATCCTCAGTTCCCTCAGCCTTTCCTCATAAGTCATGTGTTCCAGTCCCCTCATCATTTTTGTTGCCCTCTGCTGGACTTTTTCCAATTTTCCACATCCTTCTTGTGGTGTGGGGCCCAAAACTGGACACAGTACTCCAGATGAGGCCTCACCAATGTCGAATAGAGGGGGACAATCACATCCCTTGATCTGCTGGCAATGCCCCTACTTATACATCCCAAAATGCCATTGGCCTTCTTGGCAACAAGGACACACTGTTGACTCATAACCAGCTTCTCGTCCACTGTAACCCCTAGGTCCTTTTCTGCAGAACTGCTGCCGAGCCATTCGGTCCCTAGTCTGTAGCGATGCATGGGATTCTTCCGTCCTAAGTGCAGGACTCTGCACTTGTCTTTGTTGAACCTCATCAGATTTCTTTTGGCCCAATCCTCCAATTTGTCTAGGGCCCTCTGTATCCTATCCCTACCCTCCAGCGTTTCTACCTCTCCTCCAAGTTTAGTGTCATCTGCAAACTTGCTGAAGGTGCAATCCACACCATCCTCCAGATCATTTATGAAGATATTAAACAAAACCGGCCCCAGGACCGAACCTTGGGGCACTCCGCTTGATACTGGCTGCCAACTAGAAATGGAGCCATTGATCACAACCCGTTGAGCCCGACAATCTAGCCAGCTTTCTATCCACCTTATAGTCCATTTTATCCAGCCCATACTTCTTTAACTTGCTGGCAAGAATACTGTGGGAGACCGTGTCAAAAGCTTTGCTGAAGTCAAGGAACAACACGTCCACTGCTTTCCCTTCATCCACAAAACCAGTTATCTCGTCATAGAAGGCAATTAGATTAGTCAGGCATGACTTGCCCTTGGTGAATCCATGCTGACTGTTCCTGATCACTTTTCTCTCCTCTAAGTGCTTCAGAATTGATTCCTTGAGGATGTGCTCCATGATTTTTCCAGGGACTGAGGCGAGGCTGATTGGCCTGAAGTTCGCAGGATCCTCCTTCTTCCCTTTTTTAAAAAGATGGGCACAACATTAGCCTTTTTCCAGTCATCCGGGACTTCCCCCGATCGAATCTGAAGTGCCTTCCAAAATCTGAGAGGGACAAGGTATGGAGTATACTTTTAGAAGTCTTAAAAGAGCAAAATTCTGATGCGGAAACTACGGAACCCGAACCACCAAAAAAGAAAATCAATCTTCTGCTGGTTACATCTGACTCAGATGATGAAAATGAACAGGCGTCGGTCCACTCTGCTTTGAATCATTATCGAGCAGAACCCGTCATCAGCATGGAAGCATGTCCTCTGGAACGGTTTCTGAAGCATGAAGGGACATATGAATCTTTAGTGCATCTGGCATGTAAATATCTTGCAACACCAGCTACAACCGTGCCTTGTGAAGACCCGTTCTCACTTTCAGGTGACATCGTAAATAAGAAGCAGACAGCATTATCTCCTGCAAATTGTAATCAACTTTGTCTAAGTGATTGGCTGACCAAGAAGTAGGACTGAGTGGACTTGTAGACTCTAAAGTTTTACACTGTTTTATTTTTTAATGCAGGTTTGTTTGTTTTTTTAAACCACATAATTCTACATTTGTAAGTTCAACTTTCATAGTAAAGAGACTGCACTACAGTATTTGTATGAGGTGAATTGAAAAACACAATTTTGTTTTTTACAGTGCAAATATTTGTAATAAAAAATATAAAATGAGCACTGTACACTTTGTATTCTGTGTTGTAACTGAAATTAATATATTTGAAAATGTAGTAAACATCCAAAAATATTTAAAATAAATGATATTCTATTGTTGCTTAACATCACGATTAATTGAACAATTAATTTTTTAAATCGCTTGACAGCCCTACAATTTATTCCAGTGCTTAAACCACCCTGACACAGTTAGGAAATTTTTCCTAATGTCCAACCTAAACCTCCCCTGCTGCAATTTAAGCCCAGTGCTTCTTGTCCTAGCCAAAGAGGTTAAGGAGACCAATTTTTCTCCCTCTTCCTTGTAACATCCTTTGTACTTGAAAATGGTTATGTCCCCATTCAGTCTTCTCTTTTCCAGAGTAAACAAACCCAATTTTTTTCAATCTTCCCTCGTAGATTGTTTTCCAGATCTTTAATCATTTTTGTTGCTCTTCTCTGGACTTTCTCAAATTTGTCAATATCTTTCATGAAATGTGCGGCCAGAACTGGACACAATACTTCAGTTGAGGCCTAATCAGTGCAGAGTAGAGCAGAAGAATTACTTCTTGTGTCTTTCTTATAACACTCATGCTAATACATCCCAGAACGATGTTTGCTCTTTTTTGCAACAGTGTTACACTGTTGACTCATATTTAGCTTGTGGTCCAATATGACCCCCAGATCCCTTTTTGCAGTACTCTTTCCTAGGCAGTCATTTCCCGTTTTGTATGCGTGCAACTGATTCGTCACACTAAGGGGAGTACTTTACATTTGTCCTTATTGAATTTCATCCTATTTACTTCATAGTATTTCTCCAGTTTGTCCAGATCATTTTGAATTTTAATCCTATCCTCCAAAGCACTTGCAACCCCTCCCCGCTTGATATCGTCCACTATCTTCATAAGTGTACTCTCTGCGAAATCTAAATCACAGATGAAATATTGAACAGAACCAGACCTAGAACTGATCCCTGCAGGACCCCACTTGATATGCCCTTCCAGCTTGACTTTGAACCACTGATGATTACTCTCTGGGAACAGTTTTCCAACAAGATATGCACCTATCTTATAGTAGCTCCATTTAGGTTGTATTTCCCTGGTTTGTTTATGAGAAGGTTACGTGAGACAGTATCAAAATCCTTACTAGAGTCAAGATATACCACATCTACCGCTTCTCCCCATCCACAAGCCTTGTTACCCTGCCAAAGAAAGCTATTAGGTTGGTTTGACATGCTGTTACTTATCAATGGCTCCATGTCTAGTTGGCAGCCGGTATCAAGTGGAGTGCCCCAAGGGTCGGTCCTGGGGCCGGTTTTGTTCAATATCTTCATAAATGATCTGGAGGATGGTGTGGATTGCACTCTCAGCAAATTTGCGGATGATACTAAACTGGGAGGAGTGGTAGATACGCTGGAGGGGAGGGATAGGATACAGAAGGACCTAGACAAATTGGAGGATTGGGCCAAAAGAAATCTGATGAGGTTCAATAAGGATAAGTGCAGGGTCCTGCACTTAGGACGGAAGAACCCAATGCACAGCTACAGACTAGGGACCGAATGGCTAGGCAGCAGTTCTGCGGAAAAGGACCTAGGGGTGACAGTGGACGAGAAGCTGGATATGAGTCAGCAGTGTGCCCTTGTTGCCAAGAAGGCCAATGGCATTTTGGGATGTATAAGTAGGGGCATAGCGAGCAGATCGAGGGACGTGATCGTTCCCGTCTATTCGACATTGGTGAGGCCTCATCTGGAGTACTGTGTCCAGTTTTGGGCCCCACACTTCAAGAAGGATGTGGATAAATTGGAGAGAGTCCAGCGAAGGGCAACAAAAATGATTAGGGGACTGGAACACATGAGTTATGAGGAGAGGCTGAGGGAGCTGGGATTGTTTAGCCTGCAGAAGAGAAGAATGAGGGGGGATTTGATAGCTGCTTTCAACTACCTGAAAGGGGGTTCCAAAGAGGAAGGCTCTAGACTGTTCTCAATGGTAGCAGATGACAGAACGAGGAGTAATGGTCTCAAGCTGCAGTGGGGGAGGTTTAGATTGGATATTAGGAAAAACTTTTTCACTAAGAGGGTGGTGAAACACTGGAATGCGTTACCTAGGGAGGTGGTAGAATCTCCTTCCTTAGAGGTTTTTAAGGTCAGGCTTGACAAAGCCCTGGCTGGGATGATTTAACTGGGAATTGGTCCTGCTTTGAGCAGGGGGTTGGACTAGATGACCTTCTGGGGTCCCTTCCAACCCTGATATTCTATTCTATGATTCTATTCTACTCTATCAAAAAAAAGAAAAAGTAGTCCCATAATTAGGGCCCTACCAATTTTACAGCCGTGAAATACATGTCACTTCCCTGTGAAATCTATCTCCCCAAAATCAGCTGGATTGGTTAGGGACAGGACTTGTCCTTCCCCTGCACGCCTGTTATCTGAGGGAGATCGGATGAACCTCCACAGGCAGCGCAGAAGTGAAGGTGTAACACCCTCACTTCTGTGCTGCAGTAGCTCCAGAGCTGGGCTCCAGGCTTCTACCCGCGCGCCCCACCCCCATGGCTCTGGTCGAGGCTGGGGACTGCAAGGGCTCCGGCTGGGACTTGGGGCTTCCACCCCTGGGGCTCCTGCCCGGGCTCAGGGACCTGGGCTGGGGGCTACCACCCCCCACAGCTCCAGCCCCCGCAGCTCCTGCCTGGGCTCTGGGTGCTTGAGCTCCGGGACCTCTGCTCCCTCTTACCCCCCCCCCCCCCACGCCATCTCTCCAGCCCAGGGTCAGGGACCTGAGCTGGGGGCTGCCACCCCCTGAAGATCCAGCTCAGCTTGTGGGGCTTCACCCCGGCCTGACTCCTTTCCGAGCTCCAGGGCTGCTGCTGCCACAGTCTGTCCCCACCCCACCTCTTGGCGCTCAAGCTCCGGGGCTTCCACTCCCTCCTCCCCAGGGCGGCTGCCTGCCCCTGCATGGCTCCTTCCCTGGGCTTAGGAAGCTTAGCTGGGAGCTGCCACCCAGGACTTGGGGCTTTTGCCCCGCATAGCTCCTTCCCTGACTCCGGGCCACCCAGGTTCAGGGCTTCTGTCCCCCCTTGGGGCTCCTGCCAGGGCTTGGGGCTTCAGCCCCCGTAGCACCTGCTGGGGTTCGGGGCTTCCATCCTTGGCTCCTGCCAGGGCTGGGGCACCCGTTTTTCAAATTATCCGGGGCCCCTGGGCATGGGCTCCATGGACCCATGCGTTAATCCAGTACTGGTCCTGACTAGCAGCTAGGAGCCCCTAGTTGGGGTGATCCCAGAAGCACTGGGGAGATCAGACCTACCTCCACCTCTGGGAGTCTCCTCCAGATGCAGGAAACTCAGCAGCAGCTGCCTTCAGAACTGGGCTCTGAAGGCAGCACAGACGTGCTTATAGTAATCCTGTAACCCCTCTACAACAGCTTTGGGATCCCCCCACAATCCTCTTTTAGACCAGGACCCCACAGTTACAACACCCTGAAATTTCAGATGTAAACAGCTGAAATTGTGAAATTGACTAATTTTAAGACCCTGTGGCCATGAAATTGACCAAAGTGAACCCAGAATTTGGTAGGGCCTACCCATAATGACGGACATGTAGACATGCTATGTTCCAGAACTATGGGTAACAATTTACTAATCCTTGAAGAGGTGATCACAAATCAAAAGGCTGCAATGCCCAAAGAAGAACTTGCAAACACTTTAAAAAGACCTGCTCCACCATGGAACTTACGGGAGCATCAGAGCCAAAACACTAAGGGAACCCTGAAGAAAACTATTTGTAGTTTGGCACTATTCCTGGGTGCTGGCTCTCCCTGGGAAAACCTTTTGTATGCCACTACGCATACACTCAGAACATGTCTCTTAACGTGCTTAGGAACCAAACAACTTGTCCCTGCTACCTATGAAAGAACAAAGTAGGGAGTCACATTAACCCTATGCCCTTCCCAGAGTCTATTACCTTACACCAGTAGAAGTGCAATGTTGTGAAAAACATCTAATAGCACTCAGAGGCTCAAACTCAAGTTTCCTGGTATAAGACTTCTCAGCATGCTCCAGCCATTGGCAAGCATGGCCTGTTTTAGTGTCCAAACTACACCACACAGCTCCCAGGGAATCCTGACCAGACATCTGTACTAACGTTTAATTCTCAGATGCAGAACTGCAGAGGTGACAGTATCTCAGATTGTTCCATCCCTGCTCCTAGTTCTGAATCTGCCCTGGTTAAGCCATGAGCCAATATTTTTACAGCTTACCGTTAACGTGCACAAAAGATGCTCTTTAATCAGGCAATTATACTCATCTGTTTAAGACGCTACATTTAACTGGCAGTACACTTGTGAAATTCTGGGATAGAGACTGTGAAATCATACCTGGACTTCTGAGGGGCTAGTTCCTGGACATGAGAGCTTGTGTCCCTTAGATCATACACCAGGATAGAGCCATTGACAAGCCCAGCATAGATATAGTTGGTATCATCAAGGCACCAGCAGCAGCTCCAGACAGGGCGGCCGGCATTGTACGTCTGGACCACAGTATTTGTTGTCAAACTGTGGAGGGAAAGGAATATAGTGACAATGCAAACTTATACTGTGGGATGAGAAGACTCAGTGTAACACACCCAGCTAACAAGTCTAGAATAAATCTCTGCCTAAGGAACTGAATAGGAGGCTGTTCCCCACTACAGATTTTAATCCCCATAGTCCAGAAAAGAATCTGAAGAATATAGATAGTATATCACTGTGAAACTGTCAAGATCTAGCATTCCACCAAAGCATATACAGATACTGAAAAAGGTAAAATAACTCCTTCTCTCCGACTTTTTGGTCTGATCCTAGGGAATAAAAATCACTTTATATTGGCTGCAGGGATAGGAGTATCAGACTGAGCTCGTAATTGCTTTGTTGGGAGAGCAGGGTTAAATTACTTGTCTGGAAATAGTTAGGAGGAGAACGCATTGCACTGTGGTCCCAGAATACTGTATTTTCCAGAAATTAGGAGCCTCATTCATTAAGATTCTTCTCCCTGCTTAGTTATTCTCTTCTGCCTGTTTATCTGAGGGCTCAAGTTCTGAGAAACAACATTTAACACCTAAAGGAACTGATTTAAGCAAGCGTTAGAGAGCAAATAGGGTAAACAAAACAGTATACGTATACACACACACACACAAATATGAATGTCAAAAAATTCTTAACAGTTTGCAGAACGCTGTCATTGGGGGAAGTGTATGCTGTGTTTGGGACAAGGCAGAGGAGCTGAAACAGCAGCTGAGGCTGGAGTCACTGAAGAAACTGGAAATTAAAATGGATTTTGCATGGAGGGACGTATCAGAGACATGTGGCAAATTGAGATTCAGTAGGGATGAAAGATAGAGATGATATCAAAAAAGGGAATCTGTAGAGTCATTTCACCCAAGACACCCACAACAAATATTTTGCACAGAAGGAACCACCCGGGGGTGGGCGGGGCGGGGCAGGAGGTCAGGTGACCCTGATGAAGATTCTCATAGTTAGGAACCAGACGACAGTGATTTAGGCAGAGAACAATGTGTTATGTTTTCTTCCATGTACCAGAACAGGAGATGTAACAAAGGACAAAACACAACCTGGAGGAGAATTATTAGGGATATGCAAATGGCAATAAGTGATTAGAAAAGGGAGGTTGACACAGTCAAGCAACCTCAGGGACCAATGCAGGGAAAGCGAAGAGTAGGTTGAAGCAGGCAATCTTCTGAGAGAACATTCTGGTATCAAGCAAAAGTGAAGACTGGATACAACTTGTTAGAGACCAACTGATGGACGTATCAGTAGTGTAAAGAGGAAGGTTTGCGTATCAAGCATTGGTATAAATTCTGTGATGAGTGGCAACTACTTGCATTAAACTGTCTCCATTTATGCAAGAGTACCAACCTTACAGGCTCAGAACTTACACACTGGCTTTAAAGTAGGCAGGAAGGAGTAACTTGTTTAACTCAAAAATATCTGACATATTCCACCATATAGACAATAGGAATGGGAAAATTAGAATTAAATTAATCTTACTGCAAAACAACTCTACTTTTTTAATTACGTATACAGGTACGCCATGAGCATGAAGAACTGGAAGAGACATCAACCTCATAACCTAGAGGGCATAACTGTAGCCTGTCCTAACTGAAAAGAGAAACGTAAGTCGAGTAGCACTGGATCTCAAGATGTTTAGTCAGCCAGTGAGAAATATCAATATAGGTAGTATGGAGTAAGGAGATAAGGAGTGACAAAAACCCCCAACACCACAATACTCAATGGGCATCTGCTACAGACCAGGACTGGAGGAATCCCACCTATCCTGTGGGATTCCTCTACCGCAGGGGTGGGCAAACTTTTTGGCCTGAGGGCCACATTGGGGTTCCAAAACTGTATGGAAGGCTGGGTAGGGAAGGCCGTGACTCCCCAAACAGCCTGGCCCCCACGCCCTATTAGCACCCTCCCTCCCACTTCCTGTCCCCTGACTGCCCCCCTCAGAACCCCTGACCCATCCAAACCACCCTGCTCCTCGTCCCCTGACCACCCACTCCCAGGTCCCCTGTCCCTAACCTCCCCCCCCATCCAACCCCGCACCCCGCTCCCTGTCCCCTGACTGCCCCAACCCCTATCCACACCCCCGCCCCCTGGGACTCACACCTATCCAACCACCCCCTGCTCCCTGTCTCCTGACTGGCTCCTGGGTCCCCTCTGCCCCTTATCCAACCCCCCCCGCTCCCCACCCCCTTACCATGCTGCTCAGAGCACCAGGACTGGCAGCCATGCCGCCGCGCAGTCTAGGGCACTGGGGCAGGCTGGAGGATCTTGCAGCCCTGCCATCCAGAGCGCTGGCGGCTCAGTGAGCTGAGGCTGCGGAGGATGGGGGGACAGCAGGGAAGGGGCCGAGGGCTAGCCTTCCCCAGCTGGGAGATCAAGGGCCAGGCAGGACAGTTCTGTGGGCTGGATGTGGCCCGCGGGCTGTAATTTGCCCACCTCTGCTCTACCCCAACATGTCCTTTTAAGTCTCCCAGCACAGCTGTAGAGATGTATTGTTCCTACATTAGTGGAACAGCAGTTCTCAGGAGTGCTGCTTAGTGCTCTTTCCATATACTTAGGCTGTGTGCAGCTCAACCTTGATTAGAAGTTTCAAATCAGAGCAACCTTCTGAGGAGTAGGGAACAGACAGAGGAAAACAGTAAAAACCCTGATCCTAGATCAAAGAGAATCAAGCAGGTAGTAAAAGTCACACTAGCAGATAATGCTACATCTGTGCCACAAGATACAGCTGATTTGTGCTGGCTTACTTTCAAAGCTGTACCCAACAGAGATGCCACTGAGAGGAGGCCCCAGGAAAAGGTGACATAATCCCTCCTTCATTAAAGGGACTAGGAAGTGAGAACAATTCATCATGATAATGCACACATTCCAGAGGACGGATGAACTTCAAACTGAGATCTGTTCTCAACTCCCTGCGAGAAAGAAAAAATGGGTGCTCCAAAGTGCACACAGAGGTGAGCTAGAGATAAAGCCAAACCGGAAAATGTGAAGGGCAGATAGGGCTGGCTGCCCCTGTTTAGCAGCACACACCTGGTAAGTTTGAGCGTATGGTCCAAAGCAGCAGACAGCAGCAAGCCATCTGTCCGATTACTGAAGGCCAGTCCCCGGATCTGCTTACTGTGGATGGGAATGTACTGACTGCTCTTCAGGTTGGCAGCACTTATCATCTTAAAGCCACAACCTGTCATGAAGAAAGGACAAAGCTGATCAGATACTATGTATGCTGGTGACTACATCAAGTTATTGGGGTGTCTGATTTTAAGCTATGGTCTCACTTCAGTATTTATGCTGAACTTGTGAAGTGTGCACAGGAAGGGTAGGTATCTTGTTCTGGAGATCAATCACTACAGAACTCCTTTTTCTGCTCCTCCACGCGTTCTGGTCAGTGTGACAGAACTCATGAGAATTTCAGCATTAGTATCATAATCTGTCAGTTGCTCTCGACCCAGGTCCTAGACATTCTAGCCAAATTAAACAAATCCCAATGTTCAGTGTGGCTGGAGCGCTATACAGCATGATAATGTACTTTCAAAGAATAGTTACAGGTTACAGGTAAACTGTTCACTTGTACTCTAGAAATGTCACTATACAGAGCTGCATTCCGATATTACTGAGCCAGAGAGCTGTCCCTATATAGAAGCTAAGATGACTAAGGTGAACTGAGAAGTTGTTCAGAAAGAGGAGGAAGTTACTCACCTTGTCCAGTAACTGACTTTCTTCGAGATGAGTGTCCTTGTGGGTGCTCCACTCCAGGTCAAGGTGCCTCCCTGTGCCTTCGATCGGAGATTTTCACAGCAGTTCCCATATGGGCCTCATGCACTGTCAGTGCTGGAACAGCACGTGCATGGCCCAGACTCCTCAGTTCCTTCTCTACAATGAAGCCTGCTCCAAACTCCGAAGTAGAGGGGAAGAGGTTGGGTAGTGGAGCATGCCACAGGGATGCTCATCTTGAAGAGCATCAGTTACTGCACAAGGTGAGTAACGTCTTCTCCTTTGAGAGACGTCCCTGTGGGTGCTCCACTCCAGATGACTGAAAAGCAGTATCTCTTATGATGGTCGGGACTGCGGATCTGGTAAGAAAGTGGTTGATAAGACAGCTCGACCCAGTTGGGTGTCTGATGAAGGACCATGCATGAGAGCATAACGTTTAGCAAACAAAGGTCCGACGCCTGAGTGGCCACCTTGCATATGTTGGAAAGCAGGACGTTGCGGAGAAATGCTATGGAAGTGGACCGGATCTAGTAGAGCAGTGGTTTTCAAACTTTTTTCCTGGTGACCCAGTTGAAGAAAAGTGTTGATGCCCGAGACCCAACAGAGCTGGGGATAAGGGGTTTGGAGTGTAGGGGTGAGGGGTAGGGGGTTTGGGGTGCAGGAGGGGGTCAGAGCTCTGGAGTGCAGAAAGGGGTTCTGGGTTTAGGGGGAGCTCAGGGCTGGGACAGGGGATTGGTGCGGGGGCAGCTCCCGGTCAGTGGGGTGCTAAGGCATACTTCCTGCCCATCCTGGCACCGTGGACCACACTGCGCCCTGGAAGTGGCCAGCAACAGGCCCGGCTCCAAGGCGGAGGTGCGCAAGTGGCTCCATGCAGCTCTCGCCTGCTGGCACAGCCCCTCCTCCCCCCACTCCCATTGGCCAGGAGCCAGTGCTTGGGGTGGGGGTGGCGTGTGGAGCCCTGTGGCCCCCCTCCTGCCTAGCAGCCGGACCTGCTGCTGGCTGCTTCCAGGGCACAGCGCAGTGTCAGAACAATTAGGGACTAGCCTGCCTTAGCTGGGCAGCACCACCAATGGAACTTTTAATGGCCTGGTCGGCGGTGCTGAGGGGAGCCGCCGTGACCCAATGCCTTACAGTACTGGGTTGCGACCCGCGTTTTGAAAACCACTGTAGTACAGTGTGCCTTGATTGCCACAGGAGGTTGGACTTATTTCAATTGGTAACTGATGTATGCAGTACGATATCCATTTGGATAGTCTCTGGGTGGAGATCGCTTTGCCCTGAGATTGTTGAGCGATAAAGAGCCTAAGGATCTGTCTAAATGGCTTTGTTCTATCATGATAGAAGGATAATGCTCTATGAACGTCAAGCATGTGCATTGCTGCCTCAAATACATTAGCATGTGTCTTTGGGAAGAATGTTAGTAGGTGAATAGGTTCATACAGGTGAAAAGATGAATGCATCTTAGGAAGGAATTTAGGATGTGTACAAAAGTGTAACTGTTTCTGAAGAAGGTAGTATACAGAGGTTCGGCCATCATTGCTCCGAGTTCCCCCATGCGTCTGCCAGATGTAAATGCCACTAAGAAAGCGGTTTTCATGGATAGGTGTAGAAGGGAGCAGATAGCCAAGGGTTCAAAGGGTTTGTACATCAAAGCTGTGAAGACCAGGTGTAGATCGCATGGCTCAGCCGGTGGTCTTATGTCCGGGTAGAGTGTTTGGATACCTCTGAGGAATCTTTTGGTGACGGGATGGGAAAAAAACAGTGGTGTTCTCTACCTTGTGGTGAAATGTTGTGTTTGCAACTCAGTGAATCTTTACTGAGCTAAGAGAAAGGCCGGCTACTTTGAGTTCTAGAAGGTAGTCTAGTATCAGTGGAAGGGGGTGGAAGCTGGAGGGGTGTGTCTGGCAGAACATCAAGTGATGAACCATTTCCATTACTGCAGAGAGGTAGTGAGCGTGGAGTGTGTCCTGCTATGTAATAAAACTGCATGCTTAGAACAAGTCCAGGCTAGTTTCTCATTAGAGAACCATTGAGTAGCCATGCTTTGAGGTGGAGCATTGCTATGTTGGGGCAATATAACTAGCCCCTGCATTGTGATAGTAGGTTGGGGAGTGGGAGAAGCAACATTGGGGGACGGACGGACATCCTTGTTAGAAAGGGGTACCACGGTTGCCTGGGCCATGTCAGAGGTATTAGAATGACCTGGGACTTGTCTTTCCTTATTTTCTGTACCACTCTGTACAGAGGTATTGGTGGGAATGCATACAGCAGTGTCGAACCAAGTGATCATGAATGTCTCTCCCAGAGAATGCTTTTCCAGACCTGCTCTGGAACAGAATGTTGGACACTTCTTGTTGACTGCAGTTGCGAAGAGATCCAGTTGGGGATAGCCCCAGCTCTGGAAAATGTTGTGTAGAGTGGTGTCATTTAGCTCCCACTTGTGATGGAGGGGGAAGGATCGACTGAGCTCATCTGCTGGGTGTTCTGAGAACCTGGGACGTGTGAGGCCGAGATGTGAATATTGTGTTGGAGGCACCAGTTCCAAAGTTTTATAGCCTTAGTGCACAGGAAGTGGGATCGAGCTCCCCCTTGACTGTTTATGTAAAACATACATTAGATGTTGTCGGTCATGACTGATCTTGTAGTTCTTGATGAGGGGAAGAAAATGGAGGCAGCCATTGCAGACAGCTTGGAGCTCTAGGTTTATATGAAGTGTGATTCTGTTGCCGGCACCCAGTGCCGAGAGGCTGAACAACAGCTTGAGTTGGTTCGTTACCCGGTGTGCTACACCCAATAATCACAACGGGGTGGAGAAGCAGAAAAGTTTATTTGCAGCTGCAAAAAGGTACAGGGAGATTTGAATCTCAAATCCTGTACAACAGAGCAGGAAGTTACACAGGCTTTTATACATCCTTTTTCCCAGCATACTTATCCAATAGCAAGCTGCTCCAAGTATCCATATAGCCAGCCAATCCAGTTCCCAGCTAGTTCCCTGATTCTCTGTATCATTTGTTAAACTATACATAAAGCTGCTTTATTCAGCATTGTTCTTCCATATCTCCCGTTTGGCCTTGCTTAGTTTCAGGCAGTCTGACTCTGCAACATACTGTTGCAGATTCTCAGCATAACTGCTGTGTGTGCCTCCAGGCGGGGGGGCCAAGGACACTTGGGCCTAGCACGCAGAGCTGCTGCGAGTGCCTCCAGGCAGGAGGAGGGGGGCCAAGGACACCGGGGCCTAGTGCGAGGGGGCTTCATCGACACTCGTGGTCTTCCATCCCCTCGAGTTACCTAGTGGCCATGCCCCAGTGTTCCCAACAATTTCTTCAGAAGACCAGAGGCCTTGAGTTATGAGATGGTCCATGTGTGCTCCCCAGCCAGTGAGGGATGAATCTGTCGTGATGATAATAATGGAGGCAGGATCCTGCTGGAAGGGGACCCCAGAACACAATTTGAGAGGAAGGGTCTACCATATGAGCAAATCTTATACTTTTGAGGGGATAGTTAGCAGTCTGCTTAGTCTGTGCACTTTGGGTTTGTAAACTGATGAGCCAGCCCTGTAGGCATCGCATGTACAGGTGTGTGTTCATGACAATGAATGTGCATGCAGCCATGTGGCCTAAAAGTTGTAGGCAGTCTTGAGGGGTGACCTGTGGGCTGCTCCTTACCCTCATGATGAAGGTTGCTCAGTGTGCAAAATCTGTCCTTTGGAAGTGATGTGAGACCTGTGGTGGAATCATGATGAGCTCCTATGAAGTCTAGCTGCAGGGTAGTATGTAAAGAAGATTTGTTTATGTTTATTTGCAGGCCAAGGCTGTGGAAGCAATGTACGGGTGTGTAGGTCGTTCGAATGTCTCCTGAACACACGGTTGGAAGCCAGTCATTCAGGTAAGGAAAAATAATTACTCTCTTTTTTTTGAGGTGTGCCATTACAACAGCTAGAATTTTGGAAAAAACTTGGGGAGCAGTTGAAAGACCAAAGGGCAAAACTTGTACTGGTAATGATCCATGCCCAACACAAATCTGAGAAAGTGTCTCTGGGGAGGGTGTATAGTGACATGAAAATACGCATACTGCAGGTCGAGGGCTGAAAACCGATTTCCCTGCCCCAACACTGGAATCATCGTTGACAGGGTAACCACCCTGAATTTCAGGATGAACATGTTTAGTTGTCAAATATCGAGAATAGGTCGCCACCCCCCACTTTACTTTTTGGTCAAGGAATAGTGGGGAATAAAATCCCTTCCCCCGCTGTGGAGTGGGGTACCTGCTCCACTGCTCCTGGTTGTAGAAGATGGTGCACCTCTTGACAGACCAAGTGGTTGTGAGAAGGGTCCCTGATGAGTGATGGGGAGCGAGGGTGGGTAGGGGGCATGGAGAGGAAGGGGATGGCATAACCCGATCGGATGATTTCTAGGACCCATTTGTCCGTAGCGATAGCTTCCCAGTTGGTGAGGTATAGGAGCAGACGGCGTCCAAAAGGATGGATGGTTGCAGTAGGCGCTGGAGTGGGTGGGAGGTCTTCTATACCCGCAACCAAAGCCTCAGATCTGCTGGTTTGATGGAGGGGGTTGAGGCTTCATTGGGTTCTAGGTCTATGGCGTTACTGTTGTTGTGGATTGTAATGTCTTTTCTGTTGCTGGGTGTAGGAGGGATATTCTGGGCCTTGGCAAGGCTGATAGCTGTTTTGTCTCATCCTTGTCCCTCTGCAACATATGCCTGCCACCTTAGTGTGGCACACGAGTCCTTCATGGTATGGAAGGCCTCATTCGTTTTTGCTGCAAACAGCTTCTTGCCATCGAAAGGGACATCGTCAACGTTTTGGTTAGGGTTAGGAAGGAGGAGGAGGTGAACCATGAGGATCACCGTGTGACAACAGCCGTGGCGGTGGATCTGATGGCTGTGTCAGCAGCATCAAGGGGAGCCTGAAGAGCCATACGGGATATTATCTGTCCCTCAGAGACCCCAGCTTTAAATTGTTGTCGCTTGTCCTCAGGAATGTCATTAATAAATTCCACAAATTTAGCATAGTTCCTGTGGTCATACTTTGACAAAAGAGCCACATAGTTCACCACCCTAATTGTAAGGTGGAAGATTAATACACTTTGTGGCAAATAAGTCCATCCTCTTGCTCTCCTTATCAGGTGGGGTAGCCCGGAAATGTTGCTGTTTTTTTTCTGGTCGGCCGCCTCAACCACCAACAAATTGGGCGACGGGTGTGTACAGAGAAACTCTGAACCTTTGGAGGGGACGTAATATTTGCAGTCTGCTTTCCTGGAGGTTGGGGGTATAGTCGCGGGAGTCTGCATTATGGTTTTAGCTGGTCCCATGATGGCCCCATTGATTGGCAATGCTATTTTGGAAGAGGTGGTGGGTTATAAAATGTCAGTAAGCGCGTCTTGGTGTTCAGACACTTCCTCAAGAGTAATCTTGAGCTCATCAGCAACTCTTTTAAATAAGTCCTGGACGTGTGTGAAACAGTCAGCTGTTGGTGGTGGCAGAGGCATAATAGCCTTCTTGGGCAAGACAGATGAGTGTTTATTAGTTGGAGAGGTGTCAGGTGTGATATCCTCTGCTGGCTGAGCTGCTGGTTCATCTCGTAGCTTGGCATCATTGTTTGTGGCTGGGGGAGGAGATCTAAGATCCTCTCTGCATGAGGTAGGTAGAGTGCTACAACGTCTCTTATAAGATTCCCAGGGATTCCAGTATGGCCAATGGCTGGGGAAATGTATGAGTGGTCCCACTCAAGGGTGGCCATATTAGGGTGGGAATTCCCTGGAATATGAGGAGCAAGATCTAAGATGTCCCCCAGTCACAGGTATCTTAACGGGAAGAATAGCATGGAGAAAAAATGCCGTCAATGTCCTCCTCACTCAAGAGGTGTGAAGGGGCAGGAGACAGTTGCGAGATAGTCCCGGTGAGAGGTCAGTGCCTAGTAGAGGAGAGACTGGAGTGGGAGCGATAGCTAGGTCTCTGTGGTGGAGAAACTGGGGCTGTGCAGTGGCTGGCAATGCTGAATGGTGAGGCACTATAGGCAGGTGAGGCGCCATGTATTGAGACTGTGCCGATGCAGGAGGCGCAGTCCATGCTGGCGGCGCTTTGGGCTGAGCTGATGTAGCTGCCAATGATGAAGGTGCTATAGACTCAGCGAGTGTCGTGCGCGAAGTCGGCGATGAGAAGTATGACACAGGGAGCATGGTCGGTGGAGCTTGTGGTGTCAGCACCGCAGCAGTAGTTGGTGACATCAGTGCCATCACACTAGTCGGTACCAGGTTCTTGTTGGTGACCAACTGTGCTGCATTGGAGGCAGGCAACTCAAAGCCTTGAGCCTCGGCACCAGAGCTCGTGGCTGCTGACGTGTGGTTGGTGCCAGAGAAGCCTGGAGAAGTGTATGTGCTAAGCCATGGAACGGCCAGCACTGACAGAGCCGAAGTAGTCAGCGATTGCTTGGAAGAGGTGTGCCTCCTGAGACGGGAGGAAGCCGGTCATTTCTTTGCCCTTTTTTTATCCTGTGAGGATTTTGGTGGTGAATTCTATCGGAAGGAAGACTGCTGGCCTGAGTCCGATGAGGATCTGAGGGACTTTTCCAGGAGGATGAGCTTCAGTCTGAGGTCGCTGTCCTTGTGGGTCCAAACTTTAAGTTTACTACAGTGTACGCATTTTTGGAGTACGTGGGATTTCCCCAAACATTGTATGCACTGAGAATGGTCATCAGAGATGGCGTCTTTGCATTTTAGGCATCTCTAGAAGCCTGGTGAACCAGACATATTGGGAGTCACTAACTCTGAAGTAAAGAATTTTTAAAAAATTTTTTTATAGGAGGTAAGTAATAAACTTATCTAAATAAGTAACAAACTAATTAACTACTAGAACTGTATCTAAACAATGGCTATGAAGAGTGAAACTGCTAAACTCTATCTCTGGACGGGGATGGTGGAGAAGGAACTGAGGAGTCTGGGCCATGCACACACTGTTCAAGCACCGAGAGCACGCAAGGCAGGCACTGTGTGTGCGCGGCCCATACAGAAACTGCTGCAAAAAAATCTGGGATCGAAGGTGCAAGGACGCACCTTCACCTAGAGTGGAGCACCCACAGGGACATCTCTTGAAAGGTTAAGATCCCAAATCATTAACCACATAAAATAATTTGTACTTCAAGTGTCAGAGAATGTCAAAGCTCTTTGCAGTGAAAGCCGGTATGACTGTGTACCTATTTTACAGACAGGAAATAGCTCAGAGAAGACAAGCAACTTGTCCAAGGTCACACAGCAAGTCAGAAGCAGAGTTGTGACTATAATGCAAAGGGGTTCCCAGTCCTCTTCACCCACAGGGTAATACTGCCTCTGTACATATATGCACTTAGTTACAAACGCATTCAAAAACAATATTTGTTTGTTCCCACATTTACTGGCCAATCCACGCTTCCGAATCTGATGTTTTCTATATGAGAGATTGCATTTAAATCTTTTACCTGATTCCCTTAGGTGCTTGTCTCCAGCTCTTGCAAGGGTGCAATAGTCTCTGTGAGAGGTATCACACAGATCTTTCTGCACCCCTCCCAAGGGGATGGGATTTCAGAACGAAGAGGCAGAGCTGTGAAGATTAATTACTGGGAGAGTACAATTACCAGCTGCCAATGGGGAGGTAAATTACACTACTGGGAAAAAGCGGAGTAGGGGTCAGGTGGAATGTGGGAGTTGTATTAGTGAGGGAGCACCCCTAATCCACAGGGCGGTTGTGTGGGTGGGGTAGAGGAAGAAAGAGCAGAGAACATATTTAACTTTTTTAAGCCTGCAGATAAAATTTTTTTGATTCTTTCTATAAAACCCAGAGTGTCTTTAGTTATTTTCTGATTTACCAGGAATAAGTGTGGCCTGCGGAGAGGGCTGTGACACCACTAGACAGCTCAGTGAGTCACAGTAAGCCATAACCCGGCAGCTCCCTGACTGAGAAACCAGGAAGGCCTTCTCAAAGTGGTATTTGTGCTGGCTCTGACTGGAGGAGACGCAGCCTGGGAAACAGGAACGGGAGCTGCCAGGTTGCTGAGAGGCGCTAGTGCTGTGCTGGGCCATCAGTGCTTTCAGCTCCTGAAAAGAAAGAGGACAGAGTTTTACTACTCCCTTAAAGTTGTAACTCAGTGTGCTGTGTATTAGGGCTAGTCTACACTAGAAGTGCTGCAGCTGTGCCACTGTAGCGCATCTGGTGAAAAAACTTGATGCGGATGGGACAGAGCTCTCTCGTTGGCATAATAAATCCACCTCCAAGAGAGGCAGTAGCTATGTCAGTGGGAGGTCTCCCACCGACAGAGCTGTCCACACTGGTGTGTAGGTCGGTGTAATTTCCTTCACTCGGGGAGGTGGCTTATTAACACTTGAGTGACACAAGTTATTAGTGTAAACTTGGCCTTTGTTTCTGCTTGCAGATACAGGAGTCTGATACACCTCAAAGGCAGGGATGTGGGAACATGGGCTGTTCCATAACAATGAAAACTACTGTACTCCATTTCCATGCTATTACTGGAGTGCTAGATTTCCAGTTTACTCTGACTGTAAGTACAATAGAAATCTGCAGACTACTCCAGCAAGCTCTGTTGAAATCTTTAGTCAAAATCTCTTAATATTATGTGTATTAGAACCAGTAAGAAAAGGGACCCATGGGCACCACACAAAATCCAATCACCACCAGGTCAACAATGTTTAGAAAAGTTTCAGAGTAACAGCCGTGTTAGTCTGTATTCGCAAAAAGAAAAGGAGTACTTGTGGCACCTTAGAGACCAACCAATTTATTTGAGCATGAGCTTTCGTGAGCTACAGCTCACTTCATCGGATGCATACCGTGGAAACTGCAGCAGACTTTATATACACATGTTTAGAAAAGAATGGAGTCACCATTAAAAAAAACCACAACCAATTAGAACCATTTTCAAGAGTTTCTAGAACATCCCAGATGGAATGAAAATCCTTGGTTTCAAGGTTAGAAGTGTCACAGGAATTCACCACCATGAAGATAGTGCAGATTAAAGGAACTGACCTACACACTGGTCTTTATAATCCTGGCCAGCAGAGATTCCAGGAATGATTGAATTTTGTAAGAACCCAAGACTTGTTCACTTTCTCCAAAGCCGAAGAACTATGGTTCAAAATGTTCAGTACTGTAGCTCTCAAAAGAGTGACTTTTAATCCAACAAAGGAAGAGCCACTTTCACACTACTGAAAGGCAAAGACTCACAGTGTGTTAACAGATGTTCACTGGATAATTTTCCTCCCCACAAAAGATCATCCACAGAAAGTATGAGGGTATGGCAATTTTGAACATTATAACTCTGACAAGAATTCTGCCCAAATGGTTATAACCCAACCCGAAGTCATGACCACCAGCACTAATCCCATGATTCTATACTATTACATAGATATTTACAAATACCTAAAGCAGACAGATAAAGAGAGATGGGGCCTGCTTTCCACAGCTTGGATAACTTAAGATATACTCCAAATACAGTACTGTCTGCAAAACTATTAAGCACCATAGAAATGATATTATAGATTTAAGATCTCCAAGCTCCTAACGTATGCATAAACTAGCTTTAATAATTGCACCAACTAATCTTGCTCAAACCAGAAATAGTCAACAGCAACAGTTCTAAAAAGACAAACATTAAAAGAAAATAGGAGTTAAGGTCAAACTAATTTATAACGATCCTCAAGCCAAAACACAACAAACAAAAACACAAAATAAAACAAAAAAAACATTTTAGGAAAAAGGGTTTGAGAGCTTAAATATAGGTTTCACTTCACATCTCCCAAAAACCTTCTCTGATTTGCCTCAAAAGCCCAGATTCTACCCCAGCATAAGACCAAACATGTGATGTTTCAAGGGGATTGGAGTAGCAATAGGCAAAGACAGGAGGATTTGGGGAGGGAAAGGAGGCCATAATGATGTTAATGGAATTTCATCCTTAACTAGAGAGAGTGGTGTCTTTCAGAGAAAGATGCAGGTAATTAAAAAACAAAAAACAGAAGTGACAAATTTTCACCACATTAAAGACTTTATTCAAAAGCCTCACCAGTTAATTTTTTAAAGACAGGAAGATAAGGCAACTGGGGAGGAGAGGGGATTCAACAGATTTTCCACAACAAGCAGCTACCAGACCCTGCCTATCACCTGAGTTTAGCAGAGTGAAAAAGTAGATACTGCTGTCAAACAGGAAGGGACCCCTGTAAATGAGCTGCAAACACAGTTGGGGTAGTGGAGAACAGAGGGACCAGAATAATCTCCCCGTGGCAGAGGCCGGGGTTGGAGAGGTTGTGGAATGAATAGAGGCGGAGGAATGAACTGAGAGAGCAAAGGAGTGTCGTCTGGAGTGCTGAAGCAGAAGAATCAAGATCTTAAAGGAGAGAATGAGAAGTTAGGGGCACAGCTGCAGGCATGAATGATTAGCAAAGAGTGTCAGAAGAAAGAAAATAAGGCTGTAACAAAGGTTGCTAAAGCGACTGTTTTGGCTTCCAGATTGAACGATCCTGTGGTTAGCGACCAGCTAGCATAGGACAGCCCTCCCAGAGACTCTGAATGTGTTTTTCAGCAACCCATGACAATAGATGTCAGGGGGCACCCGCTCTTAAGCATCCAAGTTGGGGATGGGCTTGTAAATTTTCTACTGGACATGGGGGCAGGAATCCCCATAGTAAAAGACATATGTAGTGCATACCCAGTTACAGACTGTACAAATACAGGCAATATCAGGAAACAAGCAAAAAATGTAAAAACACCTTCTCTACAGTTTGGTGCTCATGCCATTCAGGAGAAGTGTGCTATCATAGGGAGAGAACATTTAGTGGAGCGGAAACAATAGAGCGATTGGGAAATTTTCCATCAAATAATTGATATGTTAAAGTAGTGGTCACCAACCAGTCGATCGTGATCGACTGGTCGATCCTGGAAACTCTCCCAGTCAATCGCGATCTCCAGTGGTGCAATGGGGTTGCCAGCTGCTGCTAAGGCAGGGTCCCTGCCTATCCTGGCCCCACGCCACTCCCAGAAGTGGCCTGTGGCGTGGGGGTTCAGGTTTCAACATGCTGCTCCTGCCTGCAAGCACTGCCCCCAAGGCTCCCATTGGCCGGGAACAGGGAACTGTGGCCAATGGGAGCTGCGGGGGTGATGCCTGTATAGGGGGGCAGCGCAAGGAGCCACATGCCCCACCCAGGGAGAAGCATGGAGCCGGGGCTGCCCAAGTTAAGTATCGCTCCTTTCAATGGGCAGGTGCTGAATGGCTCTGCAGCATTAAGACCAGAAGTAGCATGAATACAGCAGGCCCAACTATGCTGGATCAGCACTTCTCTTCTACCAGCCAACCTGCATCCTCCCATACTTCCTTCTGCACCCCAAGACCCAGCCCTGAGCCCCCTCCCAGAGCCAGCACCTCATACCCCCTCCTACACTCCATACCCCCTGCACCAGCCCTGCCTCCCTTTCCAGAGGCAGCACTCTGTACCCCCTCCTGCACCCCAACACTCTGCCCCAGCCTAGAGCTCTTTCCTGCACCCAAACTCCCTCCCAGAGTCCACCCCCTGCACTCCCTCCTGCACCCCAACCCACTGCCCCAGTCTCAGGCTAGAGCTCCCTCCCACACTGTGAGCCCCTTGGCCCCAGCGCAGAGCCTGCACCCCCTCCTGAACCCCAACCCCCTGCCTGGTGAAAGCAAGTGGGGGTGGAGGAGAGCAAGCGACAGAGTGGGGGGACGGAGTGAGTGGGGCAGGGCTTCAGGGGAAGGGGCAGGGTACCTCCTGGGTTGCCCTTAAATTCAAAAAGTTATCTTGAGCGTAAAAAGGCTGGAGACCACTGCGTTAAAAGTGTCATCATTGGGCTTAGCATTAACAGACGAATGTGATAAATAGGGACAGAATTCACATCTGTTAGAGCTATTGTTGCAATCTCTGTTTGCAGACTCAGGAAGACAGCACTGCATCAGTTCATATTTGGTTCATTGCTGGAAGGTCCCGTCCCCCCCCCTCTCCCCAGGACATCTAGAAACTTTCAGGAGAATATTTTAAAAACTCAAATCTCAATCTGTCATGTGAGGCACAACATATATACCCAGAGGGTTGGCATTTGACACCACTGTTTTAGATGTACATAAGCAAGGTGCTGTATACTCTGTCTTGTGCATTGTTCGTGGGATCTACCCCTTGCTACAGAACTGTACTCCACAACTTAAATTTTCATTAAAAACCTCCACGCATTTCCAGCCCTTACAGGTATGACAGTAACTCTGAAAATATAAATGAAGCAAGGCCATCGTTGTGAGCCTGAAACAATAGCTTGAGAAGTGTGAGCTGCTCCGTTCATCTCAAAGGACTGAAAGCGCTGAAATCTTGGGATGACAATTTAAAATGTTAACACTAATTATTATTAGTGCTGATTATTTTAGCAAAACTATCCAGATGCGTGCTTAGTTTCACACTCCCACATACACATTTCCTGATTTGCAAATGAAATTGCTGCACAATTTTCAGTCTGTCTCAGAATGCCACAGAATCCAGGGACCTTGCTAAAGAATTAAGTTTCAGCTTGCCACAGTGAACAAGGGGCTATGCACTTAAGGTAGCCTTTTCTGACTATAAATGCGCAAGCAGCTAATTAATATGCTTTTAATGAGAAAGCCACAAAATTTTATTATATACAGTGGTTAAACTACAATAAAAGCCAAGATACATTGCACATATGCACTCAGTAGCTCAATTTTAATACCAGAAGTATGACTTTATAAAAACTGAAATGCTTAAGAATTTCTGTTTAAAGCAAGAGTACTATTTAATCTTAGAAAATTCTAATACCAAATGTACATCTATTACTGCATAGGGTTTCAACACTGATTTTGATAATGCAGTTTAAAATTATGGATATTAGCAACAAAAAAAACTAGCTTACACAGTAATTTTAATAAGGGGAAATTTACATTAGTTTCCATTAAGATTCCTAGAAGTATAGGACATTGTTCTATATCTACTGGTTTTGTACCATATCCCCCAAGAAACTTCTATGCAATTAGAGAATTTGCTATTATTGAATATATTCTTCATATTTTTAAATAGATTCATAAGAGCTTGCGTTTACATTATACTTAATTTTATAAGCTTAATTACTTCATAGCTTTTTATGTCATTTAGATACATCTAAGTGTTCAGTAACACTATTCTTATTAAAATATAAATTGCATATTTCACTATATAATCTCAAATTAAACATGTAGCACTCTTATTCCATATACTTCTAGTATAAGGCTACACAAATCACATAGGACTCCAATTCTGAACTTTCCGCCAAATGTTAATTTGTTAGTGACATTATCCTTCACTTCATTCGGAATGTAAAGTACGTACAGTACTGCACTTTAATGTTGGTGTGTAATTTTAGTCACTTTGATGCCCCAGTGAGGAATACAGTATAAATACGAAGATATGGCTGGAGTATGTGTGGTAATAAACCTGTATAGTATTTCTGACTTATCCTATTGGCACTGTTAGTCTGTATACTTCATCAATGTAAAAACTCAACAGAACTGCAGAAAGACATTACACTGTGGAATCTAAGATTTATTGCATCCATGATTTTCCTTGATCAATGTCCATGGTGAACCAGATCCTCTCATTAGCTCAAGTGACATGCAATCTGACATAGGAAGTCAGCCAATTAATTTGTGAAGCCTTGTGTCACGGTCTTGCTGGCAGACTGTAGCACAGCAGGTGCCACCTAACCCCACAGACAAGGAGATCATAAAAACAGGAGAAATTCAAAAAGCAAAGAACAAAAACAAAAGTGAAACTAAGTGGAAGGCTGAATAAAATATTTGTATCCCTTGATACATCAAGAAATGAGTTGACAATGGAACAGATAACCTTTTTTTTCCCTCTCCTGCTGGTAATAGCTCACCTTAACTGATCACTCTTGTTATAGTGTGCATGGTACCACCTATTGTTTCATGTTCTCTGCGTATATAAAATGGTCCTACTGTATTTTCCACTGCATGCATCTGATGAAGTGAGCTGTAGCCCACGAAAGCTTATGCTCAAATAAATTTGTTAATCTCTAAGGTGCCACAAGTACTCCTGGAAGCTGTGTGTTTGTGTTGACAAAGATTTTTTCTTGCTTGGAAGAACACACACAAGCTCGCTCAGACGACACATGGGAGGAAGGCAGGCACATCATGAGGCAGGGGCTGGAGAGAAGGAGGGCAATGAAGAGCCCATCATCAACAGGCAGCAGCTGAACTTACCTGGACCTGCTTGCGAAGTTTACTGCATTCATCTGTCAAGACCTGCAACTGGAGACGGCTCTGTGCGGATTCCAATTCCGCCTGTCTCCGCAACAACTGCTCCTTTTCTAAAGAACTAAATAGAGGAGGAAAAAAAAGAAATGATCATGGGTGGAGACAACTTAGGATGTTCCTCCCAGTTGCAGCTCTATCACCAGTGTAGGTTAAAACACAGCCACGCTCAGGTAAACTTAACAGTTTCAGTAAATCCCACTTAATGGTCTTGCACTCTATCTCCTTGCCCTGCCTCCTGGCCATTAGCAGGTAGCCAGTGTGACACTGCACCCCATAATGCTTTATAGAAATATGCTTATGAATATAAATATGACATAACTGGAATATGTTTTATGCTACATATGCCATGTAACGTAACTTTTCAAAAGTTATGTTCTACTGTATTCATCCTATTCGTATGCATGTATCATTTTTATATCTGAAGTTATGAGCATTGGCTCTATGCTTGTATTTAAAGTGTTTGCTGTAGGAAGCACAAGAGACAGATTTGGTCAACATAGTGTGAAGGGGTTATTCAAGTAATTGGGAGTACTTAACTAAATGAACATTGAAAGATGCCAATCCACATCTAAGCTTTCCTGGGGACGTTCAAACTAACATGTAGACAATGTAAAGAACTGAGTCATGCATGGACATGTGACTTTCCCATGTGACTCCAAAACTCCATCTTGTAGCTGACAGGTTTCAGAGTAACAGCCATGTTAGTCTGTATTCGCAAAAAGAAAAGGAGTACTTGTGGCACATAGAATCATAGAATATAAGGGTTGGAAGGGACCCCAGAAGGTCATCTAGTCCAACCCCCTGCTCAAAGCAGGACCAATTCCCAGTTAAATCTTAGAGACTAAGAGACTTAGAGACTAACCTTATTATTTGAGCATAAGCTTTCGTGAGCTACAGCTCACTTCATAGTCTCTAAGGTGCCACAAGTACTCCTTTTCATCTTGTAGCTGTGATTCCACACAGGAGAGAAGAGGTTTCCACCCACAAGAGAGACTATAAAAGCCCCTGGAAACCCCTCCATTTATCTTCAGCTGGCTCAAGAGATAGCCTCTCCACCCCAAAGAGATGCCTGAAAACTGGAACAAAGGACAGTAGCTACAGGGATGAGAGTGATTGCTGGAAGGAATCTAGTCTAGTCTGTCAAAGAAGCTTATTGGAACACCTCTGTGGATGAGATTTACCTGCATTTAGTTTCCTATTGTATTAGGTTTAGACTTGTGTGTTTTTGTTTTATTTTGCTTGGTAATTTACTTTGTTCTGTCTATTACTTGGAACCACTTAAATCCTACTTTTTATATTTAATAAAAATCACTTTTTACTTATTAATTAACCCAGAGCAAGTATTAATACTTGGGGAAGCAAACTGCTGTGCATATCAGTGTTATAGAGGGCGAACAATTTATGAGTTTACTCTGTATAAGCTTTATACAGAGTAAAAGCTATTTGGGGGGTTTGGATCCCATTGGGAACTGGGTACCTGGGTGCTGGAGACAGGAGCACTTCTTAAGCTGTTTTCAGTTAAGCTTGCAGCTTTTGGGGGATGTGGTTCAGACCTGGGGGTCTGTGTTTGTAGCAGGCTAGCATGTCTGGCACAACCAGGCAAGGTACTGCAGTCCCAAGCTGCTAGGGAAAAACAGGCTCAAAGGTAGTCCCAGCACATCAGGTGGCAGTCCCAAGGGGGTTTCTGTGACCAAAGCGTAACAGCGAGTTGGGTTTATTTTTGGGGGGGGGTGCATAAACAACTCTCTCATCCGAGTTGCCCTCCTAATGATTTATTGGAGGGGAATAGCAGAGGGGCCTTAGTTATGCTCTCAGTTATGCATAACAGTAACTGTGACCTTTTATCTAGTGGTTCACAAGGACTGTTTGATTACTTTTCTAAAGCAGACGAGCCCTTTCCATCAATCCCAAAATAAAGCAAATACGGATGAAAAAAATATTCTGTACATTTTCTATGTAAGAATTCAACAGGTACTGAATATTAACAAGCCTACAATACAGCCAGACACTCACTTGTAATAATACTGTGAGCCTCGGGTCCTTTTTTCTATTACAAGTGACCCTAATACTAAACAGCAGGAAGATGTTACTAATACAGCTACATCAGAAAGTAGATACTGTTGTGATGCCTAAGACATTGTCCAGAGATGTCATAAACCACCTCTCAGACTAATCTATGCCATGTTGTATATTTAGTGATAAGTTTTTGACAGTAACACATTTGTAACTTTTCTTTTAAGTGTCCTTTACATAAAGGGGGAACAAGTATGTAGCATATAGGAATAGAGTAGTAACACTTTAAATAATTTGGGAGTTTTTAGTGCTACTGTGTTCTGTTTCAGAAGCTGCTGCAAACCAGTCAGAGCAGCAGCATGTGCATACGTAGGCTTTCATGTTTGCGTCTGTTTAGTAAACACTACTATGTGGGACCTAACTGCACCTCTGTGATTTTGACACATGATTTTTGTTGTGTAAAAAGCAAAATACAACTGCATTTGTTTTAGTATCGGGGCTGATATTAAGGAAGTTTCCATTACAAACATCTATAGCGAATATCTATATTGATGATATTATGAGTTACATATCATAGAATCACAGAAGATTAGAGTTGGAAGAGATCTCAGGAGGTCATCTAGTCCAACCCCCTGCTCAAAAGCAGGACCAACCCCAACTAAATCATCCCAGCCAGGGCTTTGTCAAGCCAGGCCTTAAAAACCTCTGAGCCCCTAATCATTTTTGTTGCCCTCTGCTGGACTCTCTCCAATTTCTCCACATCCTTTCTGTAGTGGGGAGCCCAAAACTGGACACAGTACTCCAGATGTGGCATCAGTGTCAAATAGACGGGAATTATCACTTCCCTTGATCTGCTGGCAAGGCTCTTAACAATGCAGCCCAATGTGCAGTTAGTCTTCTTGGCAACTGTTGACTCATATCCAGCTTCTTGTCCATCATAACCCCGAGATCCTTTTCTGCAGAACTGCTGCTTAGCCAGTCAGTCCCTAGTCTGTAGCAGTGCATGGGATTCTTCTGTCCTAAGTGCAGGACTCTGCATTTGTCCTCGTTGAACCTCATCAGATTTCTTTTGTCCCAATCCTCCAATTTGACTAAGTCACTCTGGACCCTATCCCGACCTTCCAGCGTATCTACCTCTCCCCCCAGCATAGTGTCATCTGCAAACTTGCTGAGGGTGCAATCCATCCCATCCTCTAGATCGTTAATGAAGATATTAAACAAATCTGGCCCAAGAACCGACCCCTCAGGCACTCCACTTGATACTGGCTGCCAACTAGACATGAAGCCATTGATCACTACCCATTGAGCCCGACGATCTAGCTAGCTTTCTAGCCACCTTATAGACAATTCATCCAATCCATACTTTTTTAACTTGCTGGCAAGAACACTGTGGGAGACCGTATCAAAAGCTTTGCTAAAGTCAAGGCATATCACGTCCACCGCTTTCCCCATACCCACAGAGCCAGTTCTCATATAGAAGGCAATCAGGTTGGTCAGACATGACTTGCCCTTGGTGAATCCATGTTGACTGTTCCGGATCACCTTCCTCTTCTCCAAGTGCTTCAAAATGGATTCCTTGAGGACCTGCTCCATGATTTTTCCAGGGACTGAGATGAGGCTGACCGGTCTGTAGTTTCCTGGATTCTCCTTCTTCCCTTTTTTAAAGATGGGCTCTATGTTTGCCTTTTCCAATCGTCTGGGACCTCCCCCGATTGTCACAAGTTTTCAAAGATAACGGCCTTTAGATACACGGATATGTATCTCGAGGTCAAAGAACAGCTTTACTGAATTTGAGAAATCAAATATGAACACAAACATAAGACTAAGAGCACATAGGTGCAAAGGGGCAGAGTTAAGGATATGTATTCTATCAACTTCTATGTTCCTACCCTGGCACTCTGAGCCTAACGAAAGAGAGGAATTCAGATATTTTGGATGGATTGTGACTACGCTGGAAGGAAGGCAGCAGTGAAGTGTGTGGGGGGAGTGGGGGAGGAAGAGACATGAATGGTCAGTGGGGGAGGGTCGTGGCAGCAGCAGAAAAGGTACAGCCTGTAGGGAAGATTTTCAAGGACATAAAATCGCAGTTAGTCTTTCAGTGGGAGTTAGAAGCCTGACAGTCATTTGTATTATTTAAAATCTCCCCCATATTGTGCTTTGCAACATCACATCCAGTGTTCACAATGAATTGTAACATTACAGAGATCAAAAACACAGCATCAGGCAATGGCACGTGTGACACATGGCCAGAAAGGGTTAAGCATTCTGCAGGATAAATTACCCAAATTCAACCTTTTGGGACATATTGGTAGATATTTGTGTTTTTACACAATATATTGTTAGAGGTTTACAATGTAACCCAAGAGTTCCTATCTATGCTGTATTCTGTTACTTCAGAGATCAAAAGAAGATCTTAGCATTTAAATGAACTGTAAATAGTGATATCACTTTATTGATCTCTTTGAAATGCATAGAGAATCACCTGCTAATGGTGGAAAACAGGCAATTGCTTTATATTAATTCATGTAGCTAATTACCAGTGATACTTAGGAAATAGGTCTACTTCAAAAGCTCAATGATTGCCTATTGTTCGCCTAAGGACTCTGCTGTCAAGAGAAGGCCTGGAACTGTATAAAGGCCTCTTGGGTCCTGATCCTTTTTATCTCAGATTTGCTTGATGCTTCATGCAGGGGAAGCTTGAGTTCGAAGACCACGATCTCTAGTCCCACCTGGATCACCCTGAATATGAACACTGGACTATAACCTGTGGACTAATTCTGAAAGAACTCTTTGCAACTACAAAATTCATTTTCTCCACTATGAAACTAATCTCAGAACTGTACTCATGTCTACATATACTGATCTTTTAACCAATACTCACTCTCATTTCTTTTAATAAATTTTAGTTTAGTTAATAAGAATTGGCTGTAGCGTGTATTTGGGTAAGATCTGAAATATTCATTAACTTGGGAGGTAATGTGTCCAATCCTTTGGGATTGCAGAACTTTCTTATATGATTAATAAGATTTTCAGTAATCCTGATCGATTTGGGTGTCAAGGCTGGGTTGCTATAAGGGAACTGTGTTTTGGCTTCTGTGAAGCAAGTAAGGTACTGTAGAAGCTGGTTTGTGCTGGCTTGGTAAACCTAAGTATTGGAATATCCACCAGCTTTGGAGATTGGCTGCCCCATTCTTTGCAGTTTGCCCTAATTGAGTACCCTCAGTGTGGCCCTCCCAGGACCTCGGTCACAGAATGCCAGTTAAAATTCCTTCCTCACCCATTTCTGATTGGCAATTAGGGTAACGCAGGAAAGCTATATTAGGAGATAATGAGCTCACTTGGAAGTTTCACCATGGTAGTGGTATTTTAAATAAGTACTGAGTTGAAAAAAAGAGTTTGAAAGTTTCCTGAAAGGGGAAATGATCTAAGGAAGCTGAAATGATGTTTTGCTCAGCAATACTAAGATTTAGGAAGGACCTGGGATTCTGCAACCTTTAACCTTTATTGGATTTTACTATACTAGTTGTAGTTGCGTATAACAGAAATTTAACACTGTACATGAACTTACACCATAGAAATTACAATGGCTAATTTTGTCCTGGTTTTTGGTTTATAATGAATTCTAAATGTTCAGCTTAGATGTCGTCAGACTGACTTCAAAATATCAGTTTCCATATCATAATACATTTCTGACAATGAGATGAGACCACTTTTTAATTCATATCTAAAGAGATAAAGTTAAAGTCTACTGTTCACCCTCACTGCATTTCTGGACAAGGTGCTTCATATCACATTTAAAGATGAATTAGCAGTTAGTTTGTTTGGGATTTTTTGGAAGGACTTGGCATATTCTTCAGCTGTGGTGTTTTAACATACACCACCTAAGCTTGCTTTAGTCAGCTCTCAATAACATGTGCAAGGACACAAAACCCAAGAATTCAATTATAATAGGGATCCTTGTTCCAGATAACAAATGCTGAACCCAGCATGATCTCCATATTTAAGGCAATCCATAATACTGGTACTCGCAGTTAAGACAAAGTGCATAGCCAGTTTCAGGGAGCATTGCTGAAAAAAGGCTTAGGTAAGAGTCACGCTACATGAAATCAGTTTTCTTTCTTAGGCATTGTGAGGGAAATTGCTATTAACCTTGCTGTTGAAACTGACTCCATCCCATTCTGTAGCAAAATCTATGCACTATATGCAACATATGCAAGAGCTGTAAAGCAAGAGGCCTATAGGCCTGTATCCTGTAAGACTTGGCTTAAGCTAAAGCATTTACGTATACTAGGCTGTGGCATTTGACCCAGATAATGGACTAGGCCAATCTCTAACTAGAAAAGAGCCAAAGGGCCTCCGGAAAAGTCCCTAGCCGTCCATTATATGTACCCTCCACCCTGCAGAAGTCCCTAGTCAAAACGCTGCCATAGCAAACCGTAGATCCTGATAACAACACGGTGCGTCAACACTATGCTAATTATGAAACTGCCCTTCCATTAATTCCTTATAAGTCTTTATTAAGAATGCCTGAGTGGTAAGGAAATGTATCATTTGGCTTGAATTTGGACCTACATAAGTCTGGTATTATAGGGGCAGAGCAGAGAGACCAAAGTGGCACCCGTGTGTGACCATCTCCCTCTCCCTGCATGCTTGTATTCAATAAAAGACCTCAGGCTGTTTGAGCCAAGCAGATGGTCTAACTTGTTTTCCACAACAGCATGTACATGTGGGACAGAGATGGTACATCTGAGGTGTATGCTCCATACCTTTTCATGCGTTCCTGTTCGCTGGTGTCCAGTGCTTTCAAAGTACGGGCATACAGGACCACAACGTCTGAGCGCTTTGCCTTCTTATTGCACTAAAATAAAAAGTGGGTTCAGTTTATCCCTGGGAAATTAACATTCAATTCAAACCCAAATTAAATATTCCCCACTCTGTTAAACCCAGATGTTAAATATTTTGAAATTCCCCTTCAAACATTGCTATCCATGGGTCATTAGAATCTTAATCAGGATTGCTATTTTGAAATTTTAGATCTGATTTTCCAGTGCAGCATTCACCTTTCAGAAAGCATCCCTCTGCTGCCCCGGGTCTTGTGATTCAAAACCACCAAGTACCCAGGACTGCCAGACAAATCCTGTGATCAATTCAAATGCTCATGCAAACAGACAGTCCCCACCTCTACTTTGAGAGCAGCACAAATCAGGTACTCCTTGAGTCTATTCACAACTTTATCTTGTACGTGCTATGTGGTGTTGGCAAAGTCACTTAACCTCTCTGTACTTCAGTTTCCCCATCTGTAAAATTGGATTAATACCACCCTGATGGGGGGATTGCAAGGCTTAGTGTTTAGAAAATGTGTTGTTGGCATCAGATAAAGGGGATTAGAGACAGACCATATCAAGCAGCCTTTGGGGAATCCCACATTACTTCATGTCTTTTAAATGCAAGTATATTTACTGTTTAGTAGTATAAAGACATACATCATGGTCACGGTTTCCATGTCTGGCAAAAGATTGAGTGTGAAGAGCAGTAAATGCTTACGACTGCTTCTCTAGCACCCAACAGAGGTCACTCGTAGGATCTAGAATGTTAAAACTATAATAGTAACTTGCACTCAAACCACCTTTTCTACAAAGCCACATGCACAGCAATTATGTACAAATCAGTTAAAGAATATAGCAACTGGGACTGCAGAGTAAAAACCCCAAGGCTAGCTCATCTCTTCTTTAGAGCGAGAAGCCCATCTCAGACACTTCTCAGGTAGCTGTGTCACTAGAAGACACTCACCAGCCAGCCTTAGGCATCCTTAAGATCATCACACAAAAACACACAATGCACCACTAGAATGTTTAGCAGAAATATATAATAGACACCAAAAGTCTAATCACTCAGGATATCAACTACTGTGTTTCCTAGAGCATCTCTCCTCCTCCCTTTGAGAGAGAAGTAAGCGATAGCAAGAATGAGAAATCACAGAAGTTTAAGAACAGAAGTCCAAGTCTGAGGAATGCTCTGAGGATTTTGTTCTGAAAAAAGTTACACAGATTTGACAAGGATGAGAAGCGAGAGGCAGATCTGAAGAATGAATCCTTTTGTTTAACTACAGTGTAAAACACCAGACTGCTTCAGCAGGAATCCCACTCAAAAGCAAGCAAATCTAAAAAACTATACAATGGCTTTTTCATTTGAGAGCTAATGAAACCTTGGCCCTCAGGTAAGAAGGCTAGGAAGTGACAGTTGGCTCTTTGCATTGTAAATTGAACACTATTCTTGATCTAAAAAAATAGTTTTAACAGAGTTAGGAGTGAAACTATGTTTCAGAGGAGTGCAGCTAACACCGACACAACATTACACTCTGCAAAATCATAACAAAACCCCCAAACCCAACCAACTTTACAGCTTTATAAAACCTCAAAACATTAGGACCACCAGAAATGAACAGTTAAATGATCCAGCCTGTTTCCCAATACCACGTAACTTCATTCACTTAGAGTACTATGTCTACTGTGCAACTAAAGACCTGCTGCTGGCCCATGCTAGCTGACTCAGGCTAAGGAGCTGTTTAATTGTGGTGTAGATGTTCGTGCTTGGGCTGCAGCATGGTCCTAGAGCCCAGGCAAGGAGGGAGGGTTCCAGAGCTCAGGCTGCAATCTAATCCTGAATTTTTACACCACAATTAGACAGCTCCTCAGCTTGAGCCCCACAAGCCCAAATCAGCGGGCATGGGCCAGCCACAGGGTTTTTTTATTGCAGCATAGACATACCCTTAGGTTATGCCTACACTTAACACACTATAGCAGTGCAGCTGCAGCGCTTCAGTGTAGATACTACCTATGCTGATGGGAGGGATGGGGTAGGTAATCTACCTCCCCAACAGGCGGTAGGTAGGTTGATGGAAGAATCTGTCTACCAATGTCTACACTAGGGGTTAGATCAGTATAACTACATCTCACAGGGGTATGCATTTTTCACACTCTCAAGATGTAGCTATACCAATGTAAAACGTCTAGTGTAGACCAGGGCTAAATCCCACACAACTTAATCCTGCCCAAACTTAATACTGCCCTGTTAAAAACTGGAAAAATATATGTTAAGGTCAAAATAAATCAGATATTGGAAATGATCTCTCAAATGGGTGGGGAGAGAGTATAAGGAATGAGTGAGTGAAAGGCTAGGTGAATAGTAGGGAACAGGCTGAATCCCTTAATTGTTAATTTACAAGCATCCAATCACAAGACATTAATGGTTTAAGAAGTTGATGGTTATGTTTTAACCTCTCTCTGGTATCCAATAGCTCAAATGCTATCAAATATCTGAGGCTATTTGACACCGCATTTCTAAGGGAGCAAAAGCTGAGGTGGTTTGTTTTTTTACTTACAATTAGGTTGACTAAAGTACTTTTTCACCCTTTGAAGCAGTGATGGATATTGGAGTGCAGCAACAGCAGACAAATGCAGCAGCAATCCTGAACTTAGCAGTGATTCTCGCACAGCCTTGAACCTTAGAACCTCCTTTAGGTGCCTGACCAGGAAACCAGAGCTCTCAGCCATTAATTTAAAACACTGCCAGACATTTCCATTAAGGGTAATTAATCTTATCCGACAAATGGCACCAAACTGGGCAGTCCCCTCCACTACTGCACCGGAGTGTCCTGACACCAAGTTGTTGAACAGGACTTGAACTCTGCCATTTGCCCCACATGTGATGCTGCTACCCACTGAGCAACACTAATACTCTAACTCATTTCAGCAAAATTGTGTTGAATTAGGTTAAGAATTTAAGTTCTCCTTCAGATGAACAGAGCGAGCTGAACCTGGTGAAAATCACTTCAAAGCAGTGGAGATTTTATTCATAGAATCATAGAATATCAGGGTTGGAAGGGACCTCAGCAGGTCATCTAGTCCACCCCCTGCTCAAAGCAGGACCAATCCCCAACTAAATCATCTCAGCCAGGGCTTTGTCAAGCCTGACCTTAAAAACATCTAAGGAAGGAGATTCCACCACCTCCCTAGGTAACGCATTCCAGTGTTTCACCACCCTTCTAGTGAAAAAGTTTTTCCTAATATCCAACCTAAGCCTCCCCCACTGCAACTCGAGACCACTAATCCTTGTTCTGTCATCTGTTACTACTGAGAACAGTCTAGAGCCATCCCCTTTGGAACTCCCTTTCAGGTAGTTGAAAGCAGCTATCAAATCCCCCCTCATTCTTCTCTTCTGCAGACTAAACAATCCCAGTTCCCTCAGCCTCTCCTCATAAGTCATGTGTTCCAGTCCCCCATCATTTTTGTTGCCCTCCGCTGGGCTCTTTCCAATTTTTCCACATCCTTCTTGTGGTGTGGGGCCCAAAACTGGACACCATACTCCAGATGAGGCCTCACCAATGTCGAATAGAGGGGAACGATCACATCCCTCGATCTGCTGGCAATGCCCCTACTTATACATCCCAAAATGCCATTGGCCTTCTTGGCAACAAGGGCACACTGGTGACTCATATCTAGCTTCTCCACCACTGTAACCCCTAGGTCCTTTTCTGCAGAACTGCTGCCGCGCCATTCAGCCCTTAGTCTGTAGCGGTGCATGGAATTCTTCCGTCCTAAGTGCAGGACTCTGCACTTGTCCTTGTTGAACCTCATCAGATTTCTTTTGGCCCAATCTTCTAATTTGTCTGGGGCCCTCTGTATCCTATTCCTACCCTCCAGCGTATCTACCTCTCCTCCCACTTTAGTGTCATCTGCAAACTTGCTGAGGGTGCAATCCACACCATCATCCAGATCATTTATGAAGATATTGAACAAAACTGGCCCCAGGACCAACCCTTGGGGCACTCCACTTGATACCGGCTGCCAACTAGACATGGAGCTATTGATCACTATCCATTGAGCCCGACAATCTAGCCAACTTTCTATCCACCTTATCGTCCATTCATCCAGCCCATACTACTTTAACTTGCTGGCAAGAATATTGTGGGAGACCATGTCAAAAGTTTTGCTAAAGTCAAGGAACAACACATCCACTGCTTTCCCCTCATCCACAGAGCCAGTTATCTCGTCACAGAAGGCAATTGGATTACTCAGGCATGACTTGCCCTTGGTGAATCCATGCTGACTGTTCCTGATCACTTTCCTCTCCTCTAAATGCTTCACAATTGATTCCTTGAGGACCTGCTCCATGATTTTTCCAGGGACTGAGGTGAGGCTGACTGGCCTGTAGTTCCCAGGATCCTCCTCTTTCCCTTTTTTAAAGATGGGCACTATATTAGCCTTTTTCCAGTCGTCCGGGACTTCCCCCAATCGCCATGAGTTTTCAAAGATAATGGCCAATGGCTCTGCAATCACATCCGCCAACTCCTTTAGCACTCTCGGATGCAGCGCATCCGGCCCCGTGGACTTGTGCTCGTCCAGCTTTTCTAAATAGTCCCTAACCACCTCTTTCTCCACAGAGGGCTGGTCACCTCCTCCCCATGCTGTGCTGCCCAGCGTAGTAGTCTGGGAGCTGACCTTGCTCGTGAAGGCAGAAGCAAAAAAAAGCATTGAGTACATTAGCTTTTTCCACATCCTCTGTCACTAGGTTGCCTCCCTCATTCAGTAAGGGGCCCACGCTTTCCTTGACTTTCTTCTTGTTGCTAACATACCTGAAGAAACCATTCTTGTTACTCTTAACATCTCTTGCTAGCTGCAACTCCAGTTGTGATTTGGCCTTCCCGATTTCAATCCTGCATGCCCGAGCAATATTTTTATACTCTTCCGTGGTCATTTGTCCAATCTTCCACTTCTTGTAAGCTTCTTTTTTGTGTTTAAGATCAGCAAGGATTTCACTGTGTAGCCAAGCTGGTCGCCTGCCATATTTACTATTCTTTCTACACATCGGGATGGTTTGTCCCTGTAACCTCAATAAGGATTCTTTAAAATACAGCCAGCTCTCCTGGACTCCTTTCCCCCTCATGTTATTCTCCCAGGGGATCCTGCCCCATCACTTCCCTGAGGGAGTCAAACTCTGCTTTTCTGAAGTCCAGGGTCCATATTCTGCTGCTCTCCTTTCTTCCCTGTGTCAGGATCCTGAACGTGACCATCTCATGGTCACTGCCTCCCAGGTTCTCATTCACTTTTGCTTCCCCTACTAATTCTTCCCGGTTTGTGAGCAGCAGGTCAAGAAGAGCTCTGCCCCTCGTTGGTTCCTCCAGCATTTGCACCAGGAAATTGTCCCCTACACTTTCCAAAAACTTCCTGGATTGTCTGTGCACCGCTGTATTGCTCTCCCAGCAGATATCGGGGTGATTGAAGTCTCCCATGAGAACCAGGGCCTGCGATCTAGTAACTTCCGTGAGTTGCCGGAAGAAAGCCTCGTCCACCTCATCCCCCTGGTCTGGTGGTCTATAGCAGACTCCCACCACGACATCACCGTTGTTGCTCACACTTCTAAACTTAATCCCGAGACTCTCAGGTTTTTCTGCAGTTTCATACCGGAGCTCTGAGCAGTCATACTGCTCCCTTACATACAGTGCAACTCCCCCACCTTTTCTGCCCTGTCTGTCCTTCCTGAACAGTTTATATCCATCCATGACAGTACTCCAGTCATGTGAGTTATCCACCAAGTCTCTGTTATTCCAATCACATCATCATTCCTTGACTGTGCCAGGACTTCCAGTTCTCCCTGCTTTTTTCTCAGGCTTCTTGCATTTGTGTACAGGCACTTGAGGTAACTCGCTGATCGTCCCTCTTTCTCAGTATGAGGCAGGAGCCCTGCCCCCTTAAATGCTCCTGCTTCCTCCCGGTATCCCACTTACCTCAGGGCTTTGGTCTCCTTCCCCTGGTGAACCTAGTTTAACAGGCTGAAATGGTGGACTTTTTGCACAGTATTTAAAACCGTGATGTCATTCCCTTCTGAATAATAACTCTCTTAATTATGGTCACATTTGGACCAGAGGCTATCTGAGAGCAAGTCTGTTCCAACACAAAAGGGTGCACTTTACCTGAGGGCATTTTCCTGCCTGTCCCTTAAGCCACCTTACGATGCAAGTATATCCAAACAGGTGTCCACACCGCAATGCTGAGAGCCGGTGCTCCCCAGCATTAGTCCATTGCTCAAAGCAGATGGCACAGGTGTCCCCTTCTTCCTCATCCAGTGGTACAGTGGGAACTGTCACATCAGGTTTCTTTAGTGGAGTTCTCTGAAACAACAACAACAAAGATCAGACAAATGCAATATTTGCCATCTTTATTCTCTGTCCAAGGACTGTTGGTTCACTTTACCTGTTTGTGCTGGACTTCTGCTTCTTCAGCATCACGACCTTCATGCTCTGGTGGGACCTGATCAGAAACTTCAGAGCAGACATGAAAAAAAGGAATAATAATTTATTTGAACTGGTGAACTCTCTTCCTTGGGTTCTAGCCTGAATTTTCTTTTGCAACTTTAGTATTCTAGGACATCAGAACAAGCACTGATGCAGTAACTAATGTGGATTGCAAACAAAAACTTTACTCCACATACTAGAAGTATAAATGATGATATGTACTGAAGCAAAAAGATAATTAATTAGCACAATCAACAAAGTGTTTTTGTAACACCTTCATAAATCATTGAAATGTAAGGCTGGAAAGGACATCGAGAGGTCATCTAGTCCAGCACTCTGTGCTGAGGCAGGACCAAGTAAATCTAGACCATCCCTGAAAGGTGTTTGTCCAACCTGTTTTTAATCCTCCAATGATGGGGATTCCATAACCAAACACTGAAAGCCTATTCCAGAATTTAACTACCCTTAGAGTTAGAAAGTTTTTCTTAATATCTAACCTACATCCCCCTTGCTACAGATTAAGCCCATTACTTCTTATCATACCTTCAGTGGACATGGAGAGCAATTGATCACTGTCCTCTTTATAAGAGTTTTTAACATATCTGAGGAGGTATCAGCCTTCCCCCATCAGTCTTTTCTGAAGTCTAAACGTGCCCAGGTTTTTAAATCTTTTCCCACTGGCCAGGTTTTCTAAACCTTTCATCATTTTTCTTGCCCTCTTCTGGAATCTCTCCAATTTATCTACATATTTCCTGAAGTGTGCCACCCAGAACTGAAAACAGCACTCCAGCTGAGGCCTCATCAGACCTGTGTAGAGTGGAACAATTACATTCACGTGTCTTACCTACCCTCCAGAATAATATTAACCTTTTTCACAATCGCAACACGCTGTTGACTTGTTCAATTTGTAATCCACTATAGCCCCCAGATCCTTTTCAGCAGTACTACCATCTCATCAGTAACTCCCCATTTTGTAGTTGTGGATTTTATTCTTACTTTTAAGAGTAGTACTTTGCACTTGTATTTATTGAATTTAATCTTGCTGATTTTAGACTACTACTTTAATTTGTTGAGGTCATTTTGAATGCTAATCCTGTCCTCCGAAGGGCTTGCAACCCCAGTGTAGTGTCACCCAAAAGTTTTATAAGCACACGCTCCACTCCATTATCCAAGTCATTAGTGAAAATGTTGACTAGTACCAGACTCAGGACTGACTCCTGCAGGACCTCACAACATACACCCTCCCACACACAATTTAATAACCAACAACTGATCTTATTTTTACTGATCCTAAGTGTTCACTCTGGAATTTGGAGGTAGAGTAGGGATGTTATGTGGGTACCTGAAGATTAAATAAGAGGACAGCAAAAAAAAGCAAGCTCTGGAAGGGAGAACAATAGAGAGCAAAAGAGGGGGGAGGGGCAAAATGATGCAGCTATCCCTTGGTAATGAGATAGGTGGGTTAAGATTGATACCCTGTAAAATTTCCCAGGAGACAATTGCAAGGTGTTTGCTTTTTGTGTAATAAAATTTAAGAATCTCATTCCCCTACTGCCCACATCCTCTTACCTTTCAAGATCAAGTATTTTCTGTCAGACTCTTGAAACGCACAAATTGTATAGATTGAGCATTATTATATTTATTATAAAAGAGAAAAACTAAGGGGTTCATGAACATTTTTGAATAAGGAACACCAACCCGAAAAGGTTGAAAAACACTGAGTGATCCACTAAGTAAGCCACTATCCCCAAAGCAGCTAAGGGAAGGGAAGTTACATGGAGCAAGGAATAACCACTTGAAGCAGATGAATTCCTCAGCAATAAAAAATCCTCGGCCAGATCCTCCACTGTAAATTGGTTTCGCTGGTTTACAATAATTAATTGAGGCCTTCCGTTTTGGAGACGATCCCTGATAATAAAGATCGGGGTAGGAAGGAGAACTGCAGAAAGTAGAAAACAGAATAATCTCTAAATCAGCTATTTTGAAGAAGATTGCCAGGAGGCATCAGTGGGTATGTAAACAGCTTTAAAAAAACAAAACAAACTTGTTCAAGATTATATTCATGCACTGCTGCATTATGGCAGCAACCCATCCATGTCAGCCATGAGCATACTGAGCTTAGACCTTTGAAGCTCTGTTGTAAAGCTTGAAAAGATTCTCTATGAAATGTTGTCCTGTCTGACAGTGGAAATGCAGTGACAGGAATTTCTGGCATTTCAGAGCACCCGGTGATGTGAAACCAGCACAAACCTCCCAAACTGGCAGTTATGGGTGCCGCCTCCCGGGGTACTGCCACATCCTCCTCCTCAGTGGAGCTGCTGCTGTCAGAGTTGCTCAGCTCCAGGGTCTCCTCTGAGCTGTGACCACTGTTGCCAACTGGAAGATGCAAAGTCTCCAGTGGTGGAGATGCTGCTGTGGTTGATCCTTGGGTCCTGCTGACCATGAAATAACTATCCAGTGGTGCCCTGGCTCTGAAAAGCAAGGAGTAAAACCTACAGTGTTTCTTCATATTGATTATTGCAGGTAAAACGTACAGGAGAAAATTCTATCATTTCTTTGCCACAAACCCAAGACTCTGTTTATCAACATAAGGGATACAACCAAACTGACCAAGAAATGTCTCACCCAGAACAGCATCAATCCCCAGGCAAGGCAGTGAATTAACAATTCTAAGAAGCAAACATAACATGCAGCTAGGATAGTGCTTCACCGCTTGGGTCTAGAAAATGCAGGTGCCTGATCTGCCTCTACTTAGAAGGAATATTTTTTTTGCAGGGTTGGAAAGGAGGAAAACAAGATGTGGTACACTTGACTCTGTTTGTGTCATTATCTAGCTCTTATGAGCAGATCTTAGAGCGCTTTACGAAGGAGGTCAGTATCATCCCTCAGTGCCTTATTTTCCCCATATGTAAAATGGGGGTAAAGTGACTCAAAAGGCAGGAAGTATGGTGCATGAGTTATTTCCCAGCTGAGCCACCTTGGCTGATTTCTCACCACTAGACTTTGCTTTTTTTGATTTATCAAATGAACTCATCACCGGGTCCCCAGATGAAGTCACAGTATTTAGAAACAAATTGGCTGCTTATAGTCAGACTCCCATCCCTTAAATTAATTTATGCCCCTCACAAAAACCCATTTTTTCCTTTAATCAGCATTGCAAGATTGTGGCATGGCAAAAATATGTACCAAACTACTTTACAATAATGATTAGACTGAAGAAAGCTTATGCTACTTTACTTGCCAATCCAAAAAAAAAAAAATCGTTCAGTTGCAAGTACAATTTTGCAAGACTGCGTAATTGCCCAGCGGCCTGCGTATGCGGAAGTGAATTACGTCCACAGGAGAACCCAGAGCATACTGTACAGCTGTGTTTAGTCACTTGGGGTGAGATCCTGGCCCCAGTGAAATCAATGGCCAAACTTCCACTGACTTGAATAGAGCCAGGATTTAACCCACAGTACTTAGAATGAATCTGCACAGCCAAAACGTAAAGAAAGTTAAACATGAAAATCTCTGCTGATGGGCCCCCCATGAAGCTAAGATACGGGTGACACTCAGCATAGAATTAAGCTTTAAACTTTTTCAAATTTGTTTTTTTGCGCTGTTTGCTGAAGGGGACTGTCATAAGCATACAACTAAGGGTAGTATAAAATCCCTCCTTTACCTGTAAGGGGTTAAAAAGCTCAGATAACCTAGTTGGCACCTGACCAAAAGGACCAATAAGGGGAGAAGATGCTTTCATATCTGTGGGGGAAGGTTTTTGTTTTGTGTTTCTGTGTGTTCTCCCCGAGACAAAGAGAGAGCAAGTAATCCAGCTCCTACTGAATGATACATCTAAAATTACAGAAATAGTAAGCAATAGCAAGGAAATGCATTAGAGTATGTTTTGTTTTAGTTTGTGAATTTTCCCTAGGCTAAAAGGGAGGTTTATTCCTGGGGGTTTGTTTTTTTTTGCAACGAAGTTTTTGCTTATAGGGGAATCCTCTGTGTTTTGAGTCTGATTACCCTGTAAAATTACCTTCCATCCTGATTTTACAGAGGTGCTTCTTTTACTTTTTCTTTATAATAAAGTTCTGCTTTTAAGAACCCGATTGGTTTTCAGTGTCCTAAAAACCCAAGGGTCTGGTCTGTGCTCACCTTGTTTACCTATCTGGTTGGTAGATTATTCTCAAGCCTCCCCAGGAAAGGGGGTGAAGGGGCTTGGGGAGATATTTTGGGGAAACAGGAACTCCAAGTGGTCCTTTCCTTGAATCTTTGTCTAAGTCACTTGGTGGTGGCAGCAGTACTCATCCAAGGACAAGGAAGGATTTGTGCCTTGGGGAAATTTTTAACCTAAGATAGTAGAAATAAGCTTAGGGGGACTTTCATGCAGGTCCCCACATCTGTACCCTCGAGTTCAGAGTGGGGAGGGAACCCTGACAGGGACACTGAATGCTGTGCTTTACAAGCATAAAGCTATGTCTGTAAGCATTTCTGGAACACTTATCGCAGTATCTAAGCAGCAAGTGAAGAGTCTTGCCAAAAAGCATGGATTCCCAGAAGAGAGTCTAAAGAGCAGATGAGAAGAATCACACTATTACCTACTAGGGTTATTGAAAACTTGGGATGCACAGGTGGGCTGGACTGAGCTTTCCAGAGTGCAGCATAACATAGGAAGCATGACACTTTAGATTTCACCTAAAGTGAAATCATTAAGTTGGGGGAAAAAAGCACTCAGACTTGACTCCATTTCAGTTTTACCTGGTACTGATTGTCCTCTGGGATCCACCACCTCTTCGTCGCCGGCGAGTTCTCCTTGTTGGTGGCTGTCGTGTGATCTGTTGTGCAGCCTGTAGCTGAAACAGCTCCAATGCCCCATGCAGCCTCTGCAGCCCATCCAGGCTAGGGGCAGCATGCAACTGGGGGTCAGACTCAGCAACTGTCACTACTTCATCAGCACCAGAGACCACAATGACTTCCTCATCAGCAGGAGGAACCATAATGCTTTCTGCCTCATCACTGGGTACTGGAGAGTTGGATGGCAGTGACAGTAGAGCATGACCGGAGGCCTCTGTGGGAAATGCCTCATGGTGCTCCACAGAATAAGTAACTGCTGGCTGGAGATCCACTTCCATTTCTTCCTGTGCCATTTCTGAGAAAGGCATGGGATGGAGAAAACAAAGATGTGGGATTAGTGCAAACACTTGTACACAAGTCCACACTTCAAGTAAGGTACAGACACATTTGACTCATGCCAGCATAAAGACACACGCTGACTGCAATATCCTTTAGGATTAAGATCCAGTGCTTCTTAGAGACCATTTCTCTGGCAGCTGAGATGATTTGAGAATTCCAGTTTAACATTGGATTTATATCTCAGTTGGCTGAGGGCTAGACAAAGCATTTTCAGAATCCTTGACTCTGGAAGTCTCTGACCCAACACAGCCTGAGTTCTCTAGCCTCATGGACACATTGCAAGTCCTGTCTATTCAAATTAGCCTTTTAATGGGAGTAGGTAAGTTAGGAAGTTCTTCCTGGTATCTTTGTTAGCTAATACGTATTTACAGATTATTTTTGTATTTTGGGGTAGAGATTTTGGCAGATGCTACGTATTTAAACCCCCCTTAAAAATAATAATAAAAAAAGGAGCGCTACATTAGTCTACAGTGCTTAACAAATAATAATATATATGGCCCTTAGTATCTTTAATCTATGAGCTCAAAGGACGTATCTGAGCATCTCAATATGATCATCATCACAGAAATGGCTGTAAATAAATATTAATAGAGCACCACACACATGGCAGAGGACTCACAATGTTCATTTTTGGGATAGATTTCTTTTTTTTTTTTCTTTTTTTAATAAATAGAGTTTCCTAGTAAATGAATGAGATTCAGTTAAGGTAACAAGTTCACCATGAACCTCACCTGGCTGCGCCATCTATTGTGCATACACCACCTTACGTTCACTAGTATTGCATAAACCTAAGCAGTATACTCTAGCAATACCTCCAATCAGGACACTGTTGATACATCAGCCCCTTTATATGCCATATGTAGGTACATACTCCTATTGAGAGTGAATTTCATTGCAAAATTTCATATATATCAATGTAGGGTTTTTGGAAGCAGGAATGTTAGTTAAAAACAATCATATTAAAAACTCAGGAAATGCAGATTTCTGATTAACTCTCAAGAATGAGCATACAGACTACTTTAACTCTGTTCCCATAGCTATGCTTCAAAAAATTAAGGAACTTGTTAGGATATAGATATTCAGGCCTGTCTGTAAAGGCCTATACTCTAAGAATTTAGGTGTATTCTTATCACTTGGCTAGTTATAGAGGTATAAAAGAAAGAATCAAAATCACTGTCTGCCAGTGTAAGGGCCTTCTCTTACTGTGACAGTCTGAGGCCCTGTTCTTAGGCTAAGGCCTTTGGCTAAGCCATAAGCTGGGAAGCGACCGGTCACATCCTCACATTTCAACCTAGTCACATTGAAATAAGGTGCTATTGGGCTGTTAGGAATACAATCCTGTCCTGATAATGCCGATCGCCTCCAGAGAAAGGGAAGTGCCTAGAAGATGTAAAAGGAAACTTAGTTTGATAGCATCCTGTCTGGCAAGAACCCACTTAACAATAACTGGGATGTGAAATCCTCCCTTTTGTATTGTTTTGCCATTATAGTTCCCACTTTGCTATTGTTTGTCTGTATAATCTCGGTCTGGTTCTGTGATTGTTCCTGTCTGCTGTATAATTAATTTTGCTGGGTGTACACAATTAAGGTGGTGGGATATAATTGGTTACATAATCATGTTACAATATGTTAGGATTGGTTCGTTAAATTTCAGGAAAATGATGGTTAAGATATAGCTAAGCAGAACTCAAGTTTTACTGTACAGTCTGCAGTCAGTCAGGAAGTGAGTGTGTGTCGGGGAAATGGGAACAGGGAATGGGGGGTGAAGAAATTGGAATCATGTTTAGCTAAAGGGGGAAATGGGAACAGGGACACAGGTAAGCCTCTGTGGTGTCAGAGTTGGGAAGAGGGACATTAAGGAAGGCAACTGGAATCATGCTTGCTGGAAGTTCACCCCAATAAACATTGAATTGTTTGCACCTTTGGACTTCGGGTATTGTTGCTTTCTGTTCACGTGAGAAGGACCAGAGAAGTAAGTGGGTGAAGGAATAAGCCACCTAACAGAACTCATTCTATTTTATTTATGGAGACAAGCTGGGTGAGGGAATCTCTTTCAATGGACCAACTTCCGATGGTGAGAGACAAGTCTTTGAGCTTACACAGAGGGTTAGGGTTTTGATTTAGTTGGGGTTGGTCCTGCTGCGAGCAGGGGGTTGGACTAGATGACCTCCTGAGGTCTCTTCCAACCCTAATCTTCTAGGATTCTCCAGTTTCATTATATTAGTGCACACAAAACCACATTGTGACTACGGCGTTTTAGTTCATATTAGTTCTGGATTTCTTCATGGTCGTAGAGAGCACAAACAAGAATTTTAGAAATTCCTGGTTAGACAAATAGCATACTTAAGACAATTTATTAAGGGCCCCTGTCAAGGTTTCTTCCCTACTCTGAACTCTAGGGTACAGAGATGGGGACCTGCATGAAAGACCCCCTAAGCTTATTCTTACCAACTTAGGTTAAAGACTTCCCCAAGGTACAAACTTTGCCTTGTCCTTGAACTGTATGCTGCCACCACCAAGCGTCTTACACAAAGACCAGGGAAAGAGCCCACTTAGAGTTGTCTTCCCCCAATATATCCCCCCCCCCCAAGCCCTACACCCCCTTTCCTGGGGAAGGCTTGATAAGAATCCTCACCAATTTGTACAGGTGAACACAGACCCAAACCCTTGGATCTGAAGAACAATGAAAAATCAGTCAGGTTCTTAAAAGAAGAATTTTAATTAAAGAAGAGGTAAAAGAATCACCTCTGTAAAATCAAGATGGTAAATACCTTACAGGGTAATCACATCCAAAACACAGAGAATCCCTCTAGGCTAAACCTTAAGTTACAAAAAGACACAAAAGCAGGAATACACATTCCATTCAGCACAGCTTATTTTACCAGCCATTAAACAAAAGGAAATCTAATGCATTTCTAGCTAGATTACTTACTAATCAATAGGGGCTCTGAGGCTGCATTCCTGATCTGTTCCCGGCAAAAGCATCACACAGAGACAGACACCTTTGTTCCCCCTCCAGATCTGAAAGTATCTCGTCCTCTCATTGGCCATTTTGGGTCAGGTGCGAGCGAGGTTACCTTAGCTTAACCCTTTACAGGTGAAAGTGTTTTGCCTCTAGCCTGGAGAGATTTTATAGCACTGTATACAGAAAGGTGGTTACCCTTCCCTTTATATTTATGACACGCCCCCCAAATCACAGAGGGTGAAACACTGGCTGTGATTCTTTCCTGGAGCTCTAGGAGAAAACAGAGTTAATAAGACACATGCACCTCTAAATAGACTACCAACAATATTTTCCACATCTCAAGGACGATTTTAACCAGTTGATTCTGAGAAATTTTCACAGGAGACTGCATCAGCCACTTTGTTAGAAGCTCCTAAAATGTGTTGTAAGTTGAAATAAAAATTTGGAGACCTAAACTCCACCGAATAAGTTTTTTGTTATTTCCCTTGGCGGTATGAAGCCACTGTAGCACAGCATGGTCGGTTTGCAGGTGGAAATGCCGTCCCCAAACGTATGGGTGTAGCTTTTCCAGAGCTTAGACAATGGTGTAACATTCCTTTTCACTGATTGACAGCTTCTTGCTTAGAAACACAACAGGACGGAACTCTTGATTTGGTCCTTCCTGCATTAAGACTGCTCCCACACCATGCTCGGATGCATCTGTGGTTACTAGGAACGGTTTGTCAAAGTCTGGAGCCCTTAGCACAGGGTCAGACATGAGTGTCGATTTAAGCTGGTTTAAGGCCCTCTGACACTCTTCAGTCCACTGAACTGCATTTGGCTCTTTCTTTTTGGTTAGGTCTGTCAGTGGGGCAGCGATTTGGCTGTACTGCAGTACAAATCGCCTGTAATATCCGGCCAAACCTAAGAAGGATTGGACCTGTTTCTTTGACTTTGGGACAGGCCACTTTGGCCTGTAGGTGGTTGACAGTTCCTTGACCCACCTGGTGTCCAAGGTAAGTCACTCTGTTTAGGCCTATTTGACACTTCTTAGCCTTAACAGTTAGTCCTGCCTCCCTTATGCGCTCGAAGACTTTTTGTAGATGTTCCAGGTGATCTGCCCAGGAATCCGAAAATATGGCCACATCATCAAGGTAGGAAACTGCATATTCTCCCAGTCCTGCTAGGAGACCATCTACAAGTCTTTGAAAGGTGGCTGGTACATTCTGCAGCCCGAAAGGGAGCACATTAAATTCATACAGCCCGACAGGTGTGATGAAGGCTGACCTTTCCTTGGCGGATTCATCTAGCGGTACCTGCCAGTACCCCTTGGTTAAATCCAAGGTAGAGATGAACTGGGCTCATCCCTGTTTCTCCAATAGTTCATCTGTACGTGGCATTGGATGGTTGTCTGGGCGAGTTACAGCATTTAGCTTACGGTAGTCCATGCAAAAAAGTATCTCCCCATCTGGTTTGGGAACTAGAACCACTGGAGATGCCCATGCACTGCCAGAGGGGCGGATTACATCCATCTGTAGCATATCCTGGATCTCCCAGTCTATAGCAGTTTTAGCTTGAGGAGACACCTGGTAAGGTTGGGCTCTAATTGGGTGAGCATTACCTGTGTCAGTGGAGTGGCATGCCCGTTCAGTCAGCCCTGGGATGGCTGAGAATGTTGGCGCATAGCTAGTGCACAGCTCCTTGATCTGGTATCGCTGCATACGCCCAAGGGTCATGAAGAGGTTCACCTCTTCCACGCCACCATCACTTTTCCCTTCGTAGTAGGCACGTTCAGGCCACTCAGTGTCATCTCCTCCCTGGGCTGTAAACTGACAAACATTTAATTCTCTGGTATAAAAGGACTTTAGAGAATTAATATGGTACACCTTAGGCTTTCGGTTTGAGGCGGGGAATGCTATGAGATAATTAACAGCTCCCAGGCGCTCTTGGACCGTGAATGGCCCTTCCCACAACGCTTTTTATGGGCCTGGAGCACCTTTAAGACCATGCCCTGATCCCCTACTTTGAAGGAAAGCTCTCTGGCATGTTTATCATACTAGGCTTTTTGCTCTTTTTGAGCATCCTTTAGGTTTTCTTTAGCAAGGGCTAAAGAGGTTCAGAGGGTGTTTTGTAGGTTGGTTACAAAGTCCAGAATGTTAGTTCCTGGAGAAGGTGTAAATCCCTCCCATTGCTGCTTCACCAACTGGAATGGCCCCTTAACCTCGTGATCATATACAAGTTCAAATGGTGAAAACCTAAACTGGGATGGGGCACAGCTCTGTAGGCAAAGAGCAACCACTGCAACCCTAGGTCCCAATCATTGGAGCACTCATTTACGAATTTACGTATCATGGCCCCCAAAGTTCCATTAAACTTCTCCACCATGCCATTTGTTTGATGATGGTAAGGGGTAGCAACCAAGCGATTCACCCCATGAGCTTCCCAAAGACTTTCCATAGTTCCTGCCAAGAAATTAGTTCCTGCATTTGTGAGGATGTCGGAGGCCCAACCTACCCTGGCAAAAATGTCCGTTAGTGCCCGACACACACTTAGTCCTCGTGTTGCTTAGAGTTACTGCTTCTGGCCATTGGGTAGCAAAATCCATGAAAGTCAGTATGTACTGCTTTCCTCTGGGTGTCTTTTTCGGAGAAGGACCCAGAATACCCACAGCTACTCGCTGAAATGGAACCTCAATGATGGCGAGTGGCTGGAGAGGGGCTTTGACCTGGAATTGGGATTTTCCCACTCTTTGGCACACCTCACATAGGTAGAAACATCTTTGCCCATTCCCTCCCAGTGGAACGACTTTCCCAAATGGTCTTTGGTTCTGTTCACCCCAGCATGGCCACTAGGATGATCATGGGCTAAGCTTAATAGCTTTCTGCACTACTTAGTTGGAACTACCAACTGTCTCTGAGGATGCCAGTTTTCCTGGTGTCCACCAGAAAGAGTTTTCTTGTATAAAAGTCTTCTTTCTACAACAAACCTGGATCAATTAGAAGAGCTGAGAGGCGGTGGGTTGCGCCGTGCCGCTGTCCAAGCTCTCTGCAGGCTTTCATCTGCTTCCTGTTCAGTCTGGAACCGTTCCCTTGATGCTGGAGACATCAGTTCCTCATTGGATTGTGGGCCTGGGCTTGGTCCCTCGGGAAGCGATGCAGGTGATGGGGCTGTTTCCGTTGACTGTGAACCGCTCTCCGCTGGTGCACTATGTTGGGGTTCAGGCTCTGGCTGAGCCTCTTGTGTAGGGTTATCTGCTGCTGCCGCCGGTGCAGGTTCGGTGGGGCCTTCTGGTGTTGGGGTTGCAAGTACTGGATTCAGTGCTGCCAATGGTTCTGGTGCGGGTTGTTCTGCCGGTTCCGGTTCTGGCTCTGTCTGGGTCTCTGGGACTGGATCCACTACTGCTGTTGCAGACGTGGGCATGGGGTCCGGTTCCACCATCCCTGACTAGTTCCTGGTAGAAGTTTCCGGACTCCAGCTAGGTGTGACAGCTTGCTTAGCCTGGCTGCAGGTGACCATTCCCACCCTCTTGGCTAGCTTCACATGATTGGCCAAGTCTTCCCCCAACAGCATGGGGTTGGGATAATCATCATAGACTGCAAAAGTCCATGTTCCTGACCAGCCCTTGTACTGGACCGGCAACTTGGCTGTAGGCAAGTCCAAAGAGTTTGACTTGAAGGGTTGAATCGTCACTTGGACCTCTGGGTCGATTAAATTGGGGTCCACTAAGGAAGTATGGAAAGCCGACACTTGTGCTCCATTGTCCCTCCACGCTGTGACCTTCTTCCCGCCCACACTCACAGTTTCCCTCCGCTCTGATGGTATCTGGGAAGTATCGAGGCCTGAGAACCTCTGGTGTGATTCCGGTGCAACGAACTGTAATTTGTTGCGGTTCTTGGGGCAGTTGGCCTTTACATGCCCTGGCTTGTTACATTTAAAACATCGTCCAGCTGATGGGTCACTGGGGCAAGGTGGGTTGCTGGAGAACGGTGTGGCGGAACGATAAGGTATCTGGAGTGCTCCTTGGGGTGTAGTTGGGGCCTTGGGCTGCCCCTGGTAGTAGGGTGTGGTCTGAGGTTGTCCCTTCTTGTATCTGCTCCAACTGCGACCAGGGTTGTTCTTCTCTCCTCTCGTTTTGTTCCGGTTTGCCCCGCCTCTCTGGCGGTCTGGGACTGCTCATATTGATCAGCATAAGAAGCAAGACTTCCTCTTGAGTCCATTTTCTTATCCCATAAACACTGTTTTATATCATCTTTGGACATATTCAGGAATTGCTCCTGTATCATCAAATCCCGCATTCCTCCAAAGCTCTCCTGTGGGCAGCATCCTGGGCTTTCTTATCGAGTCGTTTTAATTCAACCATTCTCTTTTGCTTCCAGTCTGGTTAACACCAGTTTATGTTGTGCCTTGCTTTCTGTCATCCTAGCCTCTCTGTTTTTAAACTTTCTTTACACCTGAGAGTTAGAAAGAAAAACAACAAAACAAAAACCTGGCTTGGAAAATTTTGCTGTGCTGTAACCTGATATCCCTGCCCCCCCCCTTTTTTAAACCTTTCTGATAGCTCTTCTCAGCCTACAGAAAATCCTTTTGTTATGCCTGCTGCTCTGTCCCCCAGGCAGACAGACTCTACAGCTGCAATCACCTTTTACAAAACCTTTTAAAATCATGCTGTCCTTCTGGTTCAAAATGATCCCACCGCTCTGCCACCATGTCAAAGTTCCTTCCCCACTCTGAACTCTAGGGTACAGATAGAGGGTCTTTCATGCAGGTCCCCACAAGCGGATTCTTACCAGCTTAGGTTAAAAACTTCCTCAGGGTACAAACTTTGCCTTGTCCTTGAACCGTATGCTGCCACCACCAAGCGTCTTACACAAAGACCAGGGAAAGAGCCCACTTGGAGTAGTCTTCCCCCAATATATCCCCCCAAGCCCTACACCCCTTTCCTGGGGAAGGCTTGATAAGAATCCTCACCAATTTGTACAGGTGAACACAGACCCAAACCCTTGGATCTGAAGAACAATGAAAAATCAATCAGGTTCTTAAAAGAAGAATTTTAATTAAAGAAAAAGGTAAAAGAATCACCTCTGTAAAATCAGGATGGTAAATACCTTACAGGGTAATCACATCCAAAACACAGAGAATCCCTCTAGGCAAAACCTTAAGTTACAAAAAGACACGAAAGCAGGAATATACATTCCATTCAGCACAGCTTATTTTACCAGGCATTAAACAAAAGGAAATCTAACGCATTTCTAGCTAGATTACTTACTAACAGGGGTTGTGAGGCTGCATTCCTGATCTGTTCCCGGCAAAAGCATCACACAGACAGACAGACAGACACCCTTTGTTCCCCCACTCCAGATCTGAAAGTATCTCGTCCTCTCATTGGTCATTTTGGGTCAGGTGCCAACGAGGTTACCTTAGTTTCTTAACCCTTTACAGGTGAAAGGGTTTTGCCAGCAGGAATTTTATAGCACTGTATACAGGAAGGTGGTTACCCTTCCCTTTATATTTATGACAGCCCCAATTCTGCAGGATATTGAGGGCACTCTGCACTTTTCTGGAGGTACTCAGAACCTCTCTGATCAGGCTCAATGATCCCAGATGTCATGTCATTAGGCAGCTCTAATGTCTCTCCATATACACACTACATACATGCTACCCAGGATCCTGAAATTAATGTACTTACAGGGAGAAAGCAAAGATTAGCACTGCAACAGCATAGCACACTTTGTTTTACACAAATCTCTCTCATACGAACTAGAAGATCAACGCTCTATGTTGCACATTTGAGATACTCTCCATGCAAAGGAGAGAAGATGGGAGGCTGGTATTTCTACAAAGGATAGAAAGGTATGGCAGTTTGGGTCTTTGAGAATTGCAACATTGCATGTCCTGTGTTTCTTATAGCTTGTCTGTTTTAATACTAAGGTTCTTGAAAGGCAATATGTATTAAATCTACATATACATTCCTGCAACCTTAACTGATCCAACAAAAAACTTTACCTTTAAATAATGACAGGTTCCAGAGTCGCAGCTGTGTTAGTCTGTATCCGCACAAAGAACAGGAGTACTTGTGGCACCTTAGAGACTAACCCATTTATTACAGCCCATGAAAGCTTATGCTCTAATAAATTTGTTAGTCTCTAAGGTGCCACAAGTACTCCTGTTCTTTTTACCTTCAAAGTTAATTCAACTGAATTAAACAGTCTCAATTCATACAAGTGTATGTAGAGGAATAGGATGGAATCCTCTTCTATATGATATAACTTCGGCTATATAATACGGATGATTCCATTTTAGAATAAAGGAATCCATAGTGAAATTCAAACAATATTTTAAATAAGTTGTCTTAGAGGGAAAATATAAAAACTTGTTAGATCAGGCATATCCTTTATGACACTTGCTATTTTCTTTAATGCAATCCAAACACTGCCTCAATAGGACTTTGAAACACTCAGTGTTGTAAAAACGTAAATATTTTAAACTCCTCTTCAGTAAGAGGAAGTTCTCAGCTTGACCAATGCAGAGAAGTTACTATGTTAAAATAAGTTTCAGAGTAGCAGCCGTGTTAGTCTGATTCGCAAAAAGAAAAGGAGTACTTGTGGCACCTTAGAGAAATGCTCAAATAAATCTGTTAGTCTCCAAGGTGCCACAAGTACTCCTCCTCTTTTTATGTTAAAATACAAATTCCATGGCTTTTGCTGTATCCTGCAAGACATGACTAGATTAGACCATCAATCTAGAAATAAATTTCATCTTAAAGTTAAGTCTACCAACCTGTTGTGAAGAGCCTGTACAATGTAAACACAGAAGGCCTGGCAGAGCTAACTCCATGTCACTTCAAAAGTCACTTCTATCACAGAAACTGATTGAAGCTAAGTAATTGCATGTAAGAACAGGCACATGGAATACAAACGTTAGGAAAAACTCCCTATATTTTCCACTGACCGTGATATGTAATTTTAGCTACCTTTAGAAAGGGAGAATTGAGCACCAGACATAGAAAAATAGAATATTAGGGTTGGAAGAGACCTCAGGAGGTCATCTAGTCCAATCCCCTGCTCAAGGCAGGACCAACAGTTGTTTATCATGTCCAATGGATATTTCAGTGCAGCCAGCTAGCACTGAAATACTTCAACAAAGTTACTTTGGCACTGTGACATTGCACTCCATGTTTTATGGAAATAAGCTAATGAGTGTGAATATAATGTAACTGGAATAGGCTTCATGCAAATGGTCTCTTTTAAGGTATCATTACCAAGCTTATAATCTACTGTGTTATTCCTATTTGTAGGGTTCATCCTATTTGAAGAGTTTCTACAGGTATGTTACCAACAAAAAGGTGGTCAGGGAAAGTGTGGGCCTCTTACTGAATGGGGGAGGCAACCTAGTGACAGAGGATGTGGAAAAAGCCAATGTACTCAAAGCTTTTTTTGCCTCTGTCTTCACGAACAAAGTCAGCTCCCAGACTACTGCACCAGGCAGCACAGTATGCGGAGGTGGTGACCAGCCCTCTGTGGAGAAAGAAGTGGTTCGGGACTATTTAGAAAAGCTGGACAAGCACAAGTCCATGGGGCCAGATGCACTGCATCGGAGGGTGCTAAAAGAGTTGGCAGACGTGATTGCAGAGCCATTGGCCATTATCTTTGAAAACTCATGGCGATCGGGCAAGGTCCCGGACGACTGGAAAAAGGCTAATGTAGTGCCCATCTTTAAAAACGGGAAGGAGGAGGATCCGGGGAACAACAGGCCAGTCAGTCTCACCTCAGTCCCTGGAAAAATCATGGAGCAGGTTTTCAAGCAATCAACTTTGAAGCACTTAGAGGAAAGTGATCAGGAACAGTCAGCATGGATTCACCAAGGGCAAGTCATGCCTGACTAACCTAATTGCTTTCTATGATGAGATAACTGGCTCTGTGGATGAGGGGAAAGCAGTGGACATCTTATTCCTTGACTTTAGCAAAGCTTTTGATACGGTCTCCCACAGTACTCTTGCCAGAAAGTTAAAGAAGTATGGGCTAGGTGAATGGATAGAAAGATGGCTAGATGGTCAGACTCAACGGGTAGTGAGCAATGGCTCCATGTCTAGCTGGCAGCCGGTATCAAGTGGAGTGCCCCAGGGGTCGATCTTGGGGCCGGTTTTGTTCAATATCTTCATTTATGATCTGGAGGATGGCGTGGATTGCACCCTCAGCAAGTTTGCAGATGACACTAAACTGGGAGGAGTGGTAGATATGCAGGAGGGTAGGGATATGATACAGAGGGACCTAGACAAATTGGAGGATTGGGCCAGAAGAAATCTGATGAGGTTCAACAAGGACAAGTGCAAAGTCCTGCACTTAGGAAGGAAGAATCCCATGCACCGCTACAGACTAAGGACCAAATGGCTCGGCAGCAGTTCTGCAGAAAAGGATCTCAGGTGGACAAGAAGCTGGACAGGAGTCAACAATGTGCCTTTGTTGCCAAGAAGGCTAAAGGCATTTTGGGCTGTAGGAGTATTGCCAGCAGATCGAGAGACGTGATCATTCTCCTCTATTCGGCATTGGTGAGGCCTCATCTGGAGTACTGTGTCCAGTTTTGGGCCCCCCACTATAAGAAGGATGTGGAAAAATTGGAAAAGTCCAGCAGAGGGCAATAAAAATGATTAGGGGGCTGAAGCACATGACTTATGAGGAGAGGCTGAGGGAACTGGTGTTATTTGGTCTGCAGAAGAGAAGAATGAGGGGGGATTTGATAGCAGGCTTCAACTACCTGAAGCGAGGTTCCAAAGAGGATGGCTCTAGACTGTTCTCAGTGGTAGCAGACGACAGAACAAGTAGTAATGGTCTCAAGTTGCAGTGGGGGAGGTTTAGGTTGGATATTAGGAAAACCTTTTTGATTAGGAGGGTGGTGAAGCACTGGAATGCGTTACCTAGGGAGGTGGTGGAATCGCCTTCCTTTGAAGTTTTTAAGCCCGGGCTTGACAAAGCCCTGGCTGGGATGATTTAATTGGGGATTAGGTTCTCCTTTGAGCAGGGGGTTGGACTAGATGACCTCCCAAGGTTCCTTCCAACCCTGATATTCTATGATTCTATGTATGTATCATTCTTGTATACAAAACTAGAAATATCAAGTATTACTCTAAAGTCCTATTATAACTATGCAAAGTGTGGGCCATTAATAATGGCTTGGTATCTTGATGGCTCCCATTAACCAGGACAATTGGTTGTAAACAGCTCTATTTACTCCCAAACCTTCCTGGCAGGCCAACCCTGAAAGAATGGAGAATGAGGTCTTACAGTGACACATGATCATGTCATCTGATTGATTTTCAGTGTCCTAAAAAACAGGGATTTGGTCCGTGCTCACTTTGTTAACCTGTTGGTTGGTAGATTATTCTCAAGCCTCCCCAGGAAAGGGGGTGAGGGGGGGGGGAGATAGGGCTCCAAGTGGCCCCTCCCTGAATGTTTGTTTAAATCACTTGCTGGTGGTGGCAGCGATACCGCCCAAGGACAAGGAAAGGAATTCGTGCCTTGGGGAAGTTTTTAACCCACGCTGGTGGAATACAAGCTTAGGGGGTCTTTCCTGCGGGTCCCCACATCTGTACCCCAGAGTCAGAGTGGGGAGGAGCCCGGACAGACACAGACAGCCCAGGCTCCGCTCAAACCCCACCAGCCAGCAGGGGGCGAGCAGCCACCGCCCGGTCCCCCACCGTCGGTTCGCACCCAGGCCCCCAGAGCCCGGGGGCCGCAGGGCCCCGATCGTCGGCTGCAGGGCCAGGCGCAGGGCCCGCCGTACGGGGCGCCCGATCCGCCTCCAGGGGCCGCGCACCGCTCGGCGACGGGCCCGCGGACGTTACTGGCCGGCCTGGGGGCGCTGCGAGGGGGAGAGGCCGGCCCGGAGCACAGGAAAGAGCCCGGGGGCCCCCGGGGGCGCCGCACTCACCTGCAGCCGCGGGAGCGGGCAGGCTCGAGTTACCAACCGCCCCTAGAGAGGCGCCATGGCCTCCCACCCAGCTCAATCTCCCCGCCGGCGCCCGACAGCCCGCCCCGCGGCCTCATTGGTGGCTACCGCCCTCACTGGCGTAACCCGTATTTCTATTGGGCGGTGTAATCTTACGTTATCAGCTTTTATTGGACACATTGGCTGCCAGTTTAGCGGGGTGGGAGGGAGACGAGAAAACTCAGGCGCTCCATTTTTATTGGCCAGAAGTCTGTCAATCACCTGGAGTGGGGGCGAGAATTCCGCCTGTGCCCCTTTGTGACTAGATGATCGGCCTGTCGATCAGAGGAAAAAGGAAGAGGCGGGACAAGGCCTCAGGAAGCCCCTTTTGACGGGAGCAATGAACTGCCTGTCAAATAGAAAGCAGGGGAAAGGAGCAAGTTCGAATGTTGTTGGCGGTAGAAAAGGCGCCGGGGAGGAGGGGCTAGAAGCCCCAGCCTCATCCCGCCCTCAGGGCCGAGGGGGAAAGGGGGCAGGGCCCAGGAGATAGCCGCCGGCGAGAGCGCCTCTCCCAGCATGCAGCGCGGCCGGCGGGCAGCGGTAGCTCCCGGCATGCCCCGCTCTGCCGCAGCGCGCGGCCGAGGTGAGGCCTCCCCGCAGCGCTCCGCCGCCGAGCCGGCCCCGCAGGCAGCCGGGGCTGGGCCCGTCCGCCGCGCGGCCGGAAGCGGGAGTGACGCCGCCGCACCCCGGGCAGAGCTGGCGCTGGCGCTGCCCGCTCCTGCCGGCCGGGCGGGTTCCTCCGGCGGGGCAGCGCCTCCGTTGGCGCGAGTCCGGCCACCGCCCCGTCGGGGCCCCGTCGGGCGGGCGGGCGGGGGCCTGAGGCCGCTCGCGCGTGGCTTCCTTGCCGGGCCGCTTTTCTCCGCCGGCCCGGCCAGCGGGAGCCCAGTCGCTCCGCAGGTTCTGCTTCTGCGGCTCCTCAGCTGGTGCTCGCCGTTTCCTGCCGAGTCGGAGCAGCCGCCCGACCCCCAGCGTGGCCGGCCGCGCGCGAACGTGGGCCTCGGTGCCTTGGCCGCTGGCGGCCACGAGGGTGAAGGGTTCTGCTGCGTTCGTTTCAACGGAACGTTTAAAATGTCCCTAAACTCTCCGCTAAATTGCTGCAGCCTGGGGACCATACCGCACTTCTGAAAGTGGTTCAAGACCTAGGGATGTGAAGCAGCGTGTGGAAGCGAATGACTCTTATTATTTATTGAGAGGCTGTAACACACAGTTGTGGACTTTCCAAATATAAAAAAGTGCCAACTTTTTCCTCTTTAAAATTGAGGTACAGCTCTGCTCTTTTTCTGTTGGCGCCATCCCGTTGCAAGGTTAGCCTCCGCTGGGAGAGTGGGTAAGGTGATTTTTGGCAAGGGACTCCCAAGTTGAGAGAATTTGTTTGGGAGGGTTAACAATGTATTTGATGCTAAGCTTCGAGGAAAACACTTTCAGGACTTTGCAGGAGCTGAATTTAGATTTCCTGATGATAGGCACCTTTATAAATAAATATTATCAGTGCCCACCAGTCCAGTATTCCCACCAAGGAATTGTGACATCAGCTCCTTTGCACAGTCAGAGCCAGAATCATTTTTTCCCCATGGGTCACAGCAGGAGGCATCATTGGTTTTAGTTTGGAACTGTTTTTAATTGGGCTGAAACAACACTAACTGAGGAAGAGTAGAGTGCACAAACAGAGGGGAGAGCAAAAGTAATTAATTTAAAATAATTTATTTGCTAATTACTCAACCTCCTTGAGGCTTCTATACTGTGGATAACCCTGCACAGGAAATTAATTAAATTTGAGTATTCCTTAAATGCCTGAAGTGTTACTGACAGGTTTCAGAGTAGCAGCCGTGTTACTGACATGCTGCCTCCACCAAATGGCTGCTGCCCTGGCCTGTGTGTCCATGCTGCAGTACTCTGAGTTACCACAAAACTATTGGCACTATTTTGGGGATGGCCAAAGAAGGAAATAATACTGTAAAGAGCTGCTGGCTGTGTGAAGTTAAACTTCTCTGTGTCATGGGCCCTATAATGTTAACAGAGATTCTCCCATAGCTCAGTTGTTATGAGCTAGTGCTTTTGGATAAAATCCATCAGAGTTTTAACCCTGTTACCACCATGAAGTTCTGAGTAATCATGCCTAGCAGTATAGTGACAACAAGAGAGTCCCAGGAGTGCCACCGCTGTGTTAAAACCTCTGTTTTTTATGCTGTTCTGTTTCAAATTCAACAGACAGACTTGGCCATCACTGACAGTTGGTGGTGCCTGATGCGTGGCTACAAGTGCCTCAAATAAAGAACATTTATTTAAAACACACATTTCAATAGCAGCATTAACATACACAGCGCTTTGCAAATGCCTAGATCACCTCCTGCATTTGGAATAGAGTAACTGGACAGCCTGTGTCTTGATTTTACAAGAATGACCTAATTTCTCAGCTCACTATATTCACATGGGTATTTTGTCCCAAACTCTACTGCCCCTAACCTTCCTAGCACGCAGGGGTTATAATTTCCAAAGGCAGATTGACCTAAGCTACCTGGGGTGCTGATAGTATAGCTATTAAATGTTGTTGCTTTTTCTTGCCTGGGCTCAAATATTTAGTTTTGTCCAACCAGGCAAAGATGGAAATAATTGGCTAAACACTGTTCCACCCCTTTGGAGCAGAGGTGTCTGTCGCAGTGGATCCAGCAAAGGCCAACTCCTAACGTGGGGCAATGAGGGTCTCTTTGCAGGGAGCAGGGGCGGGAAGAGGAAGATGATAGTTGAGCTTGGGGTGGGGGACTACTAGGGAGGGGAAGATTCTATACTAGTAGTAAGGACGCCTAGTCTGACATGTGATCCACTGTGTCTCTGGTCATGCAGGCTTCTGCTGCATTCCCCTTTCTCTTGCAGTGCTGGCTCAGAGGTGGACTTGGGTCCCAGATACTTATCCATTGAACTGTGCATGCTTCGAGGGCCAGGGGAATGTGGGGCATGCCACGATCTGATGCTGGACTCATCTTACAAGTCTACAGTTTGGAATGTTACAGACTCTATGGCGTGCCAGGCCTCACAAAGGGGGAGGCATTTTGCTGGAGCTGAACACGAAAGTAGCTGGGCCCCACATAAATTTCTGCTGCTTAGGAAACTAGCTAGTCCACAAGCAGATGTCACATGGGGCTGGCAACTGTCTAAGCTTTGGGAAAAGTTGCTGGGATACTGTGCCTGGAACAGGGTGGGAGGGGGGAGGTTTCTGGCTACTGGGAAATCTAAGTTCACCTCCCACATGGTGGGAACCACCTGACTTTCCTGACCTGCCCTTCTGACACCCCTGCCGCCAGCCCCATCCACTCCTGGTTCCCAACTCCTCCCTCCAGCTGGGAATCAACAGAGGAGAGGCAGGTTCTTCTGGTTGCTGAGTAACAGCCAGCATGGAGGGTCCCCTCAGCTTGGGGTGCTCTGGAAGCTCACCTTGTTTGGGGGAGGAGAGGTACTACAGGACACTGAGGATGAGTATACTAAGTTTAATGTAGGGAGGGGCACTGCAGGGGAAGGGATGGAGGTCAGGAGTCCTTTGAGGGAGAGAGGCTAGAAAGTCATTTGGTTGTTGGGGAAGGGTAAGGGAAGATCACATATGATAACTCTCTCCAGTAACAAACACCTTCAGACTGACCCCCCTACCTAACCTGCTCCCTACCTCAGCTACAAAGCCCCCCTGCAGTGCCAGGGACAAGCACCTGCACCTCAGAGCCTACCACCATTTGCCAAACTCTCTCAAGTTTCCACATCAGTATTAGCCCCCAACCTAAAGCCAGCGCTGCAGCTGTCACAGCCTTACCTTGACTCCCCCTACTCTGTTGACAGTACTAAGGGAGCTTCCCTTGAGGATTCTAGGCTGGTCCCCCCTACATGAAATAAAAATGGCTTTCTAATCTTGGGAGCATGCTCAGGAAGGGAGATGTTTAAGTGCTATAAACCATGTCCACAGTAAATTGCTGATGCAAAATTATTTAAAGGCTCAGAGTTGCACCCTCGAAGTTGGAGGGCAGGTCAAGATGCTGTTTAAAAAAAGCAGAGTATACAGATCTGGCAAAGTGTAACAAACTTCATGCTAGAGTGTCATGGTACACAGGGATGGAGCAGCTCGTGCTTTGCTCTTAAACACGCTTGCCTCTTTTCTTCAAGGGATGCCTTGAGTTTGTGTCTTGCAGCTAGCTTGCTGTATTTATCTTGCCGTAGATGGCTATCAGCGAGTCCACAATCTCTGCAGAAGACAAACAGAATTTGTTTTCAGATTAGAATACTCAGATTTTTTTTTCCTGGCAAGATGATTGATACGTACTCAGTAATAGTATACAGGACTATTACTGAGTACGTATCACTTCATTACAGGCTCAACCAAAGAAAATGAAATCTGACTGCTTTATACTGTGCAAGAGCAACAAAAGAGGAACAAGCATGTACAGCAGAGACAGATCCACATGGCGAAGGGATTGGGAGAGGCTGCAGAAAGTTTTTTTTTTTTTTTTTAAAATAATGTAAGCCAGCATGTTGGAGCTATCAAGAAGAGAGGGTAATGTAGAATACTAAGCACCTAGGGCCAAATGCCAGAAGGGGCTGACAAATTTGATGTTCTTGAGTGCCCTTTAGTGGCAACTCTCATTATAGTTCTCAGCACAGGAAATTCCATGGTCAATTATGCTACCGAAAATCTTTGTGCCTTTGGAGAGCATGGTGGATTACTAATGGCAAACCTCATGGTCTCACTCTTTCCTTACAAAAGACTACTGAAATGGCTAGTGTATATGCCCCATATGGTGGGATGGTAGTGATTTAAAGAAAGTTGCCTCCTGCCTGATACACCGAGTGGGAGGAGGGGACAACCTCCCTATCACACAAGTCTTCATGGACAACAGCGGGTCCCCGCTCCCTTTTGTGCTGCTGCGTCAAGTATAAGAAGGATCGGTCATTTATTTTTGTATGTGCTAAAAGCAACAGCAGTAAGACATTCCCAGAGACATAACAGCTCCTGCTACTAGGGACCATAAAATTAATAGGCAGCAGGTTTAAAACAAACAAGAAAGTATTTCTTCACACAACATACAGTCAACCGGTGGAACTGTTTGCCAGAGGATGTTGTGAAGGCCAAGACTATAACAGGGTTCAAAAAAAGAATTAGATAAGTTCTTGGAGGCTATTAGCCAGGATGGACAGGGATGGTGTCCCTAGCTTCTTGTTTGCCAGAAGCTGGGAATGGATGATGGGATGGATCACTTAATGGTACCTGTTCTTTTCATTCCTTCTGGGGCACCTGGCATTGGCCACTGTCTGAAGATAGGTTTCAGAGTAACAGCCGTGTTAGTCTGTATTCGCAAAAAGAAAAGGAGTACTTGTGGCACCTTAGAGACTAACAAATTTATTTGAGCATAAGCTTTTGTGAGCTACAGCTCACTTCATCGGATGCATTCAGTGGAAAATACAGTGGGGAGATTTTATATACACAGAGAACATGAAACAATGGGTGTTACCATACACATTTTAACCAGAGTGATCACTTAAGGTGAGCTATTACCAGCAGGAGAGCTGGGGGGGGGGGGGGAACACCTTTTATAGGGATAATCAAGGTGGGCCATTGACGTTCTTGTCAACAGCTGGAAATGGCATCCGATGAAATGAGCTGTAGCTCACGAAAGCTCATGCTCAAATAAATTGGTTAGTCTCTAAGGTGCCACAAGTTACTCCTTTTCTTTTTGCGAATACAGGCTAACACGGCTGTTACTCTGAAATCTGGTTAAAGTGTGTATGGTGACACCCATTGTTTCATGTTCTCTATGTATATAAATCTCCCCACTGTATTTTCCACAGCATGCATCCAATGAAGTGAGCTGTAGCTCACAAAAGCTTATGCTCAAATAAATTTGTTAGTCTCTAAGGTGCCACAAGTCCTCCTTTTCTTTTTGTCTGAAGACAGGATACTGGGCTAGATGGATCTTTGATCTGACCCAGTGTGGCTATTCTGATGTTCTCATATACTGCAGTTTATTGCTCAGAGTGAAAGGCCAAGCCCCAGATTCCACAGTACCAAGGAGCTGCTCTCATCAGAGCACAGTATTTTTGATGCTGTTGATCTCAGAAAACCAGTGTGTTAAGCTGGGGTTTCCCCCAGCTCCGAGTATGGCAGTGACTATGCGAATGAGTAGATTTAATGAGAGGACAGGTATGACTATGCTAACACCCATGTTAAGCCTCTGAACAAGCTCAGTGTGACCTTGATGTGAGCTGGCGGTTCCATAGTTAACAGAAGTGTCCTCTCCCCTGAAAAACCTGTTTGCTTCCTGGCTGATTAAACATTTCATCTTCCTCTCCATTCACTGCGGTTTTCCCCTTGTCTGGTCCTTCCTCATTCTCTCATTTCATCCCTTGCTCTTTCATTGTTCTCTATTTCCTCCAGTCTCCATTTCTGATCTCTTCCTTTAATTCCCCATTTCTTCTAGCTCAGCAGTTCTCAAACTGTGGGTTGGGACTCCAAAGTGGGTCATGACCTGATTTTAATGGGGTTGCCAGGGCCAGCATTAGACTTGCTGGGACCCAGGGCTGAAGCACTAGCTCCAGCTCCACCTGGGGGGGCAGGCTAAGGCTGTGGCCCCCTCTCCACCCTACCTGGAGCAGCAGGGCTTGGGCTGCTGCCTGCTTCTCACCCCCACCCAGGGTGGTGGGGCTTGGGCTGTGCCTCCCTCCCAGGGTCATGTATCAACTTTGTTGTCAGAAGGGGGTCATGGTGCAGAGAAGTTTGAGAACCCCTGTTCTAGCTCCTTTTCTCTCCCTATACCTTCATTCTCCCAGAAGATGAAGCTTGACAAATTCAAACTGGAAACAAGGTGCACGTTTGTAACAGTGGGGGTCATTACTAAGGCTGCGAGTTTGTCACTGAGGTCATGGATTCCGTGACTTCTGCACTGGCCGGTGTGCCTGGCTCAGGGGCAGCTCAGGCAAGCCCCTGCATCAGTCACATGGGCCACTGCTCTCCTCCCCCCCGCAGCAGCAGAGTTTGGGTGTGGGAGGGGGCTGGGGAGCAGGATGGGTGAGGCAGCTCTGGGCAGTGCTTACCTGGGGGGCTCCCCAGAAGTGGCAACATCCCCCTTGCTCAACTGCTAGACAGAGGTGTGACCAGGCAGCTCTGCACACTATCTCCACCCAGAGCGCTGGCTTCACATGGCTGATGGGAGCTGTGGGAGCGATGCCTGCAGGCAGAAGCAGCGCGCAGAGCTGCCTGGCCACACCTCCGCCTAGCAGCTGAGCAAGGGGGATGTCACTGCGTCCGGGGAGGCCCCCCCCAGGAAAGTGCTGCCCAGAGCCTGCCTCACCTTGTCCCATGCCCCAACCCCCTCCCATACCCAAACTCTGCTGCTGGAGGGAGGGGGGAGGCATGGAGCCAGGTAGGGAGCTTGCTGGCCCCACCAACACCCACTGCCTCAGCACCAGTGGGGGTCCTGGTCTGTGCGCTGCCTTTTACCCCCACCATAGTACCCAGCTCCTCCCCACCCCCCGCCCATATAGTAAAAGTCATGGACAGGTCACAGGCTGTGACTTTTGTTTACTGCCTGTGATATTAAAAATACCTGTGACTAAAACGTAGCCTTAGTCATTACCCACTGGAACAATTTACCAGGGGTGTGGGGGATTTGCCATTACTTGAAATCTATCAAGCAAGACTGGATGTCTTGCAAAAAGATCAACCACTAGTTGTTATGCTTGATGCAGGAATTACTGGGTGAAGTTCTCTGGCCTTTATTATACAGGAGGTCAGACTGGATCATCACTGGCAGTTTCAGGGTTAAACTGCACTTGACCCACCACCCTAGTTTTCCTCAAGGGCACCCACTTAAAGGTTGCAGTCTTTCTAGCCATCTCCTCTTTCAGGCAGAGACCCCCATCCCTCTCCCTCCAGACTGGGGTTTAGGCTTGCAGTCCCTCCACTCCTCCCTGGGATTTCCTCAGCAGGTCTGACCGGGGACAAGCAGCGATCACCTGGTAGCTAGTATTGCTGTAGAGTAAAGGGAAGCAAACATGGGACTCCATCCTACCTTCAGCAGAAGGACGTAGCAAAGGCTCAAAGGCCCGGCACTGATTGATGACATCCTGCAGGTGGGAGGGGCAGTCTTCCCCAACAGGAGCCTGGTAACGTTGCTCATAAACTTTCTGATAGATCTCTTGGGAAGTACAGCCTAACACAACACACACAAATTGGGACGTCAGGAGGCACCGACTTGTTTTGGATTCCACAAGAAGGTAGCGGAGAGGGAACCTAATTAAAGCATTTAAATAGAGCCTCATGCGGCCTGCCAAGCCCACAGCAGGGAAGAGGCAGGATTGAAATACTCATTATGCTGCGTCCATGAAAAACTCATCTGCTATGAACCCTGCCTTAAGGCCCCAATTCCACAGCACTTAACTTCAATAGTAGCGAAGCACATACCTAAGTGCTTTGTTGAATACAGATGGGATTACTTATTTGCTTACAATTAAGTATGTGTCTTTGTAAGTGCTTTGCTGAATCGGAGCCTAAATTCCAGGAAAGATTCCAGAGTTAAAGCTACTTTGCTGCCTGGTCCAAGTGGATACAGGCATGTTGGACAGTCGTTCAGTCATTTCATAGCCCCTCTGGATCTGAAGCTCCTGAGCACTAGGTAGCAATAGGGAACATTTGCCAAGAGGTGCATTTGATCCCAAATATCACCCTGCATCAGCAGAACACATCTGGACTGGACCCTGGGCCTTTACCCAGGTGCTTGCAGTATGACAGAAAACAAGCCCTTGTTGCCCACCTTCAAATGGAATTTTGCCGGTCGCGATCTCCCACAGGACGATCCCAAAGCTGAAAGGACACAAACAGGCCTGCTGAGCATCAAAAAAGCCTCCTCAACCTCCCTCTGATCCCTCCTCCTATGCTCATCAGCTCTGCTGCTTGCTGGATAAAGTGTTGGAGAAGGAGGGTGAACCACACCCTCAGCCACCTAACACACATCGGCTCTGAGCACTCCCTCCTTCCCCGTTTAGGAATCAGCATGTCAGGCTGATTTGTGAGCTGCTCTCCCACACAGCAGACTCATCTTCCACTCCGGACCCACCGGGCTGGCTCCTGTGATTATTCCAGAGAGTCCATCTAACTTAATATTGACTTCTGCCTACCTGTGTGCCCAATCCCTTTGGGAAGAGAACTTGCCAAGTGAAATGTCAAAAGCTCTTCCATTTCCTATGTGGTATTAATTTGTACTTTGGTAGCAGCCTCCATCCACAAAGCCCTATACAAACATTAATCAAGCTCTGCCCTCCCTGTAGGGTGTCTAAGTAACACTGTTCCCTTTTAACAGAAGGGAAAGCTAATGGAGAGAGAGGTTAAGTTAGTGGTAGAGTCAGGAATAGAACTCAGTCATAGAATATCAGGGTTGGAAGGGACCTCAGGAGGTCATTTAGTCCAACCCCCTGCTCAAAGCAGGACCAACACCAACTAAATCATCCCAGCCAGGGCTTTGTCAAGCCGGGCCTTAAAAACTTCAAAGGAAGGAGATTCCACCACCTCCCTAGGTAATGCATTCCAGTGCTTCACCACCCTCCTAGTCAAAAAGTTTTTCCTAATATCCAACCTAAACCTCCCCCACTGCAACTTGAGACCATTACTCTTCGTTCTGTCATCTGCTACCACTGAGAACAGACTAGATCCATCCTCTTTGGAACCCCCTTTCAGGTAGTTGAAAGCCGCTACCAAATCCCCCCTCATTCTTCTCTTCTGCAGACTAAACAATCCCAGTTCCCTCAGCCTCTCCTCATAAGTCATGTGTTCCAGTCCCCTAATCATTTTTGCTGCCCTCCGTTTTCCAATTTTTTCACATCCTTCTTGTAGTGTGGGGCCCAAACCTGGCCACAGTACTCCAGATGAGGCCTCACCAATGTCGAATAGAGGGGAGCGATCACATCACTTGATCTGCTGGCAATGCCCCTACTTATACATCCCAAAATGCCATTGCCTTCTTGGCAACAAGGGCACCCTGTTGACTCATATCCAGCTTCTCGTCCACTGTAACCCCTAGGTCCTTTCTGCAGAACTGCTGCCTAGCCACTCAGTCCCTAGTCTGTAGCAGTGCATTGGATTCTTCCGTCCTAAGTGCAGGACTCTGCACTTGTCCTTGTTGAACCTCATCAGATTTCTTTTGGCCCAATCTTCTAATTTGTCTAGGACCCTCTGTATCCTATCCCTACCCTCCAACGTATCTACCTCTTTTCCCAGTTTAGTGTCATGTGCAAAGTTGCTGAGGGTGCAATCCACGCCATCCTCCAGATCATTAATGAACATATTGAACAAAACCTGCCCCAGGCCTGACCCTCGGGGCACTCCACTTGATACCGGCTGCCAACTAGACATGGAGCCATTGATCACTACCCGTTGAGCCCGACAATCTAGCCAGCTTTCTAGCCACCTTATAGTCCATTCATCCAGCCCATACTTCTTGAACTTGCTGGCAAGAATACTGTGGGAGACTGTGTCAAAAGCTTTGCTAAAGTCAAGGAAGAACACGTCCACTCCTTTCCCCTCATCCACAGAGCCAGTTATCTTGTGATTCTTGGTTCCCATCATTTTGTGCCAAGCAAGTCACCTACAGAACCTGTCTAAACATCTGTCTTCTGTAGGAAACTCTGTCTGCAGCAAGAAGAAAAGGAGTACTTGTGGCACCTTAGAGACTAACCAATTTATTTGAGCATAAGCTTTCATGAGTTTGTTTCACAGTTCACATATGTTTCACAGTATGCATCCGGTGAAGTGAGCTGTAGCTCACGAAAGCTTATGCTCAAATAAATTGGTTAGTCTCGAAGGTGCCACAAGTACTCCTTTTCTTTTTGCGAAAACAGACTAACACGGCTGTTACTCTGAAACCTGTCTGCAGCAGTGCATCCAACCTTTATGTATTATAGTCCAGCATCCCCATACCTGTATATTTCACTGGGCATGTCATACTTGTGGCTCAGGGAAGCTAGGCCCAGGGGAGAGATGTAAGCCGAAGAAGGGACATCTGTCAATTTCTTCTTGCAGCTCCTCTTAATGGATGACTCAGTTTTACTCAATTCAAATCCTGACAGCTGATCAAGGGAAGGAGAGAAAGACAAAGGGAGGAACAGCATGAGCTCCATGCAATCAGGGCCATGCAGCAATGATTACATAACTGGTCCTTAGCTCAAGGTTAATGAGCTGACTGCCTTTGGGTTATATGGTGGTCTTTTCATTGCCAGGGGACCAAGCAGACCACTGCAAGAACATGTTGCAGGGCCCACCTGTTCTGCTGAGTCCTCTGCTTTGCCGTGCAGGAGGTCATGGGTTTGATTCCCACTCCTGGGTCTTATAAGTGTAAGGCTGATGTGCTTGACCCCATATTGAGAAGGGAAGAAACAAGGGAGAGGGCGTGTTTCCTGGTGCACCACCATGATCCCCTCTGGCCAACTGATGGAAAGAAGCTGTCTTATCTAATCCTTGTGTGGAGATATGATGGCCACAATATTGGTAAGATTAAAAAGGGGGTAGAAGCAGAGATCCTCAAGGATGCAGATAAATCATAGAAATGTAAGACTGGAAGGGACCTTGACAGATCATCTAATCCAGTGGTTCCCAAACTGAGGTTCGCAAACCCCTGGGGGTTCACAGAACGTTACAGGGGGTTCACCAGAAAAATGTCACTCATGGCGGCCAGAGGACCCCGGGCATTGGAGGCAGCAGGTGGGACCCGGTTGCAGGGCAGACGGCCCGAGCCCCAGGGAGAGCGGGGCTGGGCAGTTGGGGCCAGCAGCCTGAGCCCCGGTGGTCAGCGGGACCTGCAGCCCGAGCTCAGTTGAGCTCAGTTGACTGGGGCAGTCAATGCGGTCCAGCAGCAGGAGCCTTGTGGAGTGCAGAGGAAATTTAAACTTAAAAGCCCTGGAAATATTCATTTTTAGGAGGGGGTTCACAAGATTTCACAATTTAGTGAAAGGGGTTCGTGGGCTGTTAAAGTTTGGAAACCACTGGTCTAGTCCAATGGTTTTCAAAGTGGGGTACGCATACTGTCATCAGGGGTACATGAGAAAAATCCTGTAATGGCAGACAGCTCACTCTATTTAGAAAGAATTGGCAATCTAATCATAGGTATATTATGACCCTATCTCAGATGGGGGTATGCAGCAGACTACATTATTTGGAAAGGGGTTCACAGCCTAAAAAGTATGAAAACCACTGATCTCGTCCAATCCCCTGCACTGAGGTAGGACTATCTAGACAATCCCTGACAGGTGTCTGTTAAACCTGTTATGAAGGAGATTCTGTGACCTCCTTGGGTAATTTATTCCCGTGCTTAACTATCCTGACAGGACATTTTTCCTAACGTTCATCTTAAATCTCCTTTGCTGCAATTTAACTTCTGTCCTCAGTGGTTAAGGTGAACAATTTATCACCCTCCTCTTTATAACAACCTTTTATGTACTTGAAGACTGTTGTGTTCCCTCCTCAGTCCTCTCTTCTCCAACAAACCCATTTTGCCCCCCAAATCTTTCCTCATAGGTCATGTTTTCTAGACCTTTAACCATTTTTGTTGCTCTCCTCTGGACCGTCTCCACATCTTTTCCAAAGTGTGATGCCCAAAACTGGACACAATACTCCAGTTGAAGCCTTATCAGTGCTGAGTACAGTGGAAGAATTACTTCTTGTGTCATGCTTACAACACTCCTACTAATATATTCCAGAATGATGTTTGCTTTTTTTGCAACAGTATCACATTGGTGACTCGTTTAGTTTGTGGTCCACTATAACCCCCAGATCCTTTTCTGTAGCACTCCTTCCTAGGCGATCATTTCCCACTTTGTATTAGTGCAACTGATTATTCCTTCCTTATTGTAGTACTTTGCATTTGTCCTTATTTTATTTCATCCTATTTATTTCACGCCATTTCTCTAGTTTGTCGAGATTATTTTGAATTCTAATCCTGTCCTTCAAAGCACTTGCAACCCTTCCCAGCTTGGTATCGTCCACAAACTTTCTATTTTCTATGCCATTGTCCAAATTGTTTCTGAAGATACTGAATAGAACCAGACCCAGGACAGATCCCTACAAGACCCCACTTGATATATCCTTCCCGAACCATGGAAAGGGTACCTGCTTGGTACCAGGGATGGGGCTTTTAGGATACGTCTGCATTGAAAACATCCCACTGCAGTAAGTCCCAGAGCAAGGCCTACAGACTCTGGCTCACACTACAGCGCTAAAAATAGCCATGTAAATGGTCAGGCTCAGGCTGGAGCTTGGACTCTGAAGCCCATCTCCCTCCTGAAGCTTCAGAGCCTGAGCTGCAGCTGGATCCAGAATGGCTACATGGCTATTTGTAGTGCCATAGTGCGAGCCCAAGTCTGCAGACTTGGGCTCAGAGACTCATTGCCGTGTTTTTTGTATTTTTTAAAGTAAAGACATACCCTGAGGTGGGTACTGTGTGTTTTAAGATCCCATGTTGTTATGACAATACTCTGTCATTCCTCAATTCTGCTTCTCCTCTTCTTCATGCCATTCATCCTCACCTTGCTTGTGGCAGCTTGTCTTTAATCAGCCACTATCCCTGCATGAAGGGCTGATGGAAACATTTTCACTGAGGCTCATATTTGCAAACCTGGGGGCTTAAAGCTAGACACTGTAGCCAGACAGCCAGCCCTCCCCCTCCCCCCTCAGACCAGCATTGCTGGAAACACAGGAGGAAGCCGGAACAGGGCACTTAACATATATTCCAGCACAGCCTTTGAAGCTGTGAAAGCACAGGTGTGCTGCTACAATGTGCCTCTGGGAACAGATACAACGATTAAGCTCACAGCAGGCAGAGGCCCTGTGACAGACATGGCTCTTAGCCCCTACTAAATAGCGTGATGCACACACACCAACATCCTAGGTGGGAAAATATTTACCCTGATAAAAGAAATGTCCAGTAGTCGAAACTTACTGTTTCTCTCCCTTGCAAGTGTAAACTACTCTTGCGAAAGCTGGCGTCACCCAGACAGACCAGCCTCAATTTGGCATAAGAAAGGAGAAAGAGAATAAAGGAGTACAGAGGTATAAGTAGGGGACCTACAGCACTATGATTTTTGAGTGCTTTTCACTATCTATCTGCTGGTCAGATAAGTGACAGCCTCCCAAGGCTTCTGCAGCTAAGAGGGTCCCTACGCCTTGTCCCTTATTCGTCTTTCCGCGGAATTGAGTGACCAATCCTGGCTTGGCACCGCTGGAATCGAGAGATGCAAGGAGGGTAAGAAGCACCCACACCTGATCTCCTATCTTTAGTGTACACATATTTTGAAATAGAGCTCTGTACTTTGTTTTCTTTCTTTGGGATTGTGGCTTCAGTTTTGTAACTTGTTTGTGTGTGTAACATCTCTACATTTAAATAAGTAGGCACTAGCAATTTTGTAACCACATGATTAGAATCTAGTTTAATAAATTTTGGTAACCATTTGTGCATAAGCCTGACTTGTTTTCTCTGGTTTACTGTAAAGCAGCCAACACAATTAAAGAACCTCAGCCGTTTTGGCTCTAAAGCCTGGCCATTAGGTGAGAGTACTAAGAGCCTAGCGTTGAGTTGTGCCGCCTCCACGGGGCAAACTCTTGGGGCACCTGTCAGTCAGTCCTGGCTGCCCGCTGCGAAGGAGCTCTGAGCTCTAGCAGTTAAAGTCACGGGTGTGGAGAGGCTCTTAGTGCTGCCATTGGGGCACCTGTCAGTCAGTATTGACTGCCCGCTGCGAAGGAGCTCTGAGCTCTAGCAGTTAAAGTCACGGGTGGTTAGGACCTTGGGGCATCCATCAGCCTAGCCCGGGCTGCCCGCCGCGAAGGGATAGTGCGTCCTAGTGGTTAAAGTCACGGATGGTATAAACGGGCATAGCTGGCACCTCACCAAACATCCTTGGCCGTCGGCTAACAGACACCCACATCCATATTTAGGTAGCTACATAAGTGTGGGGCTGGGGCCATCCTTTTGTTCTGTGTTTGTATAGCACCTAACATGAGGGGTCCTGATCCACAAGGAGGGCTCCTATGCGCTACAGTAATAACAAATAATAAACAACAACATAGCCGGCTTTTCAGAGATGATGTTCATCCAATATTCCCATTAAAGTCAAGAGGGAATTCCCCGTCAGAGTCTGCAGTGCAGCAGTGCATTTTCAATATAAAAAGCAGCTGCATGTTAAAAATTTTGGGACTGTGTAGAACAGCCTGAAGTTAACATCTAAATAAACACACATAGACTCCTGTGCTGCTCATACTGTCCTGGGAGGAGGGCTGGAAAGGGGAAGAGGTTTTAACGGGGGTGGGGAGGAAGACTGTGTAATGGTAGGGGTTTTGGCCATATAATTCAGGTGTCCCAGCTGCATAGTAAATTAGCACTGAAAGAATAGATGCTTGAGGTGTTACTCCGGAGGCCATGGCGTCCTGGGAGGCAGGGAGGGAAGGTGAGATGGAATAGATACCCACAAAAGCTTTCAAACCTCTCAAAAAGTCTTCTCACAAGACAGCTCTTACCTTCACACAGTAACCTTTAGCAACCAAAAACTTGGTACTATTGATGCATCCATGCAATTTAGACTTCTCCCCCGTCTGGTGCAACCTACGGCCAGTCAGAACCAAGAGCAGAAAGCATTAGCAATGGATCCATTGCCACCTTCCCTCTCTCTGCTCCCACCCAGAACAGCGACAAGGACGGACCTTTGGACACTACTGAGCATTCAGAAGCCACCCCTGGTGTGCCCAGTTATTCTGGGACAACAGCCACAAATCAGACCTTTCCAATGGCTACAAGATAATCATTTTTTGCCTATAAAGTGGCAAGCCAGTGAATGCCATTGTCAGAGCCGCCTAGGAACAGTAGGCAGTAACCAGTCTGTTACTGGGCGGTAGTCCTAATGATCTAGTGATGTTCTATAAGGTACTTCTGGAAACAGCAGCACCAGGTATCTCAGGAGAAAGGCTCTTTCTACCAGGCTTCAGGCCAGATTTGCAAGCCAAGGGCATCTGAGAATCTGGGCACTTTCTTATCTAAACCCAGCCTCCCATCAGTTCTCCCGCTGCCTGTTTCGATATCATGGGATTTGTGGATGGTGAGGGTGACTTTAACCACGGTACCTACAACCCATCCACCCTTGCTCTTCTATAGACGAGACCAATTCAGGCATATAGTGGGACATCAGAAAATGAATTCATTTGTCTTCAGTCATGCTTGGTACCTTGTCACAGACCTAGATGCCATGCCATGCTTCCGTTTCCCCTTTTTATCATATAAATAAATCCGTCTTTGCCTCTCCCTTATTCAGGGGAATCTTCATTTACCCACAACCATTCAGCCAACATCAGAGAATAGTCCAAAGCTTTGTTTCTTCCTTACCAGAGTCTCTTGCCTCTTCTGACCACGCATTTGCCAGAAGTCCCTCTTGTCTCTCAGACTCCATTGCTCTGGTCCAGCCCATGCTGGGGTTTAGTCTCTGGTTTAGCTACTCTTCCTCAGAGCACTAACTTTTCAGTAACTAGCCTCACTCTAGGGCAGTGGCTCTCAAACTTTTTCACTGGTGACCCCTTTCACATAGCAAGTCTCTGAGTGTGATCTCCCTTATAAATTAAAAACACTTTTTTATATATTTAACACCATTATAAATGCTGGAGGCAAAGCAGGGTTTGGGGTGGAGGTTGACAGCTCATGACCCCCCATGTAATAACCTCACAACCCCCTGAGGGGTCCCCAACCCCCAGTCTGAGAACCCCTGCTCTAGGGGGTCTCTTTCCTTCTACAGCCTACCCTTCAGCCGTCCTACTCCCTTTCCCAGAGCTAGGCACAGACTGTCAGGGACAGATTCCTTTCCCACTGGCACTTTCCTTTTTATACTATCATAGCCTCCTCCTAATTCAGCTGCTTCAATTCTAATTAACTAAAGGGCACTCCCATGAGCATCTGATTGCTCCCAGGTGCAGCCCATCGGGTCATCATGGGTCAGCTGGGCTCTAATTCTTCTAAAGGGCCACTGGCCCCATGACATACCTGTATAGGCCTCTGGCCGCATCCAGCGCCATCCGAATGCGAGTCTCCCAGGGGAGCTGGGGTTTCCTTGTCAGCACGTCCCGCAGGGTCCCCTTTTCACAGTATTCCATGACAATGGAGAAACAAGGACTTGAACCTGATCAAAACAGAAGCCCAGTGAATGGTGACCTGAGCTGAAGCAGCTCACGTTTACTTCATTCTCCATTGGAAATGCAGAATCCTGGTTAATGCAACTTTAACTCTGCACAGTTCAAATCAAGCATTGTCAGGAGATTCACGAGTGACAGTTCTTAAGGCCCTTTGATGTGCCCACGTTGTGGGCAATAAAAAATATAGGAATGGCCATACTGGTCAGATTAATGGTCCATCTTGCTCAGCATGCTGTCTTCCAACAGTGGCCAATGCCAGGTGCTTCAGAGGGAATGAGCAAAACAGACAATCACCAAGTGATCCATCCTCTGTTGTCCACTCCCAAGAGACCAGACCTGACTTCTGCAACCCATGCAATCCCTGGAGTTGCTCAGATGTAACTGGGAAGAATTTTTTGTAAGGTTTACACATGGCCACCTGATGAGCAGTCAGAAATGCCCCAGGTAGCCAATGAAGGGAGTTAATATTGCTATCGCTAAAAAGCCTCCACAAATTATTGATTGCACAGGCCGGGCTGACAGGAGGGGGAAAAAGAGAGCACGATTGTTTCGAAAACCCGAGCTTAGGGGGCCTCCAAAACATTTGTAACATCTGTGTAAAAATAAAGTGAAATGGGAGAGGGTGGGACCACAGTAAACATGATGTGTCAGGGCCTGAGGGCATGTGCAAAAACCCGAAAGCACACCTTTTTAATCTCTTATGCTGCCATTTAATTCCCCGTCCCCAATTTATCAAGGGCCCGATTCTGCCACCCTCCATTCACACCGCACAGTCCACACAGGCTGAGCTTCCCCCTTAATTTACCGATTAGCCATATTTACCTGGGGCTAGACCTGCCTTATAGCTGTGAGTAGGGGTGGTACGGAGCTGCACTGACCCAGTGGGAGCACAAGGAGGCATTGTGCTCAGGGAAGCAGTGCCTCCTGAACTTCCCACCAGGCAGGGAAAGAACATCCATTGTGCCACTCCTTGGGAGGGTATGATCCCTTCCATGGCTAGCCAGCTTCATGGACTGGTGCAGGGGGATAAGAGTGAAACTATTGGGCTGCCTCCTCCCTCCCCCTTGTGGGGTGGCTTGAGCCCCAGAGGGAGCTGGCAGGGAGCAGCCCCTGTGCTCAGTAGAGCTCAGAGACTGCAGCTGTGGCTGGCCCAAGAGGAGAGAGCACTGGGGTGAAGGAGCGTAGTGACCATGGACCAGAACTGAGGTCAGTACTTGGCTGCTGGAGTTAGCTTCACCACCATGGCTGCCACCCCCACTGTTTCCTGGGCTCTGGAGCCTTTGTCAGCCTGATCCTGAGCGATGTCCTGCCCAGACGGGCCAGAGAGAGGGACCCAGACGACGTCGCCCCCCTACTGGCTCCAGCTGAATCCCAGCCACACCCGGGGTGACACAGGATCAGACTACCAACAACAGCTCCAGCCCATTGCAGGTAACTGCTTCTCTTTTCCCCAGCACGAGAGTTATTACCACCTTTGATACCTTCTAAGGGACTGTCAGACACTTGGCTTTGCCTTCTCACTCCAGCTAAAGGGAAAGGGAACAAAGGATGTTGTTACAACAGAACCCTTATTTAATGCTTTTCCAAGGCTTCAACTGCTTTTCCTTCTTTTCTGTATCGTTAAGAAAAAAGGTTCAAGGGAATTTTAAAGGTGTGTTTGCCATGGTATTAATCGGGCTGAGGTCTCTGTATCCCAACTTTGTCTAACCTTGTTTAATGCTGGACAGTGACTGGGTTATGTTTGGCCCATATATTCCATCTATATTCATACAACTTTATTGGGTCAAATGCTAAATGACATTTGGTATAAATAAGAATGCTAAAGCAGCTTTTATTTTAGGTTAAAGTGCACTGCTATGGGCCATGCACTCACTCTGGGCTTGGTCCCCCGCAGTGTCCACTTTCCCTTGGAATGCTTATGGTCACAAGGAATGAGTGGAAATGCATGAAAGAGTAATTGATGATGAACATTTAATTATATTTAGCAAAATACTATATTATATATAATTTTACGTAGCCTTATTCCGTTAAATGGAGGTCTGTTTCCAACTCCTTCTCCCATTGGCCTCTCACATGTCCTGCTTAGAATGAGGGCATCTGCTTGTGGATCTCAACAGGTTTTGCCAGAAAATGTACATCTCAGACGGGAATCTTCTACTATGTCCTCAGATCAAGAAACTGAATTATTGGTCCATGATGAGCTACAGCTGACATGCTGGAATCTCTGACTGGACAACAGTGTCCCCTGTGGCAGAGTAGGTGATTCAGTGAGCCCCACAAAACTTAATACTAACTATGCAGAGAGAAGTGTGTGTGGGGGGGTGTGGTATCTCTCTTGTACCACCAATGACATTTGGAGTTGTATCCTGCTCTCTTCCTGGCATTGGCCATCTAGAGAAGGGGAAGTGAAAGATTCCAAGTCTGAAGTACAACTCAGAGAGAGAAAAGACCAAACTTGCCACACTGCATGTAAAAGAGCTCCAAGTTACATCTTATCATCAATAAAGCCACTGGTAAAAATCAACTTTGTTCCAAACTAAGACCAATCACATGAGCTAAAGAGTTTGAGAAGTAAAAGGTGCGAAAACCATTGTGGAGCAATTCAGAGAGGCTTGAATCACTTCAACACCCTTTAGAGTGTGTGCGTCTCTCTTTGCAGATCACTTAACTGTCCCCCAAAGTAGACACTACATTCCTAAGGCTGTTATTTAAACAGTAAGAGATCTCCAAACCAGGGTTGTTCTAAAGCCGCTACAAGTGTGGGACTCTATCAATCATCCTGTGTCTGTGCCAGGCTGTCAGAAAGATGCAGGCAAATGTGTTAAAATGGGGAGGAGAAATAAACTAGATCAGGCGTTCTCAAACTTCATTGCACTGCAACCCCCTTCTGACAACAAAGTTACTACATGACCCTGGGGGGCAGAGGGGAGCAGAGCCCGAGCCCCACCTCCCTGGGTGTGGGGAAAGAGGGGCCCACATCCCAAGCCTCACCACCCCAGGTGGGGGTGCAGTTCAGACTTCAGCTTCTGCCTTGGGTCCTAGCAAGTCTAATGCAAGCCCTGGCGACCCCATTAAAATGGGGTCACAACCCACTTTGGGATCCTGACCCACAGTTTGAGAACCGCTGGACCAAATAAGCCAAAGTTTGATGTAATTTCTGTGAAAAGTGAAGTTAATGGAAGAAAGCAGTTTGAGAAGGAAGTTAACTGGCAAATCTGTTTAAGAGCTGTACTTCCTTAAGGGCAAGTAACAGGCTCTGAGCTAACTCGCTTAAATAAAAGGGAATGGCCTCTCCCCTTAACTTTCCTCTAAAACCCGAAGAGAATTGTTTTCTAAACTTGTTCAATATACCAGTGCGTTATCTCAATTACAACCTTAATTTGACCATTGTAAATTAGGTTAGGACAATTATAAGTTAAATTAACCAGTGACATGTTGCTTAAACTGATATTTGTTTGCCAACTACTTGCTTAATCTTTTAGTGCATTCATAAGAGATACACTGAACTGGTTTGTATCTCAAAACTTCAATGCAGACAAAGTAACCTACATAGGGGAAAAAGGTATCATAGAATCATAGAATCATAGAATATAAGGGTTGGAAGGGACCCCAGAAGGTCATCTAGTCCAACCCCCTGCTCGAAGCAGGACCAATTCCCAGGTAAAATCATTAAAGATCATTCCTTAGCCTGTACTATAGTTTAGTTACTTAAAATAACATTGCATTGTTCCTGCAGGAGACAGCTCCCAGTGTCTTCCTTTTTGTGGAATCTGAGCAAGGTTCAGCCACAGGCTGGCCCCATGTCACTTAGGGGAATGAAAAGCAGACACGGCTCAGCTCCACTTTGCTGTATATGTACTATTGGAGTCATGAATTCCTGCGGAGAGTGGAAAGGGGTGGCCAGAGCAGGGCCCTATCCCTTCAGGTATTCTCTTGGCCATGCCAGCTGTGGTATTACATCATGGGCCTTCCATCCCTGTTGGCTGGCTTTGGCCATATCTCATCATACCCATCCGGGCTGTGGCTGTGTCACGTTTGATGTGACAAGTGTGGGCTGATGTCTGGACTCGTACATTCAGGCACCTCCACTTGTGCAGCAGCAGGGGTGACAAACCCTGTGCTAGGAGGTGGGTGCAAAGAGGTGACATGGGAGCCTGCTGTGGAGAGTCAGTGACTGAGATCCCACCACACTGGGGCCCCTTACCGCTCTCATCGATGCAGATCCCGTACATACGAAGGATGTTCGGAGACTCAAACTTCTTCATGGTTTCAATCTCCTTCCTGAAAATCTCCCTCACCTTCCTGCAACAGGCAGTAGAGCAGTGAGGCCTCTGGGCAGGGTGGGTCTGTGAGAGCTGGTGGGGCAGGGACAACCCCCTCCTCCAATACAGTCCAATGTGGGCTAATCTTGGTAACATGGCCTCCAACCCCATTCCAGGCTTCCTCCCCAAGCTTGAAGTATAGCAGAGAGCAAGCACACAAATCCCCCATTAACTGCATTTTGCTATCTTTGTAGTTCTCTAAAGAGTAGCCACCTAAGGATACCAGTGGTTTCCTGCTCTGTGAGACTTCCCAGCATGCACCTTGCTAGCAATGTGGCAGCCATCACTCATTGGCACTGGAGCCTGGTGTCCTTGCTTGTGAGGAGTAATGCACGTCCATTCCCCTAGCGTTCCCCTAGCATTTTCTTTTCAGTACCCTTCACCCACCAGGGTTCCTTGAAAACCGCAAAGAACCTCTGAATATTGGGAGGAAGAAAGCAAACAGCTCTGTCCCACACCCCCCACCATAGCAAGACGCCATGTCTGAAGATGAATGGCAGATGTGATGGCACCAGCAGAAGGAATGCTGGGATGTGTCAGCTGGTGAGTACTTGGGGCCTGATCTCTGGGGAAGGAAAACTAAGTTAAAAGGAGTAATGGGCTTAAATTCTCCCACAGCCTGTCAATTTGGGCCTTCTGCATCCAACGAGGATGCCTATTTGTGTGTAAACTCCAATGAAGTCCCTTGTGTCCATCTCCAGGAGCTGCACTTTTGGGAATCAGATCCCACTGCATTTTCCAGGCAAACTAGGAGACAACCCCAGGATCCTGCCCAACATGCCCTCTCCCCACAGGACAAATTCTAGTGTTTAAGTCATGGGTGGGCAAACTTTTTGGGCTGAGGGACACATCTGGGTATGGAAATAGTATGGCGGGCCATGAATGGTCACAAAATTGGGGTGCAGGAGAGGGTGACAGCTCTAGCTGGGGCTGTGGGCTCTGGGGTGGGGCTGGGGATGAGAGGTGCAGGAGGGTGCTCCGGGCTGGGACTGACGGGTTCGGCAGGCAGGAGGGGGATCAGGGCTGGGGCAGGGGGTTGGGGTGCAGGCTCTGGGCCTCAAGCAGCTCCCGGAAGCAGCGGCATGTCCCCCCTCTGGCTCTTATGGGGAGGCATGGCCAGGCAGCTCTGCACGCTGCCCCATCCGCACGCACCATCCCTGCAGCTCCCATTGGTGATTCCCAGCCAATGGGAGCTGTGGGGGCAGCGCTTGGGGCAGGGACAGCATGCGGAGTGGAGCCCCCTAGCTGCCTCTACACATAGGAGCCAGAGGCGGGGCATGCTGCTGCTTCCGGGAGCTGTGCAGAGCCAGGGCACGCATGGAGCTGGGCAAGCTCCCGACCCCGCTCCCTGGCTGGAGTGCCAGAGCAGGGCAAGCCCCGGACCCCGCCTCTTGAGGGGAGCTCGAGGGCTGATTAAAACGTCTGAAGGGCCAGATGTGGCCCCTGGGCTGTAGTTTGCCCACCCCAGTTTGAGTTATTATAGTTAGATTGCTGCTTTTGGTTTCCCTCATCTTTGTGGTTCTTACTCCACCTTCCCTGCATAACACCAGACCGGCGCACACAGAGAGCAGCATGTTTTGCTATCAACTTTAGCAGGGAGAAAGCAAAGCTACTTTGTCAGTGCTCAGTTTGTCTCCCTGCTGAAGAACCCCCTTTCTTCAGTGTCAAGGCCTTTTTCAGTGATTGAGGGAGAGGATGACAGCAGTCCCCTCCTCAGTAGTTACATTCTTGTTGGGACCTTTGCTAAATAACTCACTCAGTGGAGGTGATCACAGGGTTTTTGAAGACTTTGATGGCAACAGGGTACTTGTAGAATTCTCCTTTGTAGAGCGTGTGGCTTTTGGATTCCATCAGGAAGGTCCATGAGGTTTTAGTGAGATCCTCCATCCTAATCTCAGTGATTTCCTCTCTTGGAACAGCATTGTCCTTTTTCATGACTGCGTCCTGCACTGGGACAAAGGGAAACAAAGAGGGGGTTTTAAATGATGCTCTTGGTAAGAAATCTCTTCCTCTGGCTATGCTATGGAGTCCATGCCAGCACACTGCCCTTTTGCTGATGCAGTGTACGACGACAGAAGGAGTTTTTCTGCTGGTGTAGAAATACCACCTCCCCAAATGACATTAACAGCTTTCATCAGCATAGCTGTGTCTATACTGCGGTTTTTGTCAACATAGCTGCGTCGTCAGGGTGAGGTTTTCCCCCGCATATCCCCGATTGATGTAGCTATGCTGCTATAACTTCTAAGTGCAGACCAAGCCTCTCTCTGCCTTCCCAGCCTGTAGGAGAAATAACTTGCTTATTTCATAATTTGTTGTATGGATGGAGGCACTTGACCTAATCTAGCCAACGAGTTTTTTATACGTGCTCATCACCACAGCATCCAGATTTAATGATTCAATGGCATCTTCCCACATATGTCCCTAGTTTGGAGACACAATGGCCTGTCATAATTTGTCTCTGGATAAACGAACGTGGGGTGGAGGGAGCTCCACATGTCCTATAAAGCTGCTATATGGCTTCCCTACGGCTTGTTGCAACTGTGCCATAATGGAGAACAAGGCCTATGCAGTGAGATTTCAGGGCTTTATCTCATAGACTGAGACTTTAAGACCAGAAGGGACCATCATGAGTCATTATGAGTCAGCAATGTGCCCTTGTTGCAAAGAAGGCTTACAGCATATTGGGCTTCATTAGTAGGAGCATTGCCAACAGATTGCGAGAAGTGATTATTCCCCTCTATTCGGCACTGGTGAGGCCACATCTGGAGTATTGCATCTAGTTTTGTTCCCCCCACTACAGAAAGGATGTGGACAAATTGCAGAGAGTCCAGTGGAGGGCAACGAAAATGATCAGGGGGCTGGGGCACATGACTTACAAGGAGAGGCTGAGGGAACTGGGCTTGTTTAGTCTGCAGAAGAGAAGAGTGGGGGGGAGGGGAGATTTGATAGCAGCCTTCAACTACCTGAAGAGGTATGGATCTCGGCTGTTCTCAGTGGTGGCAGATGACAGAACAAGGAGCAATGATCTCAAGTTGCATTGGGGGAGGTCTAGGTTGGATATGAGGAAATACTATTTCACTAGGAGGGTGGTGAAGCACTGGAATGGGTTGCCTAGGGAGGTGGTGGAATCTCCATCCTTAGAGGTTTTTAAGGCCCAGCTTGATGATTTAGGGATGATTTAGTTGGGGATTGGTCCTGCTTTGAGCAGGGGGTTGGACTAGATGACCTCCTGAGGTCTCTTCCAACCCTAATCTTCTACGATCATCTAGTCTGCCCTCCTGGACATTGCAGGCCCATAACCTCTGGCTGAGTGACTGAAGTCCACAAATCTTGATTTAAAGACTTCATGTTACAGAGAATCCACCATTTACTCCAGTTCAAACCAGCAAGTGACCCGTGCCCCATGCTGCAGAGGAAAGTGAAAACACCCCAGCGTCCCTGCCAATCTGACCATGGGGAAAATACCTTCTCAACCTCAGTTATAACAATCAGTTAGACCCTGAGCATGTTGTTGAGACCCACCAGCCAGACACCTGGGAAAAAATTCTCTGTAGTAACGCAGACCCATCTAGTGTCCCATCTCCTACCCTTGGAGATATTTGCTAACAGCAGTAGTGAATAGGCCATATGCTACATTGTAGGCAGTCTCATCACACCATCCTCTCCATAAATTTATCAAGCTGAGCCTTGAAACAAGCTAGGTTCTTTGCCCCCACTGTTCCCATGGGAGGCTGTTCCAGAACCTCACTCCTCTAATGGTAACAAACCTTTGTCTAATTTCAAACCTAAACTTATTGATGGCCACTTTATATCCATTTGTTCTTGTGCCAACATTGACCCTTAAGTTAAATAACTCCTCTCCCTCCCTAGTATTTATCTATCTGATGTATTTATAGACAGCAATTATATCTCCCCTCTGCCTTTGTTTTATTAGGCTAAAGAAACCAAGCTCCTTGAGTCTCCTCCCTTAAGGTAGGTTTTCCATTCCTCGGATCATCGTAGTAGCCCTTCTCTGCTCCTCTTCCAGTTTGAATTCATCTTTCTTAAGCATGGGAGACCAGAACTGCACACCGTATTCCAGGTGCGGTCTCATCAATGCCTTGTATAATGGCAGGTTTCAGAGTAACAGCCGTGTTAGTCTGTATTCGCAAAAAAAAAAAGGAGTACTTGTGGCACCTTAGAGACTAACCAATTTATTTGAGCATAAACTTTCGTGAGCTACAGCTCACTTCATCGGCAATAACACTTCCCTGTCTCTCCTGGAAATACCTCAACTGATGCATCCTAGGATTGACTTAGCCTTTTTCACAGCGCATCACATTGGCAGCTTATAGTCACCCAGTGATCAACCCATACACCCAGGTCTTTCTCCTCCTCTGTCACTTCCAACTGATATGTCCCCAGCTTATAGCAATAATTCATGTTGTTAGTCCCTAAGTGCATGATCTTGCACTTTGGACTATCAGATTTCATCCCATTTCTATTACTCCTGCTATCATTAAAAGCGCATCTATTCCCACTTTCTCTCCTACCATGAGTCACTAATGCCCAATACCAAGAAGGTACCAGAACTATATTGCAGGAGCTGGGTCTCGGGAGCTAGCCAAGTAGCCTGGGGGTGACGCTGTGCCCTGCCAGGTGGGAATTGCTGAGTCTGCGTGTGTCTGGCTCTTAGCGCTTACAAGACATAAAGGAGCAGACTGAAATCACATCATTGACGACTCAGGGTGGCCAGTACGTGAGCAGTACTGAAACTCCTTGAAGGTGGTTCAGCCCTGCCCTCCTGGAAGGGGTGGTGGGGAGGGATGCAAAGGCAGCACAGAGATGCTTTGTCGCAATGGAGAGATCTAGCCTTTAATGATTCCTCCCCTCCCATTCCACACCAAGGTAACCCCTCTGGGGAAGACTTCTGCTGTGGGGAGGATGAGGACCCTGGATGGATGTTGTGTGGGGTTTTGCAGGCTTGACAAGGTAAATAAGGAGCCATCCAACATAGGAAGCAGAGCTGAACTTGAAAGGAGCCCGTGGAGGCACCAAGTACTCCACCTATTCTTAATCCGATCCATCAGGACTGCAAATCCCTCCACTGAACTTGCTTACCCTGAGCCTGGAGGATGATTATTCATTGTCAGCAGTTCGCAGCCCACCCTTGCCCTGGGAGGGGTATGCCGGAGGGGAGAGAGGCCTGATGGTAACTTACATTTTTGCATCATTTGGCGAACTTCTTCCACCCTGCTTCCCACATCCTCCACCTTTGTTCCCACATGTCTGACATCATTATGGACATTATCCACTGCATCTTTGGTCTCTGTACTTCCTAGGGGAAAGGAAGAAGCAGAAAGTCAAAGTCATTAAAGGAACTTGTGAGATGGATGCTTGTTGAGCACCATTGGGGTTTGTTGCATGGCATAGTCTTCCACATGGTCTGGGCACCAGGGGACTGACTGAGTGTACCCTGAGACTGGGCTGTGTGCCAGAGAGGTTTAGTGGGACTGGCCTTTCATGCTGTTAATTTTTCACCCGGCTTAAAGTGCAGTTCTGCTCTGAAAAGTGACTCCATGAGAATGGCCCTGCCGGGCTCCTTGTTTATTTTCTCTTAGCAACTCTAGAGCCAGTGTGCTTAGTGTACAGGGGAAACATCTGACCTGCAAACTTGGATCTGAGAGTCACGCTAGGCTCTTCCCTTCTTCCATGTCAACACTGAGACTCAAATTAGGATCTCAGCAACACCTGTCCCAGCCCAATTGTCTTCAGTGTAACTGACTGGGACGTAGTAAATAATGCAGCGGATCTATCCATTTTCTCAGACACCTATCACCATGGTACCTAAGCACTGATGCAGAAGAAGGAATCAACTTCAGCTCCCTCTCCCATAGCTGTGTTGACTCAGCAGAGCCAACGCAGGAGTAAAAAGCAGAAGAACGTATCATTGTCAGCACAATAACCTGGCAGCAGATCTGCTGAGTGTGAAGAGGCCATTTTTTCATCATTGCTTTTCAGAGTAGAACAGTGCTGTATAAGGCAGCTATTGCCCCCTCCATCGCTGTGCCAGGTCTTAGAATGCTGCCAGCCCCCAATATCTTTTGGAAGGTTTGAGGGTGGCATTTTTAGTTGCACTTTTGTAACTATGGGACTTGGATCGCCTAGGTTACATAGACGCCTGTGAAAATCCCACCCGCCAGCACCAGTCACTTCCTGGTTCACATTGAACAAACACCTCCTCCTTGTGGACCATTATTTTGCTACTTTGAAACCTGAATCTGCGGCTGCAAGGTCACAGCTCTAGCGCTGTCCTTCCCACCACTCCAGGTCCAACCCCAGCCCCTTCTGTACCTGGAATGTATCACTTCAGAGAAGCCAGAGCCCTGAGGTTTCTTTTAGATTCAGAGATTCCAAGGCCAGGAGGGACCATTGTGATCATCTACTCTGATCCCCTGTAGAGCACAGGCCAGAGACCTGCCCCACAATAATCCCTAGGGCAGATCTTTTAGGGAAACATGCCATCTTGGTTTTAAAATTGTCTGATGGAGAATCAACCACAACCCCTGGTAAATTGTTCCAATGGTTAATTAGTCTCGCTTAATTAACTTTTATTTCCAGTTTGAATTTGTCTGGATTCAACTCCCAACCATTGGATCGTGTTAGACCTTCCTCTGCTGGACTGAAGAGCCCATTATTAAATATTTGTTCCCCATGTAGGTACTTATAGATGGTAATCAAGTCATCCCTTAACTTTCTCTTTGATAAGGTACACATATTGAGCTCCTTGCGTCTATCACTATCAGGCAGGTTTTCTAATCCTTTAATCATTCTTGTGGCTCTTCTCTGACCCCTCTGCAATTTATCAACATCTTTCTTCCGTTGTTTGGCACTAGAACTGGACACAAGATTCCAGCAGCGGTCACACAAGTGTCCTGTGTAGTAGGTGCCGGTGCCCACTAGCCTGCCAATAGACCTGCTGGTATGGTTAGATCAAGGGTAGAGGAATAGGTCTGGGTCCTGTGTTCTTGAAGGGCTCACAGAAGTGGTAGAACTGCATCAGCCAATATCACGACATTGTGACACAAATGGCACATCATTGATCTGGGTCCCTTGTAGGCTTAGCCTGTTCCTGTTTGAATGTGCAACCCTTGGGCCAAAGCTGAACCTTGCAGCAGAAAGAGGAAGCGGAACCAGACATGCTGGCTCCAGCCATCCCAGCTAATTCCCAATTGTAAGGTATGTGAGAGACTTAAAAATGCATATTCACTTGTGAGCAGCTCCTCCCAGAGGGCTTTGTCATCCTTGGTGTCCTGGCTGTCCTCCCTGCTGCAGGTGTCTTGCTGAAAGGTCTCGAGGAAGGACTGTTTATTCTCAGCCTGCAGCAGGAGGGAGAGCCCTTGAGCAGCATCCCCAAGGCGCTCGTTCACTCGTGCAAACCCCTCCACGACATCGCTGGCTTTCAGGAACTTCTGCAGCCAGTTCGTCTGGCTGTACTTCTTCACCAGCTCCTGGGCCTTCTCCAAGGTCTCCAGCAGCTGCTGCAGCGTCTCTTCTACCTGGGAGGAGATTTGTTTCGGAGGCTGTGCCCTGAGGACCTCCACAGGCCTCAGCAGGATGTGAACGCGGTACACGAGACGGCGGCTCTGGTGCTTACAGCACTTCACTTGTTCGCACTGGGCGTAGATGATGTGGGCCACATTCAGTACCTTCTCCACTACCTCCATATCTGAAAGGAATGGGATTCATCTATCAGTAACATGGCACGCCCTGTGCTGGGGATTCCTAGCTCCCAAGACCATTATGACCATCTGCTGTGACCTGCTGTATCCCACAGGCCTACCCCCTAATAGCTGCTGTTTGAGCTAGAGCCTCCATCCAACCTTGATTTAAAAATGGCCAGTGATGGCGAGTCCACCACCCCTTTGGCATGGGAAGGGGATGTTATTTTCCTTTATTGCTTTTGTTTTGAAGTGATAGGATTTATATTAGATAAATCCCCCCTTAGTCTCTTCCTACCCTTAGGTGAAAGAGCCTTCTCCTCTGCAATCCCTGCCAGGTGGGACAGCATCCCTGTACCTCTGCCTCACTGACCAGTGACAGATGAACCTCCCAGGGAGCTGAAATTCAGGCCTATGCAGAGGGCTAGCACTAAGCCCCAGTGTTCTGTTTAAGTCCAGCTTAAGTCCTGAGGGTGCCATGGGCTTGTGCAGGCTTTCTGCCACAGGGATGACTTTCACCCCAGGTTCGCAGTTGGGGTTCATTTTGGATGAGCATGTGAGCAGTCAGCTTCTTGTGCCAACTGAGTCTGAGCCACCCAACCTTTCTGAGGCTGGTAGTAGAAGCCCTGTGCACCAACTGAGGCCAACTGAGGCAAGGGCCAAAGATGTGTCCAAATATTTCAGAACCTTAGATGCAGAACTGGACAAGGGTCAGACTGGGTACATTGTGCAGTTACCACATTGGCATACATACACATACACAGAGAGAGAGAGTCACACTTTTTGCAAGCTCAATTCTAAAAATCAGGCCCCAGAGATTAGAAGGGGTGAAAGGGCTTCTGATATTTGTGTTTTCCCAGACCGATCTGCCCATCCCTCATAGACTTTTCCAACAGACTCTGAAAATACCTTTGCCTAACATATTTTTATATTTCTCCCTCCCTCCCTTATTCTTCTTATAACAGGGCACTTTATTTACCATACGTCTTCATGCAGTTGCGTTTTAGATATCGTGTACTATGTTCTGTCATTTCTCACCATGTTTTGCGCTGCTCCTAGAAAATATGCTCTCTGTAGGAAGGCTATTCATTAACACGTGAATGCATTGTACTCTATAGCTGACACTATGCTACACCAATGAGGTGTCAAGGTTACTGAGTTACATTCTCAAGACAGACACATTTGCTGTGCCTTGGACATTCCCTCCATGAGGCTGCACACCCTGCTTGCCACAGGATGACTTTATCTTTCATTGTTCAAAGCAATAATAGTCTCCAGGGGCCAGATCCTCAGCTGGTGTAAATCAGCATTGGTTTCAATCAAATTACGCTGATTTAAACTAGTTGAGAGTCTGGTCTGATTTGCCCCAATCTGAGCTCCCCACTCATTTTTGTAATTCAGCCTTTACTTAGGTGAAACTCACCGTGGAGTCAGCGGATGTTTGGCCTGAGTCAGTACAGAATAAGGACCTCAGGGACTGGCCCATCATCAAAACAAATAGACCACACGTGCCCTTCTATTGGAGGGCCTGCTTTGCTGCCACCCGGCCCACCCCTCCGCCCAGCCAAATATGCACTGGGTGGGGAGAATTCCCTGTGAAGCCTGTCACTAGCAGGCCATACGGTCACAACTGAGTAATGCTTTGTTCCCCGCTGGCCCTCTGAGGGCACAGTGTGACCCTGCTTAGCCACCCCTTTTCTGAGCATCCTTGCAGTCAGCGATGCAAACATGGACCGCAGAAATCTGCATATTCGGAGCCCACCCACAGAGACCGGCTCACCAAAATCCCAGGCAGCCTTTCTGGGTACTTTCCCTTCTGTTGCCTGTCTGCCTTCTCTTTCACTTTTGAGGCTAGCCAAAGGGCTTGCAGTCAGAAGATGACTCCTCCAAAGCTGGGCAGAAAAGAGAGCTGTCTGGGAGCAGCTGTAGCCTATCCCAGGAGCCTGCCTGGCTCTAATACTCCATACTTTGTGTCTCGGTCAGGGCAGAGGTTCAACAAAAGCATTTTAAAATTGTAACCAGTTTCTCTTCCCTTCAGAGATCAGCCTGGCACTTCCCAGCTCAAAGCTCCTTCCTCTCTTCAGTGTAGCAATCAAACAGACAAACTTACCTGATCCCCTGACAAGCTATTTCTGTCCTTGATCCCTTCTCTTGTCCGAGAGACCTACTGAGTATCATAGTAAACTTTTGAGAAAGTCCCTCTGCTTGTCTCTCTCCCAGTTTGGCCCCTCCTCCCTGACGAAATTTTAGGATTATGCAATTCTGCAAATCTGTTTCCTCTTACAGCCATCTCTGCATTGGACGGAAGCGAGTGGCTTTTCTTTTCATGCAGGAAATTGTCTGTGGCTTTTCTCGCTCTGGCCCTCAAGAAAAAAGGGATAGGGCAGATCGCATCACTTGTTCGTTGTTACTGTTTTTAAATAAAAGAGCGCAGTAAGAAATAATGCAGGAGGAAAAGCTAAATTTAACAAGGACCTAGTTGGTGACCAAGAGACCCAAACTCTCCAGAGAGATCAGCCCCTCTCTATGAGCTATAGCATGTTCTGATGTAGCTTAATGTCATTTTAAACTTCTTTAAACAGTAGGGGGCCAGGATTCACCAGATCAGTCAAGGAGCAGCTGGTGCAAGTCCTGTGGGGGTGGGCAAAGATTGATTTTAAGCCACCTCAGTGCCTCTCCAGTTTTGGAGCTTCTAGACACTGGGTCAGTTTCCTCTATAAATTAGAGCAGACTTTGGGCTGCTCTGCTGTACGCCAGTTACCAATGGCCCCTGAGGACTGATCCAGCAGCAGCAGATAATCAGTGAGACACAAGGGTGCCCTGTGCCAGGAGGGAGGGAAGCAGAGGGGGTGCTGCTGTGAAGAGTCTCCTGAACAGATCCTCCATCTCTTGGGCTGCTTTGCTATTGGGCACTGTAGGGTGAAAGATGTGGGTAAGGCTTGAAGTGGGCTGTTTCAAATGGGCTCCCAGACACAGGACAAAAACATAGGGCCAGATTCTGATCCCTTTACTCATGTTGGGTAGCACCTTAATGCACAGGTAACGCCACTGACCTCAGCAGCCTATTTGTGGGTGAAGAGACAACCCTATACAAGCACAGGTATCAGCTTCTGACCTACAGGGCACACTGGATCTGAAGTGGCTTGGCAGCTGTCAAAAGGCATATAACATCCATTTGAAGAAGTTGTCCTAGTTCTGCGTGTTTGTTCTGAACACATGAAATTTCAGCGTGTCCCTGCACTTCTCTAGATCCACACCGAGCACTGGCCACGGGCAGCACGTCTGGACTGACTGCTTGGACAGCAAGTGGGTAAACAGCCAAAGAGGACCACACTCCTGACATGAGAGATGGTAACAGGAAAGTTACATCCACAAACATAGTGCATGGGATTTCCCAAAGCTCCCACCTCACTCAGGAGCACCTCAAATTAATCACTTCCAAAAATCTCATGGTTTTTTAAACCAGTCCTGTTATTTTGGGGGTGGGACTCATGATTTTTGAACACTTGGCATTGGCAACACTGTCATCCCAGGCCCAAGGGGCTGAACTTGGAAGCCTTAGGGTTCAGGCAACTACGTCCATATTTGGGCACCCAACTACACAGCATGACTTTCGAAAGTGCCGAGCTGCTCCCAGCTCTGTTGCTTCGCCCTGCCGAGAAGTAGGCTGAATACCGGGCAACCCTCCTGTCCGCAAAAATACAGCGGAAAGGAAACTTGCTAGACCCTACTCTTATGCTTGTTGTAGCTAGTGCATAAGAAAGAGGTTGCGCCTACAGAACCAATAAACATGCCTTTACTGGTTGCACCAGGAACCCAGTTCTCAGCAGGGACCAATTCCTGACACACGTGACCTGAGCTCATCCCTTTTAAAGGGACCATGGCTGACAGTGCAGAAGGTCCTGTTCAGTGGTCAAAGCACATAACCAGGAATCGGAGCCAGGGTCAGAGCCAACACTGGAAGTCAGGAGTCAAAGCCGAGGCTCAGGCCTGGGTTACCTGGAGTGAGGCGAGGTAGGGCTAAGGTTGAGGCAGAAGCAAGGCCAGGAACAAGCAAGCTCAGGTGCTCTCACAGCCATGAGTAAATGCTTTGAGCAACCACTGAATGGGCTGCTGCTGCTGGGCGTAAGAGCCGGTCTGCTGACTCATCCAACCAATCAGGCAGACTCCGACCGGCCAGATGCACTCATTAGGTTGCTCAGAGACTAGCTCTGCTGCAGGCCCTGATTCCAGGTCCCGAGTTGTGAAATGCGACAGTTGAGTGCAAAAGTGAGTCCCAGCCTATAGTAGCAGCCTCCATAGGTGACCACTGAGCTGTCTCACTGGTCCTTGTCTGCATGTGCTGTACGATGCAATGGTTAAAGATGTAATGAGCAAATTATTAAAAAGAAAGAAGCAAAACCCAGTAATTCTCTGTGCAACACACACACTGATGCTATCTGCTGAGATTCTGTCCATTAACCTGTGTGGGGGACTGTGGTTCCCAGCTGAGGAAACCACCCCTGTTCAGGACACTCTCTAAGCACTTTTGGGCTTAGTTGCTGTCCTGAAAAGGGGTGGACTTGAGCACACGTTTTAGGACTTTCCAGGAGCAAGGCCTATGTAAGGCTGGCAGAGCCCAGGGTGAGTCTTAGAGAGGTAGTTAATCATTCCCAGGTAGGAGGCCAGACGTTGGATTCTGAGGCTCCGCTAGGTTATAAACAGTATGGCTATTGGAGTGTATTGGAGAACAAGCCTGAAAGTCAATACCCCGGCAGGCTAACTGGCCAGGTTCTGGGCTGTGGGGAGGGGTGGCACCTGTTGGAAGGCCATGCAGATAAGCATCATTAGGAGACAGACTCCACTAGCCCTCAGGGGTGGATCGAAGGGGTCCGATCTCATTACTGATGTGTACTCCCGGAGATCCACTGCTCCATGGGAGTTTTAAATGCTGATCTATGTACCCAGATATCGTGTCAATAAGGCTGGTTAGTCCCCTCCAAGCCCAGCTTTCACCAGTGAAGTTGCTTCTTGTGTTAAGGGCAATGGCAGCACTCTGACGTTCAGTCAACGCATGTCATGTCACCTGCGTGCCTGCACGCTTGGCTCCTTGCATCGACGCTGTGCATCCTCACCGCCAGTCTTCGCATCAGTATAAAATGCATTTCATCACAGACAGGCATCCCAGTGTGTCACAAGCTGCAGTCTGGCTCAGGGCCTTGTGGGATATTTTTGCAGTGCTTTGTGGGATGCCACTCATTCATTTAGAGAGTTTTGGGAGGTAGGAGGTCAAGTTCTCACCATGCCACTCTCTCCATCGAATAATGCCTATTCCATCCCATAATTTTTGCACCATTTTTTAAAAACTCCCATCATCCTGCATGCAGATTTTTGGTCTCTGCCATTGCTCTGGCAGAAGCATGGACCCTGCACAGCTCAGCGCAATTCACATGAGCAATGCTAACATGGGACGTATAAGTCTACTGTATTTGCAGATCCTAAACGACTACTGCCACAACAGAGGAGGAAGATACAGTAAACCTGAAAGCTGATGAACACAACAACATTAAAATGCCAGGCTGTTGCAAGCATTCATGGAGCAGCTGCACACAGCGGGTTGCTGCTTCTGAGAAATGAGCACTGCTTGGTGGTCCCTTTAAAGAAAGACTTGGGGGGCGGGGCAGGAACAGAACGAACAGACAGAGGCTATTGGAGTGAGTTTCGCTGTTATGGCTGCCACCCTCACTGTTTCCTGGGACCCCAGACTCTCTCTGTCCTAATCTTGAGGGATGTCTTGCCCAGATCAGGCCAGAGAGAGGAATCCAGATGACATTGTCACCCCTACTGGCTCCTGCTGCATCCCAACCACAACCTGGGATGAAATGGGATGGACTTTAACAGCAGCTCCAACTCATCGTAACTGACTTCTTTTCCCCAAGCAGACCATTATTACCATATTTGATACTATCTAAGAGTCTGTCAAACCATGGGAGGTTTCTGTCTAAAAACTTTACTCCTGGGGGAATTCTGCACCACTGTGCAATGCAGAATTTTGCAGAAATTAACATGCACACAGAATTTCCTTTTCCATGACAGAAGTGGGCTGCAGTGCTGCTAGCCGCCACTAAGGGACACTGGACCTGGCAGAGCCCAGCTCCAACATAGAAGAGACTGGCGGGAAGAGGGAGCCAGAGAAGGGGTGGGGAACCTATGGCCCGCAGGCCGGATCTGGCCCACTGCTTAATTTCATATGGCCTGCGGCAAGTCTCCGTACTGTGGGCAAGAAGCCCCAAACCTCAGCGCCCCCCTATGGGGCTGGAGCCGTAAGCACCAGCTCACCCTGCTGCGGGGGGAAGCTATGGTTGCCAGGCCGTTAAAAGTCCGGTTGGCTCCGTGCAGCTCCTGGAAGCGACCACATGTCCCCAGCACTGGCTCCGCAGCTCCCATTGGCTGGGAACCACAGCCAATGGGAGCTGTTCGGTTGGTGCCTGCAGGTGCAGGCAGTGCATAGCGCGCAGAGCCCCCTGGCCCCTCCACCTAGGGGCCAAACATGCCAGCTGCTTCCTGGAGCAGCACGGAGCCAGGGCAGGCAGGGAGCCGCCTGAGGTAAGTGCTGCCAGGCCGGAGACCACACCCTGAGCCCCTTTCCCCAGGTTGGAACCCCATCCCACACCCTAACTCCCTCCCAGCCCCGCACCCCCACCTGTATCCCCTGCCCCAGCCCAGCTCCCCCTCGCGCATCTTGAAGCCCTCATTTCGGGCCCCACCCTGGAGCATAGGGGAAGCCGTGCACCTCTGTGTCTCCCCACCAGGCTGGAGCCACGAACGCTGGCTCACCCCCCTGTGACTGATTTTTTCTGTGGGTCAGTGACCCCCTGATAGAAAAATGTTCCCCACCCCTGAGCTAGAGAGTTCGTGGCAGTTGCAGTTCCCAGCATGCCCTGAGGGAAGGAGAGGGCGGCCCACAGGAAACTCTGTGCAAGCCTGGACCTGAGCATCAGACTGTTTCTCCCTCTGGATCCCTGGGCTCTGGGGGAAGGGACTGTGAATATCTGGGCCGGGGGAGGGAGCGCCACGGCTGAGCTCTGGTGTGTGGGGAGTGTGGGTATCTGGGCCAGAGAGGCCCTGCAGCTGGGCTTTGGGGGGGAGGGGGTTTGGGTGTATTGGCTGGGGGGGAACCCCACAGTTGGGCTCCTGGAGGGAGGGGGTGCAGGTATCTGGGCTGCGGGGGCCACCAAGCC